CTCTCTTTTCACTTCTTTTTTGATTATACATTGATCATGTTAATTTGTGCATCAAAAATTAATAGAAAATACAGAGAAAGAGCGGTTTCCGAGCTTTTTAAGTAGTCGGCGGCAATGGCGCCAAGAACCGCGTACGCACACGCTACGCGTCCCGCCCCTTGCCCCGCCTCTCGCCCCTTTCAAGTCGGGAAACATTGACTATAACCTTTCTCAAGAACTAGGAAGTCGTGGAGGCTCAGACTTTCAGGATTATTTCGTGGTTCATCAATGAGTGTCTAAAAAGTGAAATTAAAGAAATTTAACCGTTACTTAAGAAAAAAATTATCCGTTAATATGAGAAGATATCCACTCCTAAAGAGCCATAAGGAAAAAAATCTCCAAATTTCGGCTGAAAAAAAGCATTTTTTTGCAGTAGAGCGCACGTTACATCGATTTTTTTGATTGAAAAAAAATAAAGATCAAATAAATTTCATAAAACAGCTATCTACAACTGGAACGAAAAGGCGTCGAAATAAAAAGAAATCTGCCAAAAAAAAGTCAAAGAATAAAAATAGCCTCAATCTTTTTTTCAGAACACACAAACTCATTTTCTTTTAAACTTTCTGTAAAAAATGGAATGAAATGAGTTTTCAAAAAAAAAACATTCTCTAAAAGTACAACTCAGGAACAAATCGCATAGACTTGACTCTCTACATATCCTTTTTTCAAGAATAAAATCGAAATTTGAAAACATGTGACATTCGCCAAAAACTAGCTGTGAAAAATAGCCGCCTAAAGTCAAGAGAAAAAAACATCAGCTATTCTCTGGACCTTTTCCAAGATTATCAATTATCAAACTATCATCAAAAATCAAGCTTTTCCCCCAAATTTCCCAGCGGTCGTAAAACGTTGCAATTAACCCAAATATGTTTGCCGCCGGGGAAAAAGCTTGATTTTCTACGGAATTTCAGACAGCCGTTTATCAGTCTTTGATCGGAGGCCTTATCATCTTGGCGAGAAAAATATTTTCCGTGTTCCTCGTGTTATAGGAAAAACCTGTCTTTTTTGACTAACATGAGCAACACGCCATTTTGGATTTTCTGAAGGTTAAGAATAGAGCAAACTCGCTCCTTTATTTTTTTTTAAATGAGGGAAACTTGGTTTTCTGATAACTTGATGATAAGGGATCCAGGAAGCTTGATAAAAAAAATCTCAACTTCGAGTAAATTTTTTTTTCCATAAAAATAAGAAGGGCAAGCTCTGGCCTTCAAAAGAAGAAAAAAATCTTATTTTTTTAAAGCATTTTTCTTTATACTCTTGTGATAAAATGACAAAAAGCTCGAAAAACATTTTTTTCACTCCCTTCCCCTCCGGCCCCCAAAACAGAGTAAAAGAAAAAAATCCCATTTTTTTCCTGATTGCCTATTGACTTCCTTCATACTCTTCTTAAAAAAATACAAAGACTCAAAAATTCCTTTTTTTCAACTTCCGCCCCCCTTCTAAGACTGAGCAAAACACTCAAAACATCTCAAAAAAGGGCGTCAAAGTGAAAAATGATTGAAAATTGAGGCGAAAGTGGAAATTGCGGTAAAACCGGCCGTTTTTAGAAGACAAGTGAGGTATGGGGAATGGATGTGTGTAAGGTATAGTTCTTTTTTTTTAGTGGAAGGGGGCGGAAAAGGTGTCGCCAAGGACATTTGACACATTAGTCACTTTGAAAGAGGATTGGTTAAGGTGTCGAATTTATGGGCGTTCATTTGTGGGTAGACGAGATCTTAGTGACGCTAATTAATGAAGGGAAAGGTGCAAAAACTATAGAATATCTTGATTTTATAGAAAAACGAGAAATTCCTGAAAAATCTTGAAACTGAAAGGAAACCAATTGGTCAAAACCCAAAAATTATAGAGCTGACTAGGTCTTGATAATGCTCAATATTCAAATAAACGGTTGTGAAATTTCTATTTTACTTTTTAAAAATCCGAAAGACCTCCAACAGCGAATATAATATATAGTTTGAACTTTTCCAGATGCTAAAAATGAGTTTTACCTTCAAAAAGAGCTCCCAGTGGAAATAGACTGTCCATGGAGCGCACTTTCCCTGTCGATTCGATTAAAATTACGGCCATTTTTGTGTCCGGTCTGAAAAAGTTCAACACTGTCTTTTTTTATTTTTTTAACAAAACAAATAAGTTGTCCGGCTCGGTTTTTCTATAAAGGAGAGGTACTTGAAAACATCGAATTTCAAAAAATCAAAAAAAAAACTGAGTTTCTTGCAGTCTAGTAGAGTTATGACATCCAAAAAAGCCCTAAAAGCTCATTTTTTTAAAAATATATTTCATATTTCAAGGCGTCATAACTCTACTGAAAGTCAAGAAACACGGCTTTTTTCAGTTTCGTGAAACCAGAGTGTCACAAAATGCTCCTCAGACGAACTAGGAAAATTTTCAGTGGCCTCTTAAGAGTTTTGACGTCTTAGTGGCCATTATAGTAGTCAAATTAGTGGCCACTTGAGCTTCCTCTACAAGTAACTCTGGAGGAGCCCCCTTAGTGGCCACTGAAGCAGCTCATTGCCTTCATAAACCATATCACCCCAGATAAAAACTCCAAAACCCATTCCCTTCCAACCATTCAAACTATCAAAAGGTGTCAATACCTCCAGGTTAATGACAACATTCGCAATGTTATCAGATGGTCGAATCAAGCCACCCAGGGGGGCCCAAAAAGGTGATGGATGAGTTGGCGGCGCACCTGCCCTACCGCACGTGCGAATTACTCAACAAATAGAAAAAGGTTACTCATCTATCCGATTGAGGTCGGTATTGAATGAATAGGTTCTTTAACGAAAAAAAAAAGTACTACGATTAAACGTGTCCATTCCTGGTCGCATTTGGAATGGCTAACAGCGTTGCGGTTTGAGAATTTTCGTTCCAAAAATTTCTAGGGAGAGAGTCTCCACTTGAGTTCCCTCTATAAATAGCCCTTAAGGAGCCCCCTAAGGGCCCACTAAACCTTTTCCCAGCAGCTCATCGTATTCATAGACCAAATTTTCCAACCTTTCCCAGAAAAAAAAAAATCTAAAGTCCATCAATTCCAACCAAGTTCTGAGATGAATTTGATGTTGCTTAAGTGATAACTTGAACGTCAATCCGTCCAGAGAGATCATTCGAAGTTTCTCAAGTGGTCACTTAAGGACTTTTTCAAAATTATCTCCGAAATCGTCCAATGGATTATGTTTTTTATCCAATTTAATAAGTCGGTACTCTAAAGTGACTCCTTGAAGATAAAATACCTCAAGGGACCACTTTAAGAGTTCTTCCAAATTGTCTTCTTGATGCTCACTTCCAAGGTGGCAATTTGAATTTATTGCTGCTTAAGTGATACCTTGAGCGCCATTCCGTCATGGGAAATTATTCTAAGTTTCTCAAGTGGCCACTCAAGGATTTTTTCAAATTTATCTTTAATATTGTCCAATGAAATCTGGTTTTGTTCAATTGAAACTTGGGTACTCTAAAGTGACACCTTCAAGATAAAATTTCTCAAGTGGTCACTTCTAGAGCTTCTTTCAAATTTTCCTCTTAATGCTCACCTCCAAAATGAAAACTTATTCAACCTCTTGAGTGACCACTCACAAAGGCAAACCTCTCAAGAAGTCATTTTCTGAGTCAAATTTTCAAGTGACCACTTTAGTGCCAAAAATGAAGCTCTCAGAGAGTTGCACACCAAAAATTTGTCGAAATTCCAGTTTCCGTTAGTTGCTATAGTCAATGTTTCCCGACTTGAAAGGCGAGGGAGGCGGGGCAAGGGGCGGGACGCGCAGCGTGTGCGTACGCGGTTCTTGGCGCCAGTTCAATTCAATCGCCGCCGACTATTTAAAAAGCTCGGCCACCGCTCTTTTTCTGTATTTTCTTCTATTTTTTGATGCACACATGAACATAATCAATAAATAATTAAAAAACAAGTGAAAAGAGCAATAAATAAGCTCTCTGAATGCTCGCTAGCGGTTGAATTGAACACGTGCCAAGAACCGCGTACGCACACGCTACGCGTCCCGCCCCTTGCCCCGCCTCCCTCGCCTTTCAAGCCGGGAAAAATTGACTATAATATACTTTGAAGTGTTCCTAACAATGCCAGAACCGAATTCCTTCCCTTCATCCCAGATGAAAATGTTAATTTTCCTTTTCCTTCTAATTCAAAAAACTGAAACCCAGAAATTATTCGAGAAAAATGACGGACTCTATTCCAATCTGAACTACAAAAACGCCACCAATGATGAAATCATCCAAGATCCGGAATCCTAGAAAATCTCCAAGGAGGTCAAATTTTGAAATGGTCTACAAACAATCCTAGACAAAGATCCAGACATCCCCCTGGCTCATAAACCATTTTTCTCCATTATTTCCATGGCAAAGCGAAATTTATGGTCTCCTAGGGCGATATAGCCTCAATATTCATCCTTTTTCCTTTCTCCACATTCCGATGCTTCTGAACATCTTGCTGTTGCTCTTCAAGACTCTTTATGCTGATAAACCCCTGGATTGTGAATATATTCCGGATGACTACTGTACTCAATCGCTGATTGATCAACTCAACAGAGACTTTCCTTTCTCGAGGTGGCGGACGATAGTATCTTCTTCTTCATACGACGAACTCAAAAGACAAATAGATTCTGATGAACCTGCCGAGAAAATCGCATCATCTACTCTTCCCTTTGACTTTATCGGTATTTCAAGAAATACTCTTACCGAGATCATCAACACTATTCGCGGATCTAATGGTACTATCGAAAGTTCAACAACTGATTTCGGATCGACGACAGCAGGTATAGCTCCTTGATTAAAATTCAATTAGTCATGGTGATTATAATGAATTAACGCAGCGGTAGCGCCAGAGTCTGTTCAAAATTTTGAATGACCAGTCGCCGCTCAAGCTCCGCCCCTAATGACGCGATAAACCAATCGGAGCGTGAACCATCCACAGAGTACTTTCGATCCATGTCATCGACATCCAAAATCTTACCAGCCTACTCCATATCGAACTCCGATTCAATAAAGTTGTTCTCAATGCTTCCAAGTTCCGTAGAGCTCACATCTCCTCTCTTGAAAACTGAACTGAGAACGAATACTGATCTCCCACTCAGGTAAAAGTTGGGAAGATCTGCTTTGGGTGGCTCGTGAGGCGTTTGGAAGCTTTCCAGCAAGTGGTCGAACGCCTCCCACATAGCTTCCTGACACCTTCTACTCAGAAAAAAAGCCTGTCTTCCAGAAGCTTTTCAGCAGGCATTTTCCATTTTGACCTTCCGAACACCTTCCAAAGGCTTTCTCAAGACCTTCTAGCTTCCATACACCTTCCAACCTCCTGCTGGTTACCTTCGCAACACCTTCCCAGGGTCCGCCGGAGCATAAGCTTTGACTTGAATCAAGACACTAGGATGCTTCATGAATCCTTCCATCATTTCCATGGCAAGCTTTATGAGGAACAAAAAATCGTCTCCACTGGTGACCATCTTCATTTCTCCATTTTCCACAGAACCATGTTCCTCACCATCTTGCTATTGTCTCTCAAGCTTCTTCCTATTGTGGATTCACTGAATTGCTACATTATTCCAGATGATTTGTGTACTCAAACACTAATAGATCAACTTGACAGAGAAATATTTTCTTGGCGAGCTCCTCCGATATTGCAAGTAGATGATGTGAAAAAGCGAATAGATTCGGATGAACCTGCTGAAAACATCTCTGTTTCTGTTTATGCAAACCCCCAAACTTTTTTTGCAAATCGTCTCACTGACATCATCAACATTATCCGTGGAGAAAATTCAACATTTCCAAGTTCAGCTATTGATTCTGATCCGACGACTACAGGTATATTATTTTTCTCAGGCTCAATTATTCAAAACTGGACGGTAAGAAGAATGGTTTTTAAGTTGAAGTAGACAAAGATACTCACAAGGAAGGTAGGTGATTTTGGGAATCTGAAATTCGGCCAGAATACTTCTTGATGTGCCAGAAGGTGACCCTGAAAATCTCCAAAGGTGAATCGGGAAGTCGATACAAATAGCTACCGAGTAGCAGCTTTTGAAAAAGTCGATCGGCGTATGGTAATCGGTGGTCGTTTGTATGCGACCGGGTACCATCTCTATGGTACCTGAGTCGGAGGTCGATGCAAGTAGCTACCGGGTAGCTACCTGACATTCGCGATTTCTTTCGGTAAGTCTGGAATTGCTTTCCGGGCCGTTATTTTTTGTTTCAGCTTTATCCAATAAGACCCTGGAAGACTTGGGAAGGTGTAAAAAAACACTGATGGTATAAAAACGACCGATGTGCCAGCCAGTGGCAATCGCGAATTTCAGGTACATACCCGGTAGCATCCAGATACCGATCAGGTACTATCCAGGTACCATAGAGATAGTAAAAATGACCACCGATTACCATTCGCCGATAGACTTGAGTTGCTACCCGGTACATACTCGTATCTACCTTTCGATTCACCAGTGTCAACATCAAGGATATTCGTCTAGTACATCATGTTCTGACCATTTTTCAGAAAATTCACAACCACTTCTTCTTCTTCTTTCTACGCCTTTGTACCGCTTGAGCGGCGTCGGCGGCCCAAGTCGATTAGCCGAGGTCCTATCCTGATATATGATTATGAGTGGACTGACTCGAGTGACATATCCGCCCTTGTGTGTAACGGCTGGGAATTTCGAAGACGTGGTTTCCCACTACCAAAATTTCTTAAACCTCTTGATTGGGTCGAGGATCGAACCAGGACCGTAGACAGGCACACAACCTGTTGCGCTACGGCGCGCCCCAGAAAACTCACAACCGCAAAGCAAAAAAACCTTTTTCCTCATGTACCTCATGAGAGTACCTCATGAGATTTGTCATATCCATGGAGAAAAGGATTTCAATGGGTCTCCAATAGAGATCTATCCACCATTCCAATTCATTTTTCCCTTCTCGACGTTCCGTCGATGATTCTGAACATCTTTTTGTTGTTTCTCAAGCTTCTCCACGCTGTGAATTCCCTGGATTGTCATATCATTCCGGATGATTACTGTACTCAGTCGTTGATTAACCATTTGACTGAGAAATTCCGTGATTGGCGTTTTGATACCTACATATCTCCTCGTTTTATAAACGACTTGAAAGAGGAGATTGATTCGAATGAGCCAGCTGACGCTATAGTGAACTCTTTTTTTTCTGAATCGAAAAAAAAGAACGTCATCACTGATATCATCAACTTCATTCGGGATTTCGATGAGACGATCACGAGTTCAACTACAGTTTCGCAATCAGAAACTACAGGTATTACGCCAGAAATTGTCGACAAGCCCGTAGCAGTTTAGCCGCAGCTTCCGAATTCGCATTTTGAATTTAATACTAGTCTCATTTTTTTTTTGGCACGTTGTCAATCCCAAAAAAACGCAACTAAAACCATTCATCATGGGACCATTGTTCTGGAATTTATTTGCTCATTAAAAAACCCCATCAACGTCTAAATCTCTATCAATCACATTCTTTCCGTATCCCTATTAAAATTATCTTAAAAGCTCCCTGACCCCCTAAATATTTTTTTAGGCCAACTATATTGTGATTTAAAACTTAACTATAACAGCTATAGCACTTTTAAAAAATAATTGTTAAATCAACTTTTTTTTGTTCAATATTTCTAAACAAAAATATTTTTGAAAAACATGAAAACACCCAATTTTTTGCTCTCCTTAGCGCAAGTCGTCTCACAGTCGGGTGCACTCAAACCTTTACATAAATTACTTTTCTCGAAGCCGCCGTTTCCAAGAAAAACCGCCATCAAAGCGTTACCAGGGGCTGCAGTTTCCTAGATTCCTTCAAATCTTCTCTTACATTCAAACTTCCGAATGCTCTTCCAACTCCTACTTCTTCTCCAATTTCTTCCAACGAGTTCAAGCGACGATTCGTGCCCATTCTTACTCAGAAATCTCTGTAAACCAGAGTTGATGGCAGTATTAGACCAGAACTACCCCGACTGGAAGGAAATTTCTGAAGGACTCAATTCTTCCGGAGCAGATATATTGAAAATATTGACTGAGCCTTCGCCAAATATCAGCGAAATTCTGAGCCTTCTACCAAGCGATAAAATCAATACTTCGGCTCTCACCGGCATTCTTGAGACTCTCCTCAATGGTGTTCCGAATGGTGAGCAGGAAATCCACGTTTGCTCGAGGGGAATCTATACACCGACTCAAAACGACTTCTGCTCGTAACTATCTTAAACTATCAGCGTGTGCTTCTGATTCTCAGGAGTGCAACTTATTCAAGCCTAGCAAACTGAAAGTGATATTTTTTCCTTCAAAATACCCTCCCGCCCCCTTCCACTGATTTCAATTGAACACGTTTTTTAACCCCAAAGAAAAACTATGAGTGAAAAAAAAAAACCACTACCAGCCTTATCAATCTTTTTTCCAGACATCACAACAGAAGGACCAAGGCGTTTTTCAAAACGTCCTGACAAAGACGACGGGGGGCTTCCGGTAAAATGAATTTTCGTTTTGTTTCTCGATTTTGAAATTAAGATTGGCTCCCCTGGAGATGGTAGTCCTTTCGGCGGTCCAAAGAAAGATGACAACCGAACGAGTTTAACAACCCCTGCTGACCCAATAAAAGGGAATGAAACAGGTTGGAGCTGACATCCTAAGCTGACAATATAAGTTTATTGAAAGTCTTCTTGTAAAACACTTTCTACACTAAATTGACTTTTTTAGAGTATCAATACGTATCTGGTTAACCGAAACCATACCCTTCGAGAAAAACCCAACTAAAAAATAAATTTGAAGGTCTAACGATACCAACCATTACTACACCGTCTCTAACCACTTTCACGGTGAGATGAATATTTTAGATAGGAATGAAAACTTTGAATTAAGATCACTCCACCGCTGAACTTGACAACTCCTGAAACCTTCCCAAGAAACACAAGTAAAACATAATTCATCAAAATCATGAGAACCGAAAAAGAATTCAGATGGTCCACGCACGAGAAAAACTGACGGCACTCCTGGTGTGGATATTCCTGGATCAATCCTCCCCACCAACACAACCATTCCGGAAGAGCCACAAAAGAATCCTGAAAGCACGCCTGCCAATGTTGGAAACGTCGATTCTGGATCGACACCATCTCCAAACACGACTTCAAACAGTCCAAACCCAACAACTCCAAAAAGTTTACCAGGAATTCCTGGCGATGTGAAAAACGACGATCCTTTTTCTCCCAACACGACTTTAATCAGTCCACTCCCGACGGCTGCAAATCCAGCGGAAAATCCTGGCAGCACTCCTGCCGATGAGAAAGACGGCAATTCTGGATCGACTTCCTCTCCAAACACGACTTCGATCAGTCCAATCCCAACAGCTCCAAATCCACCGCAAAATCCAGGCAGCACTCCTGGCAATGATAAAGACGTCGATTCTGGATCGAATTCCTCTCCAAACACGACTTCGATCAGTCCAATCTCGACAGCTCCAAATCCGCCGGAAAATCCAGGCAGCACTCTTGCCGATGACAAAGATGCCAACTTCGGATTGACTTCCTCTCCAAACACGACTTCAATCAGTCCGATTTCGACAGCTCCAAATCCACCGGAAAATCCTGGTAGCACTCCTGGAGAAAAAGACGCCGATTCCGGATCGACATCATCTACCAACACGACTTCAAACAGTCCCTCCACGACACCCATGACAATCACGACAGCTCCAAAAGGACCACAAGGAAATCCCGACAGCACTCCTACAAATGATTCCGGACCCACTTCATCTACCAACACGACTTCAAGCAGCCCAACTGTACCAACTCCGAATCCTCCGGAAAACGTTACCAATTCTGGATCTACTCCATCTTTTGACGCGACTTCGAACCCTCCATCTACGACAGCTCCAAAAGACTCTGACAATACTCCCGCCAACGATGTAACTACTGGACCGACTCCTTCTTCCAACACAACGATAAATCCTCCAGCTACCACGATTCCAACCAGCCAGGGAACCTCATCAGAACCTACCACCACTACAAAAAAGAGCGAAGAAACCTCCGAACCTCAGAAAAATACACCAGAATCGACCGCAGGAAATGTAAGCTTTTTTCTTTTTTGAAACATCATTTTCCCGCCAAATTTTTTTTCACTTTTGCTACATGTTACTAAGGTCTCATGAACTGACTACAAACCATCTGAAAATCTTTCTTCTAACGTACAAAAACTTTCAGGGAGCTACAACCGAACCAGCAACTACCATTCCAACGCCAGAAGCTGGAGGCGCTTCAGGAAATCCAGAGGTTCCTTTTTCTCTTCTTTTTCAAGCTTCGTGATTTTCAGACCACGAATGCTCCAGTGACTACTCTTCAGAGTGAAAACACGACAAGTTGGTTTTTCTAAGTTAAAGAATATAATAAATATACAGCCACCACCACAACTCAAAACCACGCAAATGGATCAACTCCAGGTGATTCTGCTACCCCAACGACGCCAACTACAGCCACGACAGACTCTGGTACCTTCCTTTGAAAAAAATTATGAAAAAATCCTCAGACTCGACAGGAACCACAAGTTGGCCAGTCAAGTTTGATCTGACAGGAACGACGAGGGACATGGGGAACGGCTTATATGTAAGTTATTGATTTTTTTTTTTGAAAGACGTAAAAGTTCCCTAACTTTATTCTAAAGCTCAATAAATTGTGTCAAGTGACCAAATTCTCCCTCAGCCAAGCCTAACTTGCGTTAACTTTAACCTTCTCTCCTGAAACCATCTTAGCAAAATCCTTAGATGGTGGTAAAGCAACCCGAGAAATGGCTTTGTCTGCACATTATTTTACAGACCTTAAAACGACTTTAAGTTGTTATAATAAGAGTGACCTCACATTAGGACTGATTATTCCAATTACAGCTCATCTCCGAAAGCTTGAACACCACGGAGAATTGCACGACGATTCTCTATCAACTGTATGAATTCCGAAACGGGACCCGATTCTACAAACAAACAGCCGATCCTCATGGCTGTGTGAGTTTGAAGCTTTACTTGCAAACTTTAAAAAGTCAACTTTTTCTGGTGAGGGGTGATCAGCCTTGCTAACTCGGGATCTCGGCGGGTGTCCTTGTAGTGAACCCATACGAGCAGTACTAGTAGACCTTTGGTATTTTACCAAAGCTGAGACACCATTTAAGCCCAGCTAGGGGCTCAGGCTTTCAAAATAGGCACAACTGGTTCACCTATTTTTCTTGCACGCGTTGTTTCCCTTTTTTACCAAACTGAGACAAATACAGCCTCCAAAAACGAGTACATCCGTTGAGACACCTGGCCAGCCTGAAAGTCAAGTAAAACCGAGTAAATGTTTCCAGGAGAAGTTCAACTCGACGACAACTTCCACCTCGACTCCAAGTACCCCCACGACGGTGAAGAATAACTCAACTTCTACAGCAACGACCCCAACCACTCCAAAACCTAGTCATTTCAAGAAAAAATACTCGAAAAATTCTGAATTAACAGGCTCGACAGGAACCACGGGTTGGCCAGTCAAATTCGACCTGACAGGAACAACGAGGGACATGGGCAATGGCTTGTATGTGAGTGACTTTTCATCAAAAATCCATAGAATTTTCCGAAAAAATGAGAGATAATCATTACAAAACTCAATTGCAGCTCATCGCCGAGAGCTTGAACACCACAGAGAATTGCACGACGATTCTCTACCAACTGTATGAATTTCGAAACGGGACCCGATTCTACAAACAAACAGACGATCCTCATGGTTGTGTGAGTTTTTTGAGTTCTGATCTGGGAAAAACTTGAAAATCTCAGCCGCTATAGTCTGTTCAGATTTTGAATGTCAAGTCGTCGCTCAAGCTCCGCCCCTAATTGCGCGATAAACCAATCAGAGAGCGAGCCACCCACAGAGTGTTTTTGAATGACTTCAGCACTTGAAATTAAAAATCTGAACAGACTATAGGTAATTTTCATACCGTGTTACTTTTTGCAAAAACGTGACCGGGAACCGAACCAGAGACAGTGAAACTCAGGAAAAGCGATCCCCGGCTTCATTCGTCACGGTTTCAGGAGAAGATAAATTCAACAACAACGTCAACTCCAACTTCAACGACGACCACAATCCCGAAAAATGGCACAGTTCCTCCTACACCCAGTACAAAAACTCCAGTATCGAGTCAATTTTGAAATAGAGTACTTCTAAATAGATGGACTGAATCTGCAGATACAAACTTGACGACAGTTTTGACGACGAAAAGCTCAGTAACAACGAAGACAGCAAGCAGTACATCAACTACCACTCAAGGTGGAACCAAATTATGAGCTCAAAGTTGGAAGTACATGGTCGCATTTGGAATGGCTTGACGCGTAACGAAGCAAATTTCCTTCTAACCACAAGCATTTTATCTCAAGCAGAACGCAACACGACCGCGATGCTTTGAGCCAATCCAAATGCGACCAAGGAGCTTTTCATTGGTCACAGACAAACTATATGGCCGATTCAAATATTTTCAAAATATCCTGACTTTTAACACTTCTCAAAAAATCTTTCTGAATTGCAGGCAAAAACTCAACGATAACTAAGAAGATGAACGGCACAACTACAGCCACGACACCAAGCACTACAACCAGCACAAGTAATCATCTCAAAATAAAACATAGCGGAAAAAGATGAATTTTCCAGTCAAGAACAACACAACGACCTCTGCAGGCTTGCCGTTCACTTGGGACCGGTCCCAGAAGCCCAAAGACTTGGGTAACGGCTTGTATGTGAGTATTATCATCAAAATAGACCATTTTTGAACCTTTTCAAAGCCTCACTTCCAATTACAGCTCATCAGCGAAAGATTGGTTAGAGGGGACGATTGCACGACGACCCTCTACCAATTACTACAGTTTGCCGGGAACGGAACCGAGTTCGTTAGAATGACAAGCGATCCAGAAGGCTGTGTGAGTTGGACTTGGTCGCACTTGGAATGGCTCAAAGCGTCGCATTTCGCTTTTTCACTATCCAAGCGCAAGTCATTTCGGGTCGGACGCGTCTAGCCATTCTACTTGCTTCCAAGTTAGGCAATACGATTTTTTTTTTCAGAATAAGCTATCTTCAACAGAAGTCTACACATCGCCAATGACAACGAATCAAGGTAGTTTTAGATACAGTTCTCCAAGCTACCGTAATACTAAAGTACTCCAAGCTACCGTAACTACAGTAAAACGGGTAGTACTGCAGTATTACTGTAGCTAGTAGAACAGTACTTCATGCTACTGTAATACTACAGTACTCCATGCAAGCGTGATACTACAGTAAAACGGGTAGTACTGCGGTATTACTGTAGCTAGTAGAACTGTACTCCATGCTACCGTAATACTAAAGTACTCCGAGCTACCGTAACTACAGTAATACGGGTAGTACTGCAGTATTATTCTAGCTTGTAGCACTGTAGTACTAGTACTACAGTAATGCCGTTATCACTGTAGTATTACGGTAGCTTGAAGTACTGTAGTGTTACGGTAGCTTGGAGTACTGGCTACACACTACTGAGGATCTATAACCGAAAAAAGGATAAACCTACAGTAACCCCTGTCTCGTACAGTACCAAAAAAACCCCGAAAATTACAGACAACACTTGTGATCCAAAATCAATCGACTGGAGCAACGCCGACACGTCGAATGTCTCATCAGAAGCTTATCAAAACGGTATTTCGCTTTTTAAAAATAAGAAGAAATCCCTTAAGGGACCACTATCCGGCAAAACTGCAAGTCGGGCTACGTTTTCGACGACGGAACCCCGATGAAAATCTACCAGTGTGTGGATTCACAATGGATCGGTTATCATGGCTACGTTTGCGGAGGTTAGATGTTCATGGTCGCATTTGGAATGGCTCAAGCGGCCGACCTAAAACGGTTTTCGCGGAAGTGCATCGGAGAAGCGTCCTGAGCCATGCGACCACGGTCGATTCCTGATGAAAAATCAATTTCCAGAAAAAACTTGCGCCCAACTCGAGCTTGACATGACCAATACCTTGCTTCCTGACGCCTCTGATGAAAAACTTAAAGGAGATCAGCCAGCTGGCACTAGAATTGTTCAGACTTGTCAGCCAAAGTTTGTCTTTTCCTAATTTTTCCAAGGATCTCTCGGAAAACTCGATGAAACTAGCATTAACTAAAAGAATACTAACATTTTCCTTTTTTCAAAATTCTATAAATTCCCGCAGTTAAGAAAAAGCCTTGGAATAATCAAAAATCATTAAAAATAAATACCTAATGCGGGAGCACCGGACGCTAGTGAAGGGATTCTGAGTCCTTAAGTGATCCCTTAAGCGGCATCATGGTCAATTCAGTGGCCACTTAAGTAAAAATGACCCGACTAGCGTTAACTAAGAACTTGGAGAAATGAGATTCAAATTAATGTACTTTCAACTTTTATTAAAACCTTTTAACGCGGGAACGAAGTTTTTTTTCTTTTGGAGTCTAGGAAAAAACTGTAAAGTCAAATTCTTGAACTTTCTCGAAACATAACGTATTGGACCAAGAAAAACTGATGAAGATTTCACAAAATTAAACTTTCTCCTTGAAAAATTCTCCTAGGAAGTTCTCTAAAGCAGACTGCTTAATGATAAGAAAACCGATCTTCTGAATTTATTCATTAACTGAAACAGCGATTTACTTTATATTATTAAACTTTTAAAAGAAATTTTTCGAAGACACTTTCTCGAAAAATTTTCTACTCCTAACCGTTTTAAAAACTTTCCTTCAAGGATTTCATACAAAAGTCCGAATTTTCAGCTTCCTTTTTGCCTCGACATATGTCCCATTGAAAATTTTCGAATGCCGAAGCAATGGAACGTGGAGCGGCACTAAAGAAGCTTGCATACGTGAATAAAAAATGATTTCTTCAGAAAAACCATTTTTCTTGATTTTCAGGTACTCGAGGAGATCTGTGAAAAGGATTGATCGGTGTGAAATGTACAAAAGTTTTTTGGATAGTGAAATAAACCTTTCTGAGTGTTTTTTTGACGCATTAAATTCTCCAGTGAAATTAGAAAACATAAAACTTCAGAGCTTTATTTTTTTAATGAACGAAAAGGTTCGGAAACTACCTGAACTAGTTTAATCCTGGATCCAAAACTTCGAGAGATCTTTAGAGCTTCAGAAATTCTTTCTCCCTCCAAAATATTTCAGAAAAAAACAATTGAAAGCTACTTTTCTACTACAAAAAGTGACCAAAAAGCCCCGAAAACCCCAAAAACCACAAAAATTCGGATAAAACGTAAAGATAAAGCTTGGAAACTAGCGATTAAAGATCCAAAAAGAGAAAAAAGAGCTCTATTTCAGGTCTTACCGATTCTTGAAAAGTTTAAAAATCTCTAATTTTTTCTTTCTTCTTATTATCAACAAAAAAAACAGCCTGAAGCCGATATCAAGAGAAAACATTATCGAATAAGCCTTTGAAAAAAATCCAAAAATCAGAAAAAAATTAAAAAGAACGTGAAGAAAAAAAGCGATAAACTAGCACAGAATAGCCCAAAAAAGGATGAAACATATATATCAGCAACGAAATTATCAAACGAGGCCGGAAACTTGGAAATAACAAGAAAAAAAATTGAATAAAACGTGCAGATTAAGCCTGAATATCAGCTCAAAAAGGACCGAAAATGTTGAAAAGAGGTCAAAATTTTCCAATAGGTTAAAGAGCTCTTATTCCATTTTTCTCCAAAATAAGGGCCAAAAACAGTTGAAAGCTGATTTCAAATCTCGAAATTATCAAATAAATCTTGAAAAAATTCAAAAATCAGGAAAAATGGATCAGCACGTGAGGATGAAACCGAAAAATAGGCCCGAACATCTCAAAAAAAAAAACTCAATTCAAACTTTAGATCATTTTCTCTAGGTTATAAGTCCCTTATATATCTCGTTTGTTCTAAGAAAATCAGTCCAACGCTATTTCCCAACTCATAAACTTACCAAAAAAGCCCTTCAAGTTCAAAAAAGTTAAAAAATGAATAAATAAAACGTGAAGATAAAATCAAAGAGTGGAAAAGGGGAGGAAGCTCAAGTTATTACTCGACTAACCTAACCAGCAACTCGATGGGCTTTCTTCTCGTTTTGACGATCATCGTTGGCGCCATCGCCGTGCTCATTTGGTGGCTCCTGCAGGTTGGGCCTGGAAATTTATCCCGTTTTTTCATGTCTAATATTGTAAAACGACATAAAGAAGCAATTATGTATAAATATTAGCATTTATTCATTATTAAAAATCTCAATCAATGCATTTCCTGAAAACATTTAAAAATAAAGACATTTTCGTCTCTCGCAAGCAAGAAAATCATTCCTTTTTTCGAAATCTAGTGATGTGAAATGATGAAACGAAGCAATTTTAAAGATATTCAAAAATCGATTCATTACCAAAATACTTAACAAATAAAGTTAAAGTACTCATAAAGCACTTAACACACGTTCTCCCAGAAATTCGAACAAATGCCAAAAATTTTGGTACAAAAATTTCATCTTTGTTCCTGAGAGCTCTCCTTGCTATGATAGATAGTGGACAACCTCTTGAATATTTAGAACCAGGTTTTATCGGGCTCCGCCCACTTTCATGCTTACTGTAGGAAAAACACCGTAGAAACCAAACTTTTTTCCTAGTGGAGCAAATTGGTCCAAACCAATTTTTAAAACAAAAATATGTTCCCATATGAACATTTGTAGTTATAGAACTGACCCGGAAAAAATTTTCTTTCAAAAGAAAAAAATTAAAGTTTTTTGAAAAATGACGAGTTTCGCAGTCTTTGAGCCATAACTAGTACTAGAACCCCCGAATGCCTGGATTTTTTTATTTTTTTAATCGACGCATTAGAGTCTTGTGAGTAGAGGAAAAAAATGTCTAGAAAACTCTGAATCCGGGTGATCCAGTTGACCTCCATCTCGGAGAACGCGACCAACTTGAAAATGACTAAATTTTTTTAAAAATTCAGTTACTTTCTTGGGAGCAGGATTTTCTTTCACTTCTTTTTTTGCCAATCAGGCACAATCTACTCAACACAGGATTGGAACAAAAAGTTATGACTCTCAAGCACAACGAAAAATTTTTTCCAATTTTTTTCACTTTTTCGGATTCATTCTTTTTTTCTGTCCTTTCCAAGTATTGAGCTCTACTGGGTTAGGATACCCGGAATGCTCAGAGTTTATTCGTTGTACTGATCCGTTACATCTTCCCAAGTTCTTTAAAAAAATATTCCCAAGCTCTGTTTCCGGGTGATCCAGTTGACCTCCAAGCAACCGAAGCGGTCGACCTCAAATTTGAGCAAAAATTTAACAAATTTTTCCAAAAACGTTTCTTTTGCTTCCTAACCAGTGGTTCTCATTATCTGGAGAGGTTTAGTGAAGTTTCTAGCAATTTCTAGCGTAAATGTCATCAAAAAAAGCTTATTTTTTTATTGTCGTCAGAAATTTTTTTAAAAATTTTTTTGACCAAACGCAGCATCAGAAATACCCCTGTTTTTCCGAATAATCTGGAAATCCCTGGTTTTTTTCTTCTAATAAAAAAAGTTCTAACTTACGTAAAGCCACTACTTACGAAAAATTAGTGACTAATATTTCGTGAAAAGTAAGAATCATGTTTGTCGAAGCCAATTGTTTGAGTTTTTTTCTTTAAGCTTTTTCTGGATAAATTATTTTTTTGGATTTTTGCACTGAACAAAAAAACGTTTAAGTTTCCCTATTACCAAGGTTGAGGTCGAATTTTTTTTGAAAAAAATTGTGGAAGCAAAAAATAGAACTTTATGTTCCTTTTATTCTGAAAAAGCAGGAAGTAATTTTCACTAAACCTCTCCAGATAATGAGAACCACTGGTTAGGAAGCAAAGAAACGTTTTGGAAAATTTGTTAAATTTTGCTCAAATTTGAGGTCGACCGCTTCGGTTGCTTGGAGGTCAACTGGATCACCCGGAAACAGAGCTTGGGAATATTTTTAAAGAACTTGGGAAGATGTAACGGATCAGTACAACGAATAAACTCTGAGCATTCCGGGTATCCTAACCCAGTAGAGCTCAATACTTGGAAAGGACAGAAAAAAAGAATGAATCCGAAAAAGTGAAAAATTGGAAAAAAAAATTTTCGTTGTGCTTGAGAGTCATAACTTTTTGTTCCAATCCTGTGTTGAGTAGATTGTGCCTGATTGGCAAAAAGAAGTGAAAGAAAATCCTGCTCCCAAGAAAGTAACTGAATTTTAAAAATTTAGTCATTTTCAAGTTGGCCGCGTTCTCCGAGATGGAGGTCAACTGGATCACCCGGATTCAGAGTTTCTAGACATTTTTCCTCTACTCACAAGACTCTAATGCGTCGATTAAAAAAATAAAAATCCAGGCATTCGGGGGTTCTAGTACTAGTTATGGCTCAAAGACTGCGAAACTCGTCATTTTTTCAAAAACTTTAATTTTTTTCTTTTTGAAAGAAAAATTTTTTTCCGGGTCAGTTCTATAACTACAAATGTTCATATGGGAACATATTTTGTTTTAAAATTGGTTTGGACCAATTTGCTCCACTAGGAAAAAAGTTTGGTTTCTACGGTGTTTTTCCTACAGTAAGCATGAAAGTGGGCGGAGCCCGATAAAACCTGGTTCTAAATATTCAAGAGGTTGTCCACTATCTATCATAGCAAGGAGAGCTCTCAGGAACAAAGATGAAATTTTTGTACCAACGGTTATTCGAAAATCTCGGAGAACGTGTGTTAAAAGCAAAGTTTCAAAGTTTTACGAATACAAAAAAAAATCCACAATGGTAAAAATAACGGCACTTGCAATGTTGGCCCATCCGATTGTTCATTTTTTCAGTCTTTTGGTTACTTTGTCTACAATCTCTATTATTACGGATCATTCTACTACACCGACTACCCATCATTGTCAAGAAAAAAATTACCAAATGACGTTAAAAATAAATGAAATATTTTTATTTTCGATAATTTTGACCGCACAACACTCGAAAAATTGATACTTATAAAGAAATTTGATGAGTTCTGAAAATTTCGGAGAAATATGGAAATAATATTGAAGATTCAGAAGCGGACAGGTGTGAAAATAATTATAAAAACGTGAAAAAAATAATAAAAATTCGGTTGGCGTGGAGTGCGATGTTTGTGCTCACACCAGTTTAGTCTACCGTAACTGAATATTAATTTTTTTGTTTTTTTGTCTTTTTTTGAAATTTAAATGAAGTTTTTTTGTTGATCAATAAAAAAATCTTTTTATCTTGAAAGAACATGTAAATTTTTACAGCAGGAAGCCGGCACTTCTTTCGTCGCCGATTTGATTGGCCATTTGAGCCAATCGAAGCCGATTTCGAGCACTAAACCTACCCAAACGGTATATTTTTCATGTAGGAAAAAAACAACAAAATATTTTTATTTGCCAGGCGGTCGTTGAAGCGACCGTTGAAACTCAGATCGCGAGCCCGACGACGCCAACAACTGTCGGACCGCCCCTTTTTGAAGTTTTTTTACAAAATATGTTTGATTTAGACAACTTTTTTTCAGAAATCCGAGTACGTTGGCATGCCAAAAGTTGCCAAGAAAACGGTCTCGGCTCGAGTTAATGTACTTTTTTTTGATTCTTTGATTAATAATATTCGATTAATTTCAGGTGAATGAAAAGTCGCGCAACTCGAAGAGCAAGAACTCGAAGGCAAAGCTTTAGTTAGTCTTTGGAATCTTTATTAGGAACGACAGAGTGGTACCTATAGGGTTTATGGAGAAAATCAAGCCCTGCTGGGGACAGGAAAGTGCTCTCTATTGGGGTAAAAAAAAGCGGTCCATTTAGGGGTCGTTAAATTTTTTGATATCATTCGAAAGATGACAAGAAGCTCTTCTATATAGGGAGCCCTAGAGGGGAACCTTCAAGGACATCCCTATAGGGACTACTCTGGCGTTCCTAAGTTCATTGATTGAAACTTTTTTGATAAAAGTATCAAAACAAACTTTTTCAGAGGGGAAGATAGTGTCGAACGGCCAGATTGCTGCATGACTCTCAACTAGAAATGGAGAAAATTGGAGAACTTTGGGATAAATGCTTGCAATTTTTGTCGTGGTTTTGTATTGAACACATTGAACGAAGTCTACAATTCCTGCTCATCAGGGCTGTTTTTATGGATTAACAGCGGCATTTTTCAGTACCTGTTTGAAATGAAAATTTTTTTCCTAAAGTTTTTTTTTTTCAAACCCGATCTGGTCTCAATGAGAAAAATACCAAAATGCTTGGAAGCATGAAAATATAAAAATGTCAACAGGGCTCATTTTTACTCATTCTTCACGAAATTTTGCGGCATTTTGCCCATTTTGAAGAGTAGGGTCGTTTTTTCTATACTTCAAGAGTTTTTAGAGCCTACTTTTTTTTTTGGAAATTTGATAAGGTTTATAGAAGTGACGCTTATACTAATTGAATATGCAAAAAAGGGAGTATATTGAATTTCACTTGATCAAAAAAATGACCCTTTTCAAGTTTCGAAAACGACGAAAAAAATCCATAAAAAAATAGAAAGTTGATCAGTAAACCTGCTCATTTTAAAAAAGTTACATTAGCATTTTTAAGAGAAAGGCAAAAGGTTTCCAGTTAGCTATTTGATGAAACTTTACCCACTGGTACTTTAAGACACCCTGATCCCCATATAAGACCTCAAAATTTCACCTTTTACCGCTTGGTAGATTTATGACGCCACAAAGTTCAAATCTACCACTAAAGGGAAAAATGTTATATTTTGCTAGACAACGCAGTTGTTGACGTAAAAATATTTATTATATATTAATACGAAGAAACGATCACATTGCTGTCCCACTTTGCGTCCATTACTGAAGTTTTTTTAAAATTTCCACGTGTTCGAAGATCACGTGGCGATACACAAACAGCAGTTTCTGCTGAGAAGTGTATCTCATTCCCAAAAAAACTTCATGCGCCCTCGCCGATCGGTTCTCCACTGGAGAGCCAGCTGTTTTTCCAAACAGCCAGTATCGGTCTTGAAGTCGTCAAAGTCCCGTACTTGGGCCAGAAGCTATGCTTCTGTGGATCCTTGTGATCCCGCTATACTAAACCGCTTCAAGTAGCGTCGTAGCTTGGTCAGAGGTCTTTCAAGTAAGACCTCCATCGTAGTACTACTACATGGCATAAAGCCATCCGAGTTGATCGGAATCTGGTGAGGCTAACGCCATATCACCAGCTTGCTCCAAGCAGAATCATGCTTGAGGGAGGTACGAAGCAATACCTCTATCGTAGTACTACTACGTGGCATAAAGCCATCCGAGTTAATCGGAATCTGGTGAGGCTAACGCCAACCCACCAGCTTGCTCCAAGACGAGTTATGCTTGGGGGAGGTACGAAGCAATACCTTCATCGTAGTACTACTACGTGGCATAAAGCCATCCGAATTAATCGGAATCTTGTGAGGCTAACGTCTAATCACTAGCTTAATTAATTCATAGTTATGCTTGGTGGGAGGTGTGAAGTAATACCTCAATTGTAGTAGCTGCTACAAAGCGTCTAGTAACCTGAATAAAATCCCCATGAAGACAAGGGATAAAGCACTAGACCGCTCCAAGCATGGGTCGCTTTCTTAGACTCTCACGTCTCGAACTCTACGGGCATGCTGCCACAGGAGTAGTATCAGGCTCTGAGGAAGTTAAGACCTTGTATATATCAAGTTAGATATATACATATATGACGGCATGAACAAGCCATCTTCAAGATCAACCCATTGAAGAGAAAAATAGTTCAAAACTTCAGAGCTTCAATTATAGCTAGGAGAAAGGAGCACCCGGAAAGGGGGGCTCTGTCAGACATCGAGTCAAGAAGACTTGATCTGTGTTGAGTTGAAGAGCGACCAAATAAGGCGTTCCTTAGACGATGGTGGGGAAAATCACCTCACCGTCAAAGTTAACCAGATCGAGAGTTGCCCTAGAGGATCACAGTTCAGTAGAACTTACAGGACGGGTTTGTCCTGCTAAGATCCGAAAGTCGAAATCTAAATATATCATACTGACACCAAAATCAGTAATCACTCGACAAAGGGTAAAATCGCCACCTCAAGCATGTCTCTCTCTCGCAAGACGGCACTCAATGTTATGAGTGTTCGAAGAACCTTCCAACGAAGGTCGGTCCCGAGCACAGCGTGAAAGTTTAAAAGGGATCAGAGCGGGATAACGAGACCCAAAGATTTGGAACGCTCCGAAATTCTTCCAGCGTATCAAATCAAATCCTCCGCGGCACAAAAATGCCTAGAAGGACGACATCAGCTCACGGCTGGAAAGTTTGTCATCACAAAGTGAGACAAGACCTCGTACTCGAAACTGGAAATTGCTTCGACACACTTTGAAAAGCATTCCAATCAAAAGCCCGATAGCCGGAGTGATAGCGCATGCTAACAGTCTGGAAAGGGAAAAGAGTTACAAGGTAAAAAGTATGACGATCGCTTCTTCCGTGCAAAACGTTGCGTTACGGATGACGACCAGTTTGATTCTGTATCAGAATTAAAAACGTCATAATGTCAGATTCTACAGCAAGGCTGATCTGATATAAGCCGATCGAGAGCACGCAACAGTGCCAAGTCCAGCTGAGACTTTCCATCATATGGTAGGATCCAACAGGAAATATCGATGGAAAAGGGCCTAATAGGAATTAGTCGGAAACTCGACGGAGCCTAACAGTGCCAAACGGGGACAGTCTGCGAACTAAAGTGAGACGTCCTCGTGGATCCGAAGCTGCAGTGATTTGGTAGCTGACATTCCGAATCTTCGCTATAAGCGATAAAAAAGATTGGAACGTCCAAAACGGATCGCAATCAAGAGGAACGGCCATATCTAGTCTTCCAAATCGAACAAAATGTTCGGGGTTCCACCGGAGGCGTTCAAGACGCTTAGGTGGGAGCGGAAGGCAATAAGCCTACGTGAGTCGTCTACCGCGACGGCGATTCACCGGAGTTTCTCTTGAGTGCTCTGAAAACTCAGAGGTTTCATCGCAAGAAACAGTAATCGACAGTCCAGAGATTTCTGGACGGCGCTGTGTGCTACAGTCATAGCAGGATTACTGGGCGAAACCTTATAAATGAGCGTATTCGATTGCTTAAATAGGCGAATAAGTATAATCGAAACCCTGGAGAGCAGCTTCCCAAAACTCTATCGAGAAAAAAGGATGCCCTAGCTACCAATCCTCCAGAAGTACTATCAGCAAACACTCTTATGACCGTCAGCTGAAGGGCGAAATCGGAGATTTTTACTTCGGCTAAGAGCCCATGAAACGAATTCAGTGATGCGTAATCATAGAGAACTTCTGAGAAGGGAGAAGCCTGATAGATTTTAGTTCCAGACAGATTCTCGCTTTCTCTACACAGATTTGCTCGAACTTGGAATTCTCACTTGGTGCATAACCTACACTCTTGGATCCGTCAGGATCTACGAATCTGCCAAGGTTCGCCTCTCCAGGAATGATATTTCGCCAGGACTGTTATGAACCGTTCATTCGAAGATTCGTCCATATTCTAGTCCCTTTCTTTGCGTTTCCTGTGCGATCTGTGGCGTCCAATGAACCTGGTGGAACCGAGAGGTCGTAGCGACCAGCGTTTTGAGGTTCTTCCCTTGTTACGCTTGCTCTCCGTTTCCCCATTGGTCTGCTTTGCGGTGTTTTCTGATGGTTGAACCACTCGGTTTACCGGCTAAGCTCTTTCCAGAGATCATCTATGATGCAATATTATCCCGCTGGAGGCCTCCTTTGAGTTCCTACCCGCTCTGGGATTTCTTGATCTCTGATTCATTGAACTGACTTGCGTGTTATCGGAAATCCATGATCACAATGGAGACGCCAGTGGAACAATTCCCTGGTCCTCTTATTCGGTCTTTGAACCTTTCCGAATGTACCATCTGATTGATTTCAATAAGGACGTGGACAAGTCTAGTGACCTCTTTCTGGAAGCGTCTAACTTTCTGACGTAACTTCCGCTGAGGTCGCATACCACGATACCTCCCCGCCTCTTTGCAAGGATTCTTTTGGAAATTTCTTTTCCTTTCGTGGATTATCTATCAGGCTTCTCCCTTCTCAGAAGTTCTCTATGATTACGCATCACTGAATTCGTTTCATGGGCTCTTAGCCGAAGTAAAAATCTCCGATTTCGCCCTTCAGCTGACGGTCATAAGAGTGTTTGCTGATAGTACTTCTGGAGGATTGGTAGCTAGGGCATCCTTTTTTCTCGATAGAGTTTTGGGAAGCTGCTCTCCAGGGTTTCGATTATACTTATTCGCCTATTTAAGCAATCGAATACGCTCATTTATAAGGTTTCGCCCAGTAATCCTGCTATGACTGTAGCACACAGCGCCGTCCAGAAATCTCTGGACTGTCGATTACTGTTTCTTGCGATGAAACCTCTGAGTTTTCAGAGCACTCAAGAGAAACTCCGGTGAATCGCCGTCGCGGTAGACGACTCACGTAGGCTTATTGCCTTCCGCTCCCACCTAAGCGTCTTGAACGCCTCCGGTGGAACCCCGAACATTTTGTTCGATTTGGAAGACTAGATATGGCCGTTCCTCTTGATTGCGATCCGTTTTGGACGTTCCAATCTTTTTTATCGCTTATAGCGAAGATTCGGAATGTCAGCTACCAAATCACTGCAGCTTCGGATCCACGAGGACGTCTCACTTTAGTTCGCAGACTGTCCCCGTTTGGCACTGTTAGGCTCCGTCGAGTTTCCGACTAATTCCTATTAGGCCCTTTTCCATCGATATTTCCTGTTGGATCCTACCATATGATGGAAAGTCTCAGCTGGACTTGGCACTGTTGCGTGCTCTCGATCGGCTTATATCAGATCAGCCTTGCTGTAGAATCTGACATTATGACGTTTTTTTAATTCTGATACAGAATCAAACTGGTCGTCATCCGTAACGCAACGTTTTTGCACGGAAGAAGCGATCGTCATACTTTTTACCTTGTAACTCTTTTTCCCTTTCCAGACTGTTAGCATGCGCTATCACTCCGGCTATCGGGCTTTTGATTGGAATGCTTTTCAAAGTGTGTCGAAGCAATTTCCAGTTTCGAGTACGAGGTCTTGTCTCACTTTGTGATGACAAACTTTCCAGCCGTGAGCTGATGTCGTCCTTCTAGGCATTTTTGTGCCGCGGAGGATTTGATTTGATACGCTGGAAGAATTTCGGAGCGTTCCAAATCTTTGGGTCTCGTTATCCCGCTCTGATCCCTTTTAAACTTTCACGCTGTGCTCGGGACCGACCTTCGTTGGAAGGTTCTTCGAACACTCATAACATTGAGTGCCGTCTTGCGAGAGAGAGACATGCTTGAGGTGGCGATTTTACCCTTTGTCGAGTGATTACTGATTTTGGTGTCAGTATGATATATTTAGATTTCGACTTTCGGATCTTAGCAGGACAAACCCGTCCTGTAAGTTCTACTGAACTGTGATCCTCTAGGGCAACTCTCGATCTGGTTAACTTTGACGGTGAGGTGATTTTCCCCACCATCGTCTAAGGAACGCCTTATTTGGTCGCTCTTCAACTCAACACAGATCAAGTCTTCTTGACTCGATGTCTGACAGAGCCCCCCTTTCCGGGTGCTCCTTTCTCCTAGCTATAATTGAAGCTCTGAAGTTTTGAACTATTTTTCTCTTCAATGGGTTGATCTTGAAGATGGCTTGTTCATGCCGTCATATATGTATATATCTAACTTGATATATACAAGGTCTTAACTTCCTCAGAGCCTGATACTACTCCTGTGGCAGCATGCCCGTAGAGTTCGAGACGTGAGAGTCTAAGAAAGCGACCCATGCTTGGAGCGGTCTAGTGCTTTATCCCTTGTCTTCATGGGGATTTTATTCAGGTTACTAGACGCTTTGTAGCAGCTACTACAATTGAGGTATTACTTCACACCTCCCACCAAGCATAACTATGAATTAAGTAAGCTAGGGATTTGGCGTTAGCCTCACCAGATTCCGATTAACTCGGATGGCTTTATGCCATGTAGTAGTACTACGATGGAGGTCTTACTTGAAAGACCTCTGACCAAGCTACGACGCTTCTTGAAGCGGTTTAGTATAGCGGGATCACAAGGATCCACAGAAGCATAGCTTCTGGCCCAAGTACGGGACTTTGACGACTTCAAGACCGATACTGGCTGTTTGGAAAACAGCTGGCTCTCCAGTGGAGAACCGATCGGCGAGGGCGCATGAAGTTTTTGGAAATGAGATACACTTCTCAGCAGAAACTGCTGTTTGTGTATCGCCACGTGATCTTCGAACACGTGGAAATTTTAAAAACTTCAGTAATGGACGCAAAGTGGGACAGCAATGTGATCGTTTCGTAGTATTTGTTTATAAAATGAGGTTTTTAGGGTCTTCAAAGCGTCCTTAACTCGTCTATAAGACAGAAAAGCCAGTTTCTTTTGACTGATTCTGAATCCGGGTATTCTGAAATATCTTCGCGGACCTAAGTATCGCAAACCGGACACGTTCCAGACGTTTCTGAGTATTTCAAGTGATCCCTTGAGAGCGCTGTAGCGATTGAAAAGATCCCTAGAATTGCTCAGAACACCCGGGGCACGCCCGGTTCGCGGCAGAGTTTCAGCGAAATTCTAAAAATTTCTCAGCTCGTCATCTTTTGTATATTCCTTGGTAATATCGTCTGTTCAGGTTTTAAATGTCAAGTCGTCGCTCAAGCTCCGCCCCCTAATGGCGCGATAAACCAATCAGAGAGTTAGCCATTCACAGAGCGTTTTCGAATGACGTCATTCTACTTGACATTCAAAACATGAACTGACTATACCAACCGTCTTGATCTATCCAATCACAACGTTTCCAGAAAATTTGGTAATCTTTGACCTAGGGTCCGCAAGCCATTTCTTCAGAACGATTCAAAAAATATGTTTTTCACATTGTTTGATAGAGGAGACTGTCCAATTTCATAATCCGTTTAGTTTTTGAAAAAAGGTCCACTAAGAAAAAAGTTATGGCCAAAAAACTAGCGCGCGCGGCGTTCAACTGGAGGCAAAATCTCACGGTTTACCCGCTGCCGCACGCTTTCTTTTTAAATGTTTTTGCGCGTTTCTGGACCGTTTTTAAATCGGTTTTCTGTTCCGAGAGGTTGTCAGAACTGAGCTTCATGTTTTTGGTATGAATCTTTTGTACAATCCTCATAAGAATTTTTTTGATAAAATATCAAAAAAACTACCTAGAAAAAGAAGGTCAAAGGGATTTTTTTCAGCTTATTTTTTTCTTTTTTTCTACTCAGAAAAAAATTATTATCATTCGATTTGGAAAAAAAGAAAAAAAATGAAAAAAATAATGTTATTTCGAAATAAAACAGGAAAAAAAGTGCAATTTGACTCGAAAAACGGCTCCTGCGACATTTAAAAGGGCGCTTCGGTGTGTTTGACGCAAACACTGCTACGGACGCTTGCACGAAATCTTCCGAAATTTCAAAAAAATTGCCATTTTTTTCGAGGTTTTTCAAAGCCGTTATTTTTTTCGCGTCGATCGATTTTTTTCATAATTTTTTTCATTGATAGAGTTTTTGAACGCTTAATAACATAATCAAAAAAATATAGACGCGATCCTATTCTCTCATGCGTCAACGAGGCAGGCGAAAAAAAGGAGGTTTTTGGTAAAAACTCAAATATAATTTGATTCGCTGTCCCAATAATTATTTTTCATTTTTGAATTTTTTTATTTTTTTGGACACACTGTTAGTTTTCAAATCAAATAAAAAGTATACCATGTCGCTGAAATTTTTTCGCATTTCAGCTTCAAAGTTTGGTGTCACTTTACAAGCTTTAATATTTTTTTCGCGTCGGTAGATTTTTTTCATTTTCACTCAAAAAATAAAGAAAGTGTTAATGTATAGCATACTCAAAATTTAGAAGCGTTCCTCACTTGGTTTTCTGAAACGCGACGATTTTGTGAAACTTGTCAGTTTTTTTCGTGTTAAATCTTACTTTTTCGCTTATTTTTGAAAAATAAATAGTTTTAAAAATATTCAGTCTTGTAGAGCGTTGTCGATTACATAGATTAACAGAAACAGTTAATTTTTAAAGTGGGACTTTAGCTAGTATAAACGCCTCAAAACCGTTTTTGCAACAAAAAAATCGTCATTTTGGTGGCGTGAAGGGGCGGGGCTTTGCGCCCCCTACTTTGACCTCAAGGGATTAAATTTAAAAAAATTAAATCACGCCAACCGAAAAGCCGAAATCAGTCATTTCACACGAAGCGATCTGCGAAGAGCGCTCGGCTAGAGGTAATCATATTTTGAAGTTGAACCCGGATTCTCTTTTCCCCAGTTCTAGTCAAGTTATAGCCTATTCACGGCTAGCTTGGGACGCAAAAGACGTGTCCTGTCTGCGCTCTTTTCTTTTCGTGTCGGGACCTTTTTTGCGATGGTTCAATCCAGCCGTGAATCAGCTATATGTGCCCAAGCCATGATTTTAGAGCTTCCTTTGAGATCATAAATAAAATAAACGTAGTAATTTTTCAGATATGGAAGCGTTTCTTGTGAGTATCGTCATTAACATCAGCTATGTCTTATTGGGTTGGTTGATCTTTTTTCTTTACTTTTGTGTTGTTTATATATATGAGTATAGCTCTTCTAAAGTTGTCAAAATAAACCAACTACTCTTTGATTTTCCAGGAAAAATATTTTTTAAAGATCTTAACCTCCTTTTTTCACGATTTTCTAACAAGGGACTGATCTCAGCTCACAGGAACCTAAAAACGGTACTAAATTTACTAGACGCCGTTTTTCACTCGGATTCTCAAAAAAAAACGGAAAAGGATTGTAAAAAATTTCTATAGCGATCAAAATTTGAAAAAATAGCTCGAAAACCCAGTTTCTTGGACCTCTTTAGCACGTGAGAAAATATGAAAAGTCCTTTTTTCACTTGATTTTTATCTGAAAATGTTGTCTTAGCTACCAAGGTCAGCTCTGTCTGTCTTTGAAAAAACTGAACTGAGTTTTTGAATTTGATTTCTTGACCCCAAATCCTAGGAATTTTTTGAGCACAGGTTTGGAATCAGCGTAAAAAACTGCATCTAGTGGGCCTTATTTGGAAATCTCCCTATGAATCTCGGTCAGAATTTTGCAGTCATTTTCTCCGAAAGTACGGGTATTTTGTGTGATTCAAAGTGATCCATCGTGAGAAAAATATCTAGAAGGTGAAAAAATTACTTTCGAGTTCTTTTCCAGTGACGACGTTATGCGGTGGAAAAAAGAAAGAAGCGAGAACTTCGAATAAAAGCTCCATGCCGCCGGCAAACACGACGACTTCGGCAGCGACGCCGGCGATACCGACGGCGATTCCGTCGGCGCCACAGACGGCTCCGTCCGACTCGGCCGGTACCGCCGTCGCTCCCGACGGCAAGGCCGACAAAAAGCCCGAGAAGGAAAAGTCGGAGAAAAAGACGCAAGACGAAAAGACCAAGACGGAGAAGAAGGACGAGGTGCCGCAGAAGAAGGAGGAGGAGGAGAAGAAGGAGAAGGAGAAGACGGACAGGAAGAAGAAGGAGGAGGAGAAGCCCAAGGAGGTTTTCTGACCTGTCTGCGCTCTCTTTACTCTCACCAGCGAGGTCATAGTAAAAGCGCTGTCCGGAGCTCATTTTTCGGTTCTTTTCCATCTTGGGAGTTCCAGAGTGGTCCCTATAGGAGTTAGGGGGAAAGCAACGCCTATAGGGGCCGAAAAAGCGGTCCCTACAGGGGTTTAGGGTTAGACCACCAAGCCTTCAAAGCTCAAGTGGACCCTATAGGGTTTTTTAATTTCGTTCAAAAAACGCTTATTCCTTTTTTTCCATGAAAATGCTTCTTCGCTCATAACGATTATCGATATGTCCCCTCTAGGGGCCACTTTTGAAAGCTTGAGTGGCCCCTAAAGGGGAAGTGGTCCTAGAGCGGACCTTCCAAAAGCCCCTAAGGCTGCCCCTATTGGGACCACTCTTCTATAATCTCGTTGATGAGAGATGAGAGGCTCAGAGAAATTAGAACGTTTCAAAAATCGAAAATTTTCAGGATGAAAAGAAGGAAGAGAAAAAGAAGGTCGATCTGAAGCCAAAGGACATCGCGAAGAATGCCAAGGAGGTGATAAATTTTCTAGATTTTGAGATAGTTGCTTCGAAATGACCGTTTTAGAACGTTTCATAAATCTGAACACCTTTCAGCAAAAAATAGCGGAAGGCGAGAAACGCAACAAGGCCGACTACCCGACGTTCAACGACGTCGAGAGCGACTGGGACTCGAACAAGGAGAAGGTCCCCCGAAAGTCCCAGTTTTGAGTGGGACTTCTGAACGAGACGGCCAATTTTGAAAGCTCATAACTTTTTTCACAGACCTCTTTGGCAATGTTGAAGCTCAGATTCAGAATCCGCTCGAAAAATCGCTCTCAGAGCACCTTCAGAAGTCCCACTCCGGGCTGAGACATGGCCCCCCCCTTCTTACCTCGTTCAGAAATAGGACCCCAACGGGAAGGCCAACGACGGTAAGAGCAAGAAGAAAGCGGAGCCGAAGGACGGAAAGGCTGAGGACAAGAAGGTCGTGGCCGCATTTGGAATGGCTTTTTAAAGGTGGAGTTTCAGGACGAAGGTGACAAACCGCCAGGTGAGAAGAACGAGGAGGACAACAAGGAGAAACAAGTCAGCGCCGCCGGGCTCTAGGTAGGCTTTTTTTTACGCCAAGACTTGAAACTGTCTGATCTGTCTGCGCTCTCTTCTCTCTCCTCGGCAAGGGCAGAGAGACGTGAAAACAGCTCAAAAAATGGAGAGAGCGCAGAGAAATAACGCATTCTTGAAGAGACCTGACCAATTTTCAGATGGATGAAAAAAATGAAGAGTTATTCGATGACGTCATTCAGCCATATTGTCGCGTTGCAATTTTTCGCGTTGAATAAATCGTCAAAAACAAAATCTAGTGTCAAGTTTATTATGTGGGAACATGAAGAGCACTGGTCGCATTTGGAATGGATCAAGGCGAAGCGGTCGCGTTGCGGCTCGTGTACAAGCCGTTTTTGGTCGGGCGCATCTTCAAGCCATTTTAATTGCGCCTAATCTTGTCATTCCAAAATTCAAAATTAGCTTCGGCTTGATCAAAATCGCAGAAAAAAGGGGCGTGTCCGGCCAATTACAGGGTTATCTAGTTAACTGGCTTTACCGAATACACTAAAGTCAAGTTGAGACAAATTTTAAGCTCATAATCAAAAATAACTATTCATCTTAAGCGCACCCGACCTGAAACTGCTTTCGCCATTTCGCATCAAAAAGCATTGGATCACGATTTTGACATTCTCCATGCTACAATAGACCATAAAAACTGCATTTTTCAAGCGTCTAGGTCGATTTTTTTTTTCTCAGAAAGCAGGAGCATACAGAAAGTTGCTCTGAAGAGGTCAAGCCGTCATGTTGTTCTCGAGACGTCGTTGAACAAGTTTCTGGGCGATGTAGCGGTCGACGTCAAGTTCGACGAGTCGTTCCGATTCGGCTTCGTAGGCGATGAGCACCCGGTTGACGTGCTCGATCGACGTCAGCCACGTCGCCTTGTCCGCCTTCATTTGCTTGGCCTCCTCACGCATCTCCGCCAGGGTCTTGGTCTGGAGGGGTCATTTTAGGGTTTTTTTCCAGTTTGTTTCACAGCTCACTTTTTTGTTGAGACTTCAGAAGTACCTTTAAAATTTTTTTCCAACTTTCAAGTTTTTCACTAACTCCAATATTATACAAAAAAGCAGAATATGATTTTTAAAAGAGTCACAAACTGTCGCTTCAAAATTTAATAAGATTTTCCTTTTTGCATGATTTTTTAAGGTTTAAAAAGGTTAAAAAGGGGTAAAGTAGCAAAATTAGAACATTATAGGTTGATAAAAATACCCAAAAAGGCAGCAAAAAATTAACTTTTCGATAAATGAGCAAAATGGTCCAAAATTTATATTTAAACACTCTACACTAGTCACATGAGCTCCACGGACAAAATCTGCCATTTCAGAATCAAAAAAAAAACTTTAGTGGTCACTTAAGAGGTTCTTCAAGAGAGCGCACTGAAGTGGCGACTCAAATTACCTTTACAGACTTTGCGCCTAAGTGGCCACTATAGCAGTTTTAGTGGTCTACTGGTACCTTTAGATATTTGAAGAGGCCAATAATTTTTAGCCGGTGGCTACTAATTCAGCTTGTATAGTGGTCACGAAAACGTAAAAACCGTAAAGGATTCTGGATTTTTCATCATCTGAAGGCCCCTATATTTCGAAAAAAATTCGTTTAAAGCAATATTTTTCATTAACTCACCAATTGAGGGCTGAACTCATTCCCGTGGAAACATTGGCACTTGTACTGCTCTCGGACGTTCATACAGATCCTGGTGAGCTGAAAAAAATTTTTCATGATCACCTTGAAGATTCGTAAGACCTATTGAAAGTTCTGAATCTGAATGAAAATTCAAAAAAAAGTTAGAGATACAGTACTGGCCATAAAGGTATTTCAAAGTGGTTATTCGAGCGTAACTTCTCTGAAAATGGCTCAAATGACTTGAAACTTTGCACACATTTTGAATAGCTACGCAGTAACTCTTTCCCAGAAGACGAACTCATTTGCTCGAGTAAGACCGGATTTGAGAGCAAAAAACCAAAAATCGTGAAAATGAAGATTTTTCTCTTGAGGTTCGAAAAATCATATCTTCGAAGAAACTTTGGTTTTGAATCAGAAACTTTTTTCCCCGGTAAAAAAAGTCTTCGGCTTTCTAAAAAGGCCAATCAGCCCAGTACCAACCCGATAGTAAGGGCGTAGTGAATTTTTCTACGGAAGGCCCTTGCGTTTTGAACGTTTTTATATACACCCTCTGCGAGAGCTTTTGAGAAGGATTCAGTTATAAATGAGAAACTTTTTATTATTTGAAGCCTTCTGAAGACACCTAGATGAAATTCCGTCGGAATTTGAGCATTATTTTTAATTTTCCTTCTTCTAACCAACCCAAGGAACATTCAGATCAAAAGTGTCGATGAGAAGCCGCAAAAAGGCCAAAACCAGCACGATATTGTTCAAGGCGATAGTGATCAGCAACTCTGCAAGTTCATGGGTTGTTTCAAAATGCCCCCATCGCATTTAGAATGGCTCGATTTTCGATTTTCTATGACACCTTGCGCAAGCCGTTTTGAGTCCGCCGCGGCTTCAATTCCCCACTGAGCCATTCCAAATGCGACCCCGGTTGCTCATAAGAACCTGTCCCATCGCTGAAGCGCTTGAAGCCGTTGGCTGTGATCCAAGATCCTTCCAGAAACGACCAAATCATCCAGACGTTCTGTAATTTTTCAGAAAAATCAATAAATCTTTCCGAATTTACCGTATAAAGAGCCGAAGGGACCAGTAAAGCCCAGACGATCAATGGTTTGGGGGTCCATTCTTGTGGAACCACCAATTTCCCAACAATCTGAACCATTGCTTCATTTAGAATAGTATTGAAAAAGCCGTACATTTGGCTTGATCTGATGCTTAAAGACCCTTGAGGCGCAACCCGTTTCAAGTCGGGTGAAGTTAAGCTTTGGGAAAACTTTTAGTGGCTACTATAGTGGCTCGCCAAGAACTTTTTGGAGAGGACACTAAAGTGGCCACTAAATCCACCTCTATAGTGGTCACTATTTTCCGTTTTAGTGGCCACTTCAGTAGTTTTTCATCCAGTATTCCTTCCAGTAACTCTGATGAAAAAACAGATTGGACCAGTTATGTTGATCCATTGACCCCTAAAGTGGCCACTAAAATTTTAAATGGTCTAGTAGTAGCACTTAGACCTCTATAGTGGCCCCTAACTTTAGACCCCTTAAGTGGCCACCAAATTGACTACTATAGTGGTCACTAAAGGTCAAAACCCTATAGTGGCCACTAAAAGTTTTTCCAGAACTTGATTTCGAAGGTCGCTTGAACAAATCGGGAAGTTTCCCGCTAAGATGAAATTTTTCCTGTCAGGACCTTTTTTCACAATTTCACCATGCGCCTTTAAAATCTCAAGCATTTGTGAGTGAACTAAAGTCGAAAATTGAAAAAAACTACCGCTGCTCGGCACACGATGACGTAGACAAAGGAAGAAACGGTCCACCAGGCGGCGACGTGGGGAAAAAGGCGCAGAAAGATGTGATTGATGAAAAAACGGCCGGTCCCGAGCCATACAAGGTGCTGTAAAAATACCCTTTTCTTTATCCCTCGCTTCCATTTTTCTAAAAACTCACCACAGCCATGGACAGGAACGCGACATAGGTCTGCGGACACAGAGATCTGCAACGAAAACTACAGTAGCCCTGGAAAAACCCAATAATTACCCAAAAATGAAGACACAGGCGCTTCGGAAACCAACGTTCTCGTGCATCATCTTGACAGGAGGTCGAAAAAGTTCCTTGGAGAGGAAAAGCTGAAAAAGGGGCGTGGCTTTCTGAGGCTCCGCCCAGATCTGGCTTTTTGGTCAAGGGTTATGTGGCTTTTCGGGATTATTTTATTGAGTTGAAAAAAACCACGAAAAAAGTTTTGAGGGATGCGACGCGGCTAAACGACTCGGCTAAGCGACGCCGCTGAGCGACTCGGTGATGCGACTCGGCTAAGCGACGCGGCTGAGCGACTCGGCTATGCGACCCGGCTAAGCGACCCTCGCGACTTGGCCGAAAGCCAAAACTTGAAAAAATTGTATTTTCATTAGGTTCCCGTTTTATTTTCCCTGTATATCGAATAAATACTTATAACTGATTTTCCTTCTGCGACTCGGCTGTTGGACGCGGCTAAGCGACTCGGCTATGGAAAATTTTTTTCAAAATCCCAAAACTCTCCAGAACTTCCCTGTTCATTCAATTCAAAGTTTCATTTTTTCTGCGACCCGGCTGAACGACTCGGCTATGAAACAAACTTTTCAGAATCCTAGAAGCTTCCAGAGCCTTCCTGTTGATTTATTTCAAAGATTCATTTTTTTTTTGCGACCCGGCTGTGCGACGCGGCTGTGCGACGCGGCTGAGTGGCCCGGCTATGGAAAAAAAAACTTCTGATAAGTCTAGAAGTTTCCTGATCATTCGAAACAAAGTTTCAATTTTTTTTCCTTGCGAATTTTTTTTCCTTGGACGCGGCTAAGCGACTCGGCTATGGAAAATTTTTTTCAAAATCCCAAAACTCTCCAGAACTTCCCTGTTCATTCAATTCAAAGTGTCATTCAATTCAAAGTGCGTTTCATTCAATTCAAAGTGCGGCTGAGCGACTCGGCTATGAAAAAAAACTTTTCAGAATCCTAGGATTTCCCAGAAATTTCCCGTTCACTCATTTCAAAGTTTCCTTTTTTCCTGCGACCGGCTGTGCAACGCGGCTGTGCGAAGCGGCTGTGCGACTCGGCTATGAAACAAACTTTTCAGAATCCCGGGACTCTCCAGAACTTTCCTGTTCATTCAATTCAAAGTTTTATTTTTTTTTTCCTTGCGACCCGGCTGTGCGACGCGGCTGTGCGGCTCGGCTATGAAACAAACTTTTCAGAATCCCGGGACTTTCCAGATCTTTTCTGTTCATTCAATTCAAAGTTTTATTTTTTTTTTCCTTGCGACCCGGCTGTGCGACGCGGCTAAGCGACTCGGCTATGAAAATAACTTTTCAGAATCCTAGAATTTTCCAGAACTTTGCAGTTCATTCAATTCAAAGTTTTATTTTTTTTTTCCTTGCGACCCGGCTGTGCGACGCGGCTAAGCGACTCGGCAATAAAAATAACTTTTCAGAATCCTAGAATTTTCCAGAACTTTGCAGTTCATTCAATTCAAAGTTTCATTTTTTTTTTCCTGCGACCCGGCTGTGCGACGCGGCTGAGCGACTCGGCTATGAAAAAAAAAGTTTCATCTAATGCATTTTTCTCCCTACCGTAATCCAAAAAATCCCTCAATAATCCCCAAAAAGGAGGAACTAAAAGAGCAAGAAAGAAATGTCATAGACACGTTCGTTAGCCTCTCCAAATCGGGCCAATTTTGCTTTCCCAACAAAAAAAACTACATTAATTAAGTTAATTGAAGCCGTCGCACCTAATGAGATTCTGCCCTTTCATCAGAATGATCATCTCTTTACTTTTGTGAACTTTCAAACTCAACAATTTATCACATTTTGAGACGCCAAAGTAACAACTTTTCAACAATTAGTTTTGAAATTTAGGCCTTTTCTGAAAGTTTCGATTGATACTCCTTCTGTTTATCGTCGACACAACGTTTCGTGTGGAAAAACCAATAGAGAAGGTCGTCAAAATCGCCTGGAAATTAGGAGTTTGAAAATATTTTCATCATATGAGATCAGAGTTTTTGATAGATGCCAAGCGATTATTGGAAAAAAAGTTTTTATATCAAAAATGCGAAAAACCTTAAAGTGATTTTTTGAAAGAAAATTTTGAATTTTTTTTCGATATTTCCCCCTACTCACTCGGACCTTGGTAGTGTGCCCCGGACGTGTCGGAGTATCCCTAGTGACCACTTTAGTAGCATCAGCACTCTTTAAGGGATCCCTAGAATCGCTCAAGAATTGGAGACGCGAATCAGACGTATCGGAGCATTTCTAGTGACCACTTTAGTAGCATCAACAGTCTTTAAGGGATCCCTAGAATCGCTCAGGAATTGGAGACGCGAATCAGACGTATCGGAGCGTTTCTAGTGACCACTTTAGTAGCATCATCAGTCTTTAAGGGATCCCTAGAGTTGTTCAGGTTCCCGAGTTCCAAGCAGAGAAAATCGGCAGGCCAGCGCGCAGTTCAGAGAGCACGGTAAACTTGGAGAGACCAGACTCGTACTCTCCTCGTTCTACACACTGTCTGAGGACCTGCGCATTTCAGAGAAAAATCTCAAGTTTGGGCGCTGCCGTTCATTTTTGGACATAGGCGCTGGCCTTCCGTCTTCCTTCTGACTAGGGTTTGGTCTCCCCTGAAAGTTGAGATTTGAGTCTTCTTGGGGTTGTTAGGCCTCGGTGAGAGTACTCGGAATCAAAAATAAAGTTCCGCTCATCCCTTCGGGCAACCAAGGAGAAGCTCGTTGAAGCTTTTTCAGAGCGCATATGCGAGGCCTGGCTGCCTGGTGTAGTAGTTGTGGTCTTGATTACTTTGTCGATGTGTTTTCGAGAAAAATTATGATGGATCCCGGAGCCACCAAAATGATTTCCGCTAAGGATCCGAACCCATGGCCACGTGGAAAGTACGCAAGCCCATTACCACTACACCACGCCGCCAGTTCCTGGACGAAAGTCACAATTCTTGTCTCGATGTTTAGGGAAGATCAAACCCTAGTCAGAAGAAAAGCAGCTGGCTAGCGCCTAGGTCAAAAAATGAACGGTATAGCAGCGCCTAAGTCAAAAAATCAACGGCAGAGCAGCGCCTACAGTTCGAGATTTTTTTCTTAAACTGGAATGCCAACGCCCAGGTCCTTAGACAGTGTGTTGAACGAGGAGAGTACGAGTCTGGGCTCTCCAATCTTACCGTGCTCTCTAAATTGATGTATGCGCGCAGGCCTGCCGTTTTTTTCTTCCCGGGCCTTGAGAATCTGAGCATCTCTAGGGGCCCCTTAAAGAGTGCTGACGCTACTAAAGTGGTCACTAAATGCTTCAACACCTCCGGGGCGCATCAAAAATCAACTTTTTCTTGACCCTTCTAGGAAAAAAAGAATCTCGATGCCTTGAAGGCTGACTTCATTCAAAATCCTCTTCAACCAACCTTCGTACTTCCTCAAAAGGCCAAGTTCTTGATACTCCCTCAAAGCGTAATAAATAGCTTCAATCGTGGCCAAATGCGTATCCTGGACATTATGTTGAGGTCTCCAGAACGCCGTCCGATATTCTCGTAGCATAACGTGTTGAAGCCCTTAAACGACCACTTTGAGGGGAATTTTCTAGCTGAGACGACGATAAAATCTCTTAATTCTCTTCCCTCTATCATTGCCACGACTCTACCCCATAACATGAGCAACAAAATGCAACACACAGCAACAAACCTTGAATTTCAGGCGTCCTTTGCATGACTCCCACTTGAAAGCAGGTACAATAATTCAATAAAAAAAAGTTTTTTCCTCTAAAATTGCCACGTCTCTACCCCATAACCTGAGCAACAAAATGCAATACACAGCAACAAACCATGAAATTCAGGCGTGTTCTGCATGACTCCTACTTGAAACCGGGTACAATAATTCAATAAAAGAAGGATTTTTTTTCCTTATAATATTGACACGCCTTTACCCCATAAGATGAGCAACAAAATGCAATAATCCGCAGCAGACCTTGAATTTCTGGCGTTCCCTGCATGCCTTCTACTTGAAACCAGATACAATATTTCAATAAAAGAACAGTTTTTTCCTCATAATATTGACACGACTTTACCCTATAGCATGAGCAACACACAGCAACAAACCTTGAATTTCGGGCGTCCTCTGCATGACTCCTACTTGGAACCAGGTACAATCCAGAACAATAATTCGTTTTATAAGGCCGATAGATTTTACAAACTCCTCAATGCTAATCGCGTCTTTGCTAGGAAATATCAGAGCCTAAAACTTGAAGTTTGATAAAATTGGAATTGAGAAGCTTTTGGTCGCACTTGGAATGGCTCAGAGTTACTTTTTCAAGGCGCCGGACTTGATACAGGTTATATGACCGCAGCTAGACTGGCTCAGATTCCAAGGACTTCTTATGACAGTGCAACGGACTCAAAACGGTTTCCGCGCGCTACCATTGAACTTCTCAGAATTTTTAAATCATAGCTTGATCCGCAACGTTAGACGTGCAATGCCTGATAATGGAAAGCAAGTCTCCAAAATGCCCCGGACTCAAAACGACTTGCGCAAAATAGCATCTGGAAGAAAACTATGAAGCTTTCAACCATTCCAAATGCGACCATTATCAAATCTACCGTGGCTTTCCGTTCCTCTGGCGGATCCTTCCGATAATCATGAACATTTGGGTGATCGAATACCTCAAAAACTATTTTTTTCAAAAATATTGATTGGAAATTCACTCGAGTCTGATTTGGCGCCACGATTTTGCAATGGAGCGCACTACTCTTGCTGTTTTTCTCCATCGGGTGTTTGATAATGTCGACGGCGCAGGGGAGCTGATTTTTTTATTTTTCCTGGTTTTTTTTTTCAGGGTTTATACCTCAACTTGCGGCGTAAAGACGCCGGGCATGGGTACTCGACAATCGTAGCAATAAAACATGCGATTTTGCTTACATCCTGAAGAGCAAATCGTCGCAAATTTTTTTTTGATTTGAATTTGAGGACTCTAGAGCGGTCCCTATAGGGGTTAGAGGAAAAACAGCCCGTATAGGGGCCGAAAAAGCGGTCCCTATAGGGGTTTAGGGTCTGACCCCTTAGCCCCTAAAGCTCAAGTGAACCCTATAGGGGTCAGGGGGAAAAACAGTCCGTATAGGGGCCGAAAAAGCGATCCCTATAGGAATAAAATCAAGGTGGTCCCTATAGGGGTTTAGGGTCCGACCACATAACCCCTAAAGCTCAAGTGAACCCTTTAGGGGTCAGGGGGAAAAACAGTCCGTATAAGGGCCGAAAAAGCGGTACCTATATTGGTAAAATTACGGTGGTCCCTATAGGGGTTTAGGGTCCGACCACGTAGCCCCTAAAGCTTAAGTGGTCCCTAGAGGGGTCTTTCAATTTCATTCAAAAAACGCTTATTTATTCAGTTTTTTCCCATAGAAATGCTTCTTCGCTTAGTGTTGACTAGCATTTCCCTATAGGGACCCCTTTCGCGAGCTCGAGTGACCCCTATAGGGGTTGGTAAAGTGGTCCCTTGAGAGGACTCTCGAAAGACTTTTAATGGTGTCACTATAGGGGCCACTCTAGAGTTTGTCAAAAATTTTTAGAAGTCCTTATAATCATCTGAACTTTAACTGGACCAGTTACAAACGGAAAAAATTTATCTTTGGAGTTCTAAAAATTTTTTTGAGGAAACTTTTAGTGATCACTTTAGGTTTTTGTGCTTTAATAATCCTTATGAAGATCAAAAACAAAGTGAAAAATGGCGTTTTTGAAAAATAATAGCGATTTTTTAAACCAGCAGTTCTTTTCTAGGCATAATAGCTTCTATTAAACGCTTAAAAGGCCCCTTAAAATATTCTGAAGGCTGTTAGCCGAGTGGCTAAGCCCCTAATCTCGCTCCAAAAGGTCCCAGGTTCGATCCCTCTTAACGATTTTTGCCATTTACCTGAACATGGCGCTTTTTTCAAGCCATCCAGTGGCTCGTAGCTCGACAATTTACAGACATCCATTGATATCATTGACATTTTCTCAAAAAACTTGGTTTCATTCAAATTTTGAACAGGACAAGAAGAGTTATCGGCTTGGAAATGCCAAAAAAACACAGAAAAAACCAATAATATATAATTTATTGCGAAAAAATGATAAAAAAAGAAGTTCCCGTTCGGCAAGGCTTCGAAAAAGGTACAAGAAACGAAAAATATGACAGACAAGGGGGGCGGAAAAAAGTAAATTTCTGAACTAAACAATCACCAAGTACTCAACCAAAAGAATAATAAATATAATTAATTTGGATATAATTTATAAAGTGAATCCTTGTTGGACGACGGCTCGAGCTTCATCAGCAGCTATGGCATCGACGACCATTTCGTCGAGTTCTGAAGCAATTTTTTTATTTTTATTATTTTCCGAAGAAGAAGCCTCAGATCGATTCCAAAAAATCATAGTTATAGGAGGCCAGGAGCACTTTATCTTTCCTTATAGGGGCCACTAAAGCTTCCAAAAGCGGATATTATAGGGGTTTTAGTTATTCCCCTATTGCTTAAGCTTTAGGAGCTTGATGGTAACCCTAAACCCCTATAGTGACCACCTAAACATTATAGGAGGCCAGGGAACACTTTACCTTTCCCTGTAGGGGCCACTTAAGCTTCAAAAGAGGCTCCTATAAGAGTTATAGTTAGATTCCTACAGTTCAAGCTTCAAGGGCTTCGGGACCCTAAACCCCTATAGTGACCACCTAAACATTATAGGAGACCAGGGAGCACTTTGCTTTTCTCTATATAGGGACCACTAAAGCTTCCAAAAGCGGCTCCTTCAGGGATTTTAGTTATTCCCTTATTGCTTAAGCTTTAGGGGCTTAAGGGTAAACTTAAACCCCTATAGTGACTCCTTAAATTTCACCCCTATCGCGGGCACTTACAGAGATTATTTTTTCTCCTCATCCCTATAGGGCCCACTCTGACGTTCCGGTGCACAGAAAAATCAACAAAATCACCTTCCAAAACGACATGGAATCCGAAGTGAAGATAAATAATAAGCAGCAAATGTGCTCCAATGGCAACGCTCATTAAAATTAGCCGATTGGCTGGGACTCGCGAATGCATGCACACGATCAACGCCTGCAAAAAGGGAAAAATAATTATAAAATAATAAGTTTTCAAGATTAAAATGATGACTCTTATAAATGTTTTAGCATAAAGTTAAGTTCTGAAAAAAATTATGATAACATTGTAAGTTATTTAAAAATAATTGCCTGTACCAGGTGCATCTCAAAAAATTGAAAATCTCATCAATTTTTCCTAAAAATTAAACCAAACCTTCAGCGTGATGTTTCTGGCCTTTTTGGCAAAAATTCAAATCCAAAAAAAGAAAACCAACCATTCTCAATGCGGCCGGCACACAAAAAATGCCCATTAGAACGAAGAAAAAGAGATGATCGTGAGAAGAATGAAACAGTGATGTCAATAAAAGGACGACGTTGTGGGATGTTAAAGAGTAGCCCTGAAAATAATATTGGTCCCATTTTTCGAAAAATATGTAATAATTAACAAAGAAGAGCTCGAAATTCTTCAATAAGTACTTGAAACACAATGTTAACTTGTCATTATGGGAATAAGAAAAGCTGAATGGATGAAATTCATGAAAATGCGGCTCAAAACTTTGAAAATATATTACTAGAGCCTTCAAAACTCACAAAAGTCGATACCAAATGAAGCATTGGGACTTCAGCAGACAATAAAAAGCACAAAACGTAAAGACCGCCAGAAATCAACAGCCAACTTCCGAAACAACTGAACATTGCCGTTCCCATCAAAGTTCCGTTTTGAACTGTGTAACTATAAATCATTCTATATTATATATTTCCTTTGATAAAACTAACCCGCTGCTTTTCATGTTATAAAGAAGCAAAGCAACCATTGTAAGGACCAACATCGTTGGGCCGTATAAATCTGGAGACGTCGCCATTTGCGACGGCTTTTTCGGGACGAATGATCGAATTAACCTCGCTCTGACCTTTAAATGCTTTCTACCTATGCTTAACTTGTATTTTCCCAAACCTCAGCCGGTTCCACGTCAAAATAAGGTCGGAATAAATCAATCCGTCCGTAAGACTTGAAAGTGTCCTGAACTTGCTTCGAGCCCGCTTCCCACACCTTTAAGATCCAATTATTATTTAACAAATCATTTTTGACGCCCACCATCTTTCCCAATTGAGCTTGCAAGCCAAACTCGTTTGGTTGGATCCCGCCGGGCATTCCAGCGCCGATAAAATCGGGCGGCGGTCCATTTACATTCGGTGTTGAGCCGGACCTTTGTCGGGTGTCAGAACTTTCCGGCTGATAGTACGGCGGAGGATCCATAACCTTAACAACACAAAAATAAATATAAGCATCAACGAATCCAACAATAAAAAGATGAAAAGAAAAGATAAAAGTTTCCAGCACATTTTGTCGTGAGCGCGAGTCTGCCGTGCAAACACATTGGCGGCAAAAAGCATAACGCCAAAATTTTTTCACGCGGCGATTTTTGGTTTTTTTCATTTCTTATCTTCAGTTATTGATTTTCACAATCTTTTTAATTAGTTTTTATTTCGAGAAGAATAAATTTTTTTCACATTTCTAAAGCAAAAAGTATGTTTTTCGAGTTGGAAAAATACAATATGAGCGATGGAAAAAACGGCCGCGGCTGTTTTTTCCTACTCTATTTTTGCTCGTTTTTTGTTGCGTTAAGATTTGTTTTTCATTGTCAAATTTTTAGTTGGTTTTTTTCTTGAATTTTTTGTCGATTTGATTAAATAATTTCAGTTTTTCGCCGTCTTTTTCCTCATTTCATAAAAAATGTCGAACGAAAGGTAAATTTAAAGTTTTCAATATTTTGAAATTTTGAAAATTTCAGATTTGTGGTGAGTAATAAAGGCTCACTATTGTTCTACGATGACGATCACTACGAATACCGTATGCGAGCTTATAACCGCGATATTATTAAACTTGGCAGTGATATAATTTCGTTGAGGTGAATCTTTGAGGGGGGGAATAGAAAAGAAAAAAAAATTTCTGCAGGTGCAACAAGCCAAATTGCGTTGGGACGGCAGTTCTTATTGAAGATGGGACCGTTGTTCAGAAGTGTAATCACAGCCATAAGCCAGACATTGGCATAGTGAAGGTAAAAAAATTATGAGCCATTTAAAATTCATTATATGCGCTCCATAGTTAAATTTAATTTTTTGGGTGGGCTCGGGCCTTGGTTAGGGGAACCAGACGTACCCCGGATATTTTTGAGCAATTCTAGGGATCACTTAAGGGTTCTGACGTCTGAAGCGCGTTACCAACTTAGGAATTCCATGATTTTTAGGGGTAAGGGGGAAAACAGCCCCTATAGGGGCCGGAAAAGTGGTCCCTATAATGGTAAGATCATGGTGGTCTCTATGTGGAGGTTTAGGGTCCGACAGCTTAGCCCCTGAAGTTCAAGTGGTCCCTATAGGGGTGTTTAAAATTTCATTAAAAAAAACTATTCATTCAATTTTTCGCATGGGCTTGAGAAAAAAGTCGCATTGGGAAAATTAAAAGTATAGTTGAAAAGAGATCTTCTGAACTCTTACTGTATACTGATGCGCGAATATTATCAGTGGAGCGCAAGTTAGTCTAAAAAATAGCCATCTTCCAAAGAGACTTGAATTTTCTGCTATTGCCTATTCCGCGCCAGCTTGTCTCGTTTTTATTTCGGCCAAAAAGACCGTATACCATATTAGATCAAATTTCTGCTTTTATAACGGCAAGAAACTAAGGTCTTGAAGCGAAGGTTGGTTAAATTTGACCTGGCCTTTTGGCGGAAAGAAAAACGTGACAAGCCGGCGCGGAATGGCCTATAGAATCTCGGTTCTTCTCAAAAATTTTCATCAGGGGACAAATTATCATCGAAAAATTGTTCTTTTGTCCTTTAGAAACGGCAGCTGATCATTCAAATGAAAGAAGAAAAAGCCGAGGGAATCGACACGGCACGCGTAATTCGGAACGTCGTACAGAGAGCGGTCGACTCGGACTCAATGCGTTACTTACCGTCGAAGGAATCGTTGAGAAGAATCGCATATAACTTTGCGACAACCAAGCCTGAAGATGTGAATTTCTTGTAAAATGCGGACAGTTTAAAAGAGGATTTTTCAAACTTGATTTTTTTTCCAGGAAATCGTCAAAAAACCGCTCTCCCTACGCTTGTCACCGGAAAATTTCTATCAAAATAAAAACGGATACATTGAATATGTGATGCCGAGCCGGATATCTCCAGAACATGGCGTCAAATTTCGAATGAAATTCTGTCAAAATGACGATCCGACGAAGAAAGTTGTCCATTGGAGGTACTGGAAAAACCATTTTTATCTAGGAAAATGATTTTTTGTGAAATAAATATTCAAATTTGAATTTTTTCCAGGTGCTCCCACTGTGTCCATGTAAATGGAGAAGAGAAAAAAGTCACCGAAGGGAATTTTTCCCATATTTTTAATGGATTTTCGGCCATTGAGTATGATGGAAATTGGGTGGTCGATCCGGACGGCCTTCAAAATCATTGCTGTGGCTGGCCTTCCAGCGATCATTTGCTTCAGGTTAATAGGAGAAAATTTAGTAAAGAGTGTATAATTGGAGTAATTAAAGAAAAGTGGGAATAAAAAAATCAAATTTGACGATTTTTTTGGAATAATTATTGATTTTTTTGGCGCTGCCAAATTGGATGATTTTTTGGAATAATTATCGATTTTTTGGCGCTGCCAAATTTGACGATTTTTTGGAATAATTATCGATTTTTTGGCGATGCCAAATTTTAGGATTTTTGGGATAATTATTGATTTTAAGGCGCTGCCAAATTTAAAAAATCCAATGTTGCAATTTAGCTAAATTTCAGCTTTAATACTGAATAAATCATTTTCGCCGTGGCTTTTTTATGATTTAAATTCAAAAATTCAGCTTTTTTGATCAATTAACACTTTGATTCTCAGATTTTTTTAGATTGTTTTTTTCATTATAAGGAAATTTTTTTAGGTTTTTTTATTTTTCTGATTACTCGCAAAGAATTTCTTAAACCTTTAATTTTCAATAAAAAAAACTGAAAATTCCAGGACCTGAGAACGGTCGGAGTTGTTCAGAGGCCTCGCCAATTGTTCGACAGAATAAAGTTTGAATTTTCATCATTTTCAATATTTTTATCGTTTTTCAGGTTCAGGAAAGCTTACCCAAGATGGAAAAGGGACATGAAATCGAAGGAAGGTGTCACGGACATTGATTTGTGTTACAGTGTGAGATTTTATTCATTTTTTGTATAGTCTGTGTGCCACGACTTGAAATTTTACGGAACGACATTCCGCTGTTCCGCTGCGTGCGTTTGCGAACTTCGGTCTCGCTTTTAATTTTTTTTTTCTTTTCTTAAGGTACTCTACTTCCATGTGCTCCCACAGCAACAACAATCAATTGAAAGCGTGATCTAGATTCGTAAGACGCTTCGCGAACGCACGCGGCGGAACAGCGGAATGTCGTTCCGTGAAATTTCAAGTCGTGGCACACAAACTATAGGATTTTTTAATGAATATTTTTCAAGGAGCTTCTCCCATTGGCCAGCGAGGCCGAGGAGAATTTTCCCTGTATGGTTTGCCCTCATTCTCGACACAGATCTCGGATGATTTTATTCACGTTGCAATCGAAGATTTGCTGCGAGTGGGTCGAGCATTTGGGTGGGGATTTTTAGGAATTTTTTATTTTTCTGATGAATTTTGGTTCCAAAGTTTCAAATATATCATTTTCTCTTTCTTCTTGGCTCATTTTTCCATCGCAAACGCCTCAAACCTTTGAAAATCTGTATTTACTCTTTTTTTTTACTGTTGTCCCCACCTTCTATCAAAGCGCTTTTCAATAAACTTGTATTTTATTTTGCCTTTTTTTCCGTATAACTTCAAAAGGATTTTCTCTAACTTCCTGGTTAAACGTTGAAAAAAGGAAATTTTATAGGGATGTCCTGAAAATTTCGAACTTTGGTACCATTCCAAAAAATGAAAAATTTTATAAATAGATTTTTATTTTCCGTAACTTCTTCTAACTGCTTTGAAAATGTTATAGTGATTTTCTTCTCATAGAATCTTCCATTCCAATAATTTCAGGACTTCCTAGTTTAACGTCCAAAAAAAAATATTCTCATAGGATGCGCTAAAAATCACGAATTTTTATACCATTCCAAAAAATGAAAAATTTTATAAATAGATTTTTATTTTCCGTAACTTCTTCTCTTTGGAAATGTTATAGTGATTTTCTTCTCATAGAATTTTCAAATTTCAATAATTTCAGGAGGAGACGATTTTCTCCTGGCCATCGATAGAACCCCAACTCTTCTACGATTTATTTGCCGCTCCCATTTTTCCAGCTTTCGTTTTTCCCGATGGCGATTTTTCTCTGGAGAGCTTCCAAAAAGTGTTGGAAGGACGGGATGTGTGTTATTTTTTTATATTTTTAATAATAATAGTTCATTTTAATAATTATAATAGTTCGTTGTATTTTTGATTATAATGGTTCATCTTGATTAATTTTTTTGGGAAAAAAAGGTCAAATTTCCAATTTTTAGGATGAAGGAATCTTGCCGAAACCGCTACAGGGACGACCACGATTATTTGTTCTTTAAAAAAAGGTTAAAAAGTTGAGATTTTTCATCAATTTTTGATTTTTAGAAGGCTAAAATTGAACCGGTTTTTTTGTTTCAAATGAGGCGGTTTCGACGGCGAGCAATTTTGGTTTGTTTTTCCATGATTTTTTTCTATAAATAATGCTATTATATTTGATTTTTCTGCCTATAAATGTATTGTTTAATCTTGCGATTTAAGTTAGAATTTTTATATCTTGAAGGGGCTTTTTTTGTGATTATCTTGCTATAAATGATTATTTAGACGAAGGAAAAAGTGAAAGAAGAGCCGATTGAGGAGGAATTTCAAGTTAAACAGGAAGTCCCGGATGAAGACGATTTCCGACAACCTTCCTGCTCTTTTCTACAAGAACAGAAAGTTCTTTTTGGTAGGTTTAAAAAAAAATTTTGAGGATTTTAGAAGAAAATTGAAAGAATATAACACTTTGATAGTGAAAAATCGACGTTTAAAAGAGATTTTTTGTCGAACATTGAATTTTTAGAGCCTACAGAGTGGTCCCTATAGGGCCCCTCTAGGAACCACTTTACCAATCCCTATAGGGGCCACTAAAGCTTGCAAAGTGGTCTCTATAGGGGGCATGCTATGCGACAATTTTTATGAACTCTAGGCAAAGAAGCATTTCCATGAGAAAAACTAATGAAACCTTTTTTGAATAAATTGAACGACCCCTATAGGGACTACCTTGATTTTACCCCTATAGGGATCACTTTTTCGGTCCATCTTGGGGCTGTTCTTCCCCCTTACCCCTATAGGGACCACTCTAAATTTCCTGAGTGAATCAAATTTTTGCAACGTCGGAAAAAAAAGGGAAAAAAAAGTTTTAAATGATGTTCTGGACAGAGAAAAAATCTATTTTCATTGTAAATTTATCATATTTCTAATTTTTTTCTGTTTTTCTCCTTTCTTCTTCAGTTTCTATGAAGTTTTGGTGATTTGATAATTCTGAAAAAAAGAATGATTGAAGTTTATAATCAATTTAATCTAGAGCGAATTTTTTTCAAATTAACTTTTTTTAGTGTAATTTTTTTACCGATTTGCCACCTGTTCCTCCCGAATTTTTCTAGGAAATCACCGTTTTGAGATTTCAGCCTAATTTTGTAGAGAAAAGTATGTCCCGACAACAAGAAATGGAGGAAGAAGAGGACGATTTCGACGAAATGGTCGAGGACGATTCGGCATTCGACCCGGCCTATGGTGATTTTCTAGAAAAATATAGATGAAAATTCAATTTTTTTTTAGCCTCGAAACAGAAGGATTTCCGAAAACTATTAGTAAATCCTAGCCGCCGGAGCACGAGACGCAAGAGAAAGTCAATACGACTTGGTTTGGATTTTATTAGAAACTTGTGAAAAATGATATTTTTCCAGTTCGAAGTGCAAACGCTTGCCGAGAATGCGGGAGCTATTGTGAGGTCGAATATGACCCGAAAAAACGAGGAGAAGTTGGTTTTGTGACGAAAAAGTTTACTGGGAAAATGATTTTACCTTACCGCTGGAGTTTCTAGAAAAGCCAGAATCTTAGGAACTCCAGAGTGGTCCCTATAGGGGCAACCTTAGGGACCTTTTTCTTGAAAAGTAACCAGAATCTTCCCCTCTAGAGACCACTTTACCAACCCCTATAGAGGCCACTAAAGCTTTCAAAAGGGTCCTTTAGGGGTTTTAGTGAGTGGCCCCTACAGGGGACATGATAATCGATAAATATATGAGCTTTATGCGAAGAAGCTTTTCTAGTGGAAAAGTTAAGCGTTGAAGTTGAGAGACCCCTATAGGGGCCACTTGAGCTTTAGGGGCTACGGCTCAAACTCTAAACCCCTATAGGGACCACCTTGATTTTACCCCTATAGAGACTACTTTTCCAACCCCTATAGAGGCTGTTTTCCCTTAACCCCTATAGGGATCTCACTGAAATTCCTAAGTCAGATTCCCCGCAAGTCTTCTGCTTATAATAGGGCCTTTGAGACGGCCTACTGGGTCAAACTCTAATTCCCTATAGGGACCACTTTTCCGGCCTCTATAGAGGCTGTTTTCCCCACTAACCCCTATAGGGACCACTCCGGAATTCCTGAGATATTCCTTGATGTAACAGATAAAGATTCTGAAAGCCCCAACCTGCGAAAACTCCCGATTTTCGGGAAGAAACAACAAAATCCGAATAAAATTCATTAAAATAGGCTATTTGGAGACTTTTTTTTTCTTGAAAAATAGGAAGTTCTGGAGATGGAAACGTTCAGAAACTCATCAAGGAGTTTTTAAGCCATTTTTCAGAACATTTTTTCCATCATTCAATAAGACGATATATAGAAAAGTTCATCTGGAAATAAAATCTAAGAGATCACTATAGTGAAGTCACTCGGACCGTTTTTTAAGGCTCCAAGAGGCTCTTAATTTAGAGCTCATTTCAAAGAACCTAGTGGTCGCTCTAGGGATTGAATTTAAGTAAAAAACTTAATTTTCAAATTCCAGTTGTTCTTGTGCGAAGACGGACACCGGTATTATCGATTGCCGAGGATCAAATCCGGCACAATCACTTATGAATATGTTCAAGCTTGAATGGTCTAGTCTCCTTTATATATATGTGTACAGAACAGAACCCGGTTATTCGAAAAATAAATTATTTTATCGCTTATTTGTATTTTCCTATGGGTGAAGTTGATCAGAAATACCCGGTTTTAGGATCTTATTTGAGAAGAGATTGTAAATTTTAGTTATTTCTGCTGTTTTGAGCTTCAAAAGTTCATGAGGGAGAAAGGTATTTTTTAAATCGAACAAAAAAAAAAGGTTTCACTTAACACGCGTTCTCTGAGAAAGTCGATGAATCTGAAGCAAAATAAAAAAAATTTTTTTAGATTTGCCTCAAAATGTGATCACGGCTCACACACGTGCTTCTGATTATTTAGCACCAGGTTCCAGGTGGCTCCGCCCCTTTTAAAAGATACTGTAGACAGTAAGCTGAAAAAAATTAATTTTTTCCTGTTGAGAATTTTTCATTCAAAAAAACGTTTGGAAATGTAAGAAAACACTATTTTGAGTATTTTTTTCAGTTGTAACTTTTTTTCTAACTCGACTTCTTCGGGGAGAAAAATCGAAATTTCCTCAAAAAAACAGCGATTTTTTTCAGTTTTTTTGAGCCATAACTAGAGTAAGAACCCCCTATGGTACGACTTTTTTATTTCTGATTATGAAACTAGGGGCCTTCTTGTTCAAAAAAAGGTAGTTCTACAACAAATCCCTGGGGTGGGATAGTTGACCTCCATTCGACCGAAGGTGATCAACTCGAATCGGCTCAAAATTCGAAAAATCATTTTTCTTCTAGTCTGACGGCTTCTTCCTCTTTTTCGTTTTGAAACAAAAGACAACACTCACGTTCATGTTCTCCACCATTTTGGTGCTCAAAGAAAATTTTATTCCGAATTTCTCGTGACTTTTCGAATTTTTGGACTTTCGTCGATTTTCGATTTTTTCCGTTTTCAGGTAGTTTTTTCTGTAGGAACCCCCGAATGTGGTCATTATCTTTTGGTATATGGAAGAGTAGGTCTTTTTGGATAAGGAAAAATTAGTCCGGTAAAAACCTCTGGGGTTGTCCAGTTGACCTCCGACCGCCTGAAGGTGACGACCCCAAAAATGGAATTTTCACAAAGGCTCGGAAAACAACTTTTTTTGTTTCCATTCTAACAAAAAACTTTTTCAGTGAGACCTACATCACTTTTCGACACGAGTCGGAGTCTTTTTCGGCAAGAAATAAGTAGTTTTATTCAAATTTGAGGCTTGGCACGCCTATCTTCGTTTTCACCGGTTTTACCTGCTCTAAATTGCTGAAGTAACCTGGAGACCCGTTCAAAAAGATTTTAGGGAAACCCAGCGAATGTTTGAATTTTCGAGAAATAAAAACACCTTATGACATTCAGAAATGTCAATTACTCTTTAAAAAACAACTATTGATGAAACTTAATAAAAAGAAAAAAGAGAGACTTAATAAACCTGACTTTAATCCGGAAGATGCATTGAAACGCTTTTTAGGTTAAAAAATGCATTTTTTAAAAACCTTTTTTCATTTGAGCTGTTCTGTAAATGAATGAAAAACATGAATAAGTATCTGTATAAACGTTGGAACACAAAAAAAGCCAGAATTGTATTACAAGAACTTCTAAAAGCTTCAGAAACCTCAATTTCAAGGGAAATGTGTATATATAGAGTTGATTGAAAAAGTAAAAAACTGTCAGTTACTGTATTTTGGCGAAAAAATAATTTTTGAAAATCATCGACATTTCTGAATGTCATAAGGTGTTTTTATTTCTCGAAAAAGTTGATAAAAAAGCTTTTTTCGCCATTTCTTCACTCCGATCACCCTTGCTTTGGTGTTCAAAAAATTCAAACATTCGCTGGGTTTCCCTAAAATCTTTTTGAACGGGTCTCCAGGTTACTTCAGCAATTTAGAGCAGGTAAAACCGGTGAAAACGAAGATAGGCGTGCCAAGCCTCAAATTTGAATAAAACTACTTATTTCTTGCCGAAAAAGACTCCGACTCGTGTCGAAAAGTGATGTAGGTCTCACTGAAAAAGTTTTTTGTTAGAATGGAAACAAAAAAAGTTGTTTTCCGAGCCTTTGTGAAAATTCCATTTTTGGGGTCGTCACCTTCAGGCGGTCGGAGGTCAACTGGACAACCCCAGAGGTTTTTACCGGACTAATTTTTCCTTATCCAAAAAGACCTACTCTTCCATATACCAAAAGATAATGACCACATTCGGGGGTTCCTACAGAAAAAACTACCTGAAAACGGAAAAAATCGAAAATCGACGAAAGTCCAAAAATTCGAAAAGTCACGAGAAATTCGGAATAAAATTTTCTTTGAGCACCAAAATGGTGGAGAACATGAACGTGAGTGTTGTCTTTTGTTTCAAAACGAAAAAGAGGAAGAAGCCGTCAGACTAGAAGAAAAATGATTTTTCGAATTTTGAGCCGATTCGAGTTGATCACCTTCGGTCGAATGGAGGTCAACTATCCCACCCCAGGGATTTGTTGTAGAACTACCTTTTTTTTGAACAAGAAGGCCCCTAGTTTCATAATCAGAAATAAAAGTCGTACCATAGGGGGGTTCTTACTCTAGTTATGGCTCAAAAACTGAAAAAATCGCTGTTTTTGAGGAAATTTCGATTTTTTTCTCCCCGAAGAAGTCGAGTTAGAAAAAAAGTTACAACTGAAAAAATACTCAAAATAGTGTTTTCTTACATTTCCAAACGTTTTTGAATGAAAATTCTCAACAGGAAAAAAATTAATTTTTTTCAGCTTACTGTCTACAGTATCTTTTAAAAGGGGCGGAGCCACCTGGAACCTGGTGCTAAATAATCAGAAGCACGTGTGTGAGCCGTGATCACATTTTGAGGCAAATCAAAAAAAAATTTTATTTTGTTTTGCTTTTTATTACTGAAAAGTCATCGATTTTCTCAGAGAACGTGTGTTAAAGGGTCACTTCAGATTATTTCTAGGACTGGAGTGATCATTTTAGAAGCTAGGCAGAGACCCCTTGAATGACCACTTGCTTCAAAAAAAATTTTAATACTTCACGGGGTCACCCGCCTTGATTACCTTTAAAAAATGATTGGATGAGAATTTGGCGACCCCTAAAGAGCTCCCTTCTCTTCAAAAGCTCTTGAGTGACCCCTTCAGAATGTCCCTTTGGCATTCAGAGTCTAAGGTTTGATTAGAAAAGGAATTGACGTCCCCTAAAGCGATCCCTTCTATTTAAAAGCTTTTGAGTGACCCCTTCAGACTCCCTTAGCATTCAGAAACTCAAGCGGCCCTTTAAGAAGCCCCCTAAAGACTGCTTAAGTGAACACTTTCTTCTATATATTTTTAGAAGGCAACCCAGGTGTGGCGGAACTTGAAGGTCAATATAATGATCACTTAAGTGCAACTTTAGGAGATAGGCAAAGATCCTTCCTGAAGTGAACTCTTAAGAGTTTTTGTTTAGAAAGAGTTTTCTTTCCCTTTCTATTGATGATAGCCTACTGGATAAGATATGAACCTATTTTTTGATGTCCTCCTAGTATTTTTTTTTCATTTCTAAAGGATTCCATGTAGACTCCATTCATGCAATTGTGAGCAGTAATTTTATTATCTAATCCATGAACCTCATTTTCCTCGGATTTTTTCAAAGATCTTGCATTTTTTCGCTTATTAAGTGTACCCTATGCTTATTTTCTGAAAAGTTATACATTTTTTTGAAAATTTGATGAATTTTTCACTTGAAGGAAAATGTTCTTAAAATCACACTTTTTGACTTCAGAAAAAGAAACAAGTCTTTTTTTTCCAGATTCTTACATAGCTTTCTTGAAATAACTCGGAAAATCTGAAGTGGCCACTTGAGAGCTTTGAAATCGAAGTGGTCACTTAAGGCCCTCCTTAGGAACTCCAGAGTGGTCCCTATAGGGGCAACCTTAGGAGCTTTTTAGGGTTCTCTGCATGGAACATTTTTCCAACCCCTATAGGGGCCACTAGAGCTTGCAGAAGAGGCCCCTATAGGGGAAGAATTTTTAATATCTCTATGCGAAGAAGCAAAACCTGACCTGAACAAATAACCTTTTTTGAATGAAATTGAAAGACCCCTATAGGGTCGACTTAAGCTTTATGGGCTAAGGGGTCAGAACTTAAAACCCTATAGGGACGACCTTAATTTTAACCCCATAGGGACCACTTTTCGGCCCCTATAGGGACTGTTTTTCCCCTAACACCTAAAGGGACCACTCCAAACTTGTCAGATTTTCCCAAAATCTTCTGCTAATTGGGGTTTTGAGCTCTCAAGGGATCACTCGATGCCATCTGAAGGATTTTTTAAGTAAGTGGCTACTTTAGGAGTCCTTAAAGACTTTGAGCCACTGTAGGCTCTCATTATTAAGGTCCAAGTGACCTCTTGAGACTTTTTTCAGTTGAAGGGGCCACTTTAGTCTTTCCCTGTTCCTTCTCGAAAAGCTTGTAACAGAAGGATTACCCTTGCTGACCCTTAAGTGGTCACTTGCCGCCATAAATTATGATAATAGAGGATGGTAGCTACTTAAGTAATAATGTGAAGTGATAACTTTAGGCTCTATCAGAAATTTTCGTTATTTAGCCAAATGAGTAAAAATTTCAAGCCCAATGAGCTTGAAAGAGAAAGACGAAGAAAAACTTTGTCCAAAGTTTCGCTCAGAACGACGTAAATTAGTGAATTTCAAAGTTTTGAGCGCTTTTTTCATTCCTTCTCCTCATTTTTTCAAAGAAAAAAAATGGCAAAAATAAATTGCATAAAGAAGGATTCGAACCTGCATCATAGGTTTCATAGCGCTAGACCGCTAACCACTACACCACGCCGCCTGCTGGCAGTTAGAGTTAGCCGCCGAAACACATTCCCTCCTCCCTTCCAATGCATTGTTTGCGTGCAAACTTTGAGGCGCCATAACTCGACTAGAACCAAAAATTTTTTCAACTTCTTTGAATTCAGAATGTCCGAAAGTACCTATATACCAAGTCTCCTTTGCACTTCCCGTGTTAGCCAAAGATTTTTGATGAAGTTTATCTGAAATTCGAGACATCTGTGATCTTTATCACAACTTTTTTCGTCACTTTTTGAGCCATTAGCCAAAAAAAGACGAGAAAAGTCGAGAAGAGAGCGACTTGTGAGTCGGAAATGAGCAGGGTCCGACATTCAATTTTGCAGTAGTCTTTTTCGCCGCCGATGCGGTAAACGAGCAGCGAAAAAAAAAGAGAGGAGGTTTCAAAATCAGATGACGGCGCTTTTCTGCACTGGCTGATGCGATTTTTGATGATGAAGCGCTGATTTTTGCTCTTTTTGCTTCTTTACCCCGACTTTTCTTGTACCTTTCTTATCTGAGATTTGCTTGAGGAAGGCCAGATTTTATGTAGTTTGGTCAAAATTACAGAAGAATCGTTTTGTCATTTGAATTACTGTTAAAAGGCTAGATTTGTCTGAACTTTTGAATAATAAAGCTCAGTTTTTTGCTCTTTGAGCTCATTTTCTCCGACTTTTCTTGTACCTTTTTTTCTTAACTTGAGCTTGAAGAAGGCCAAATTGTATGTAGTTTGGTTGCAATTACAAAAGAACATTTTTTTCTTTTAAATTACTGTTAAAAGACTACCTTTAACCAAACTTTTCAATTATGAAGCTCAAATTTTTGCTTTTTAGGTTCATTTTTCCTAGCTTTTTATTGTACCTTCTTTCCTTAACTTGAGCTTGAAGAAAGCTAGAATGAAATTAGGTTGGTCATAACTAGAAAGAAATCTTTTTTGTCTTTTAAATTACTGTTAGAAGACTTGCTTGTCTAGACTTTTTGCTGATGAAGCGCTGATTTTTACTCTTTGGGCTCATTATCTCCGAACTTTCTTGTACCTCTCTTCTTTAAATTCAGTTTTTTTTTTCTTTTTGTTCCGGTGTCTTTTAGACCTAAATCAAAGCTCTAAAAAATCTTCGCTCGATATAAAATATTCTGAATTTTGATTGTTCGCTCAAATTGATCTATAAACTGACCTCGTATGAATGTACGACGGGCCTAATCCTAATAGTTTTCTCCACACTTTGATGCATTTTTTAGTAGAAATGAGCCTTCTTCCGCTATTTTTCCTGCTCCTTTTGATCCCCAGATCTAAGAAAGTTCAACTGGAGCAAAACTTAGAGATTTTTTTTTGACTTTTTTCAGACGTTATCATCTTTTCTGAGGCTATTTTTAATTTTTGCTCTTTTTCCCAAGCCTAATATTGCTTCTAGGTTGATCTTCATCTAATATAGAAGCCCTTCTGACGTACTTTTCGATCATGAAGCCCAGACAACGTAGTAATGGGAATATAATATTAATAGTAGAAATCGTGGGAATTTCCCAAGCGGATTCACTCCTCGTGGGAACTAATGCGAAATGAATAGCCTATTAGTACTTCCTACACTTAATCTGATAATTTTGAGTTTTGATTGGAAAAATTATATTTTTTTGATGCCTTTTTAAAAAGTTTTTAATAAATTGAACGATGCTCCAGTTAATATATGAACGGTATGATCAAAAAAATTTTTTTAAGGAAATCAAAAAAATCCTTGGAAAAATATAATTCAAAAACGATTCCTGAACAGTTCCCCTTCCTGGAAAAATTGATCCTTTTTCACAAAAAAAAGCTAAAATTGGCCAAGTTCCGAGCATAAGTTCAAAGTGGCCTTTTTCCTACTAATCCCTAGCAATTTTTCCTGTCATTTGTAATTTCTGACATTCCTCAGCCACGTGCGTTGGACCTTTGTAAAGTGCGGCTTTCATAAATATCATTAAAAAGTTCTTGAAGCAGGAAATTTGTCAAATGCATCCATTTTCCAAGATTATTATCACTACTGACTTCGGAAAAAATATTGTTTTTCAATAAAAATCTTCATTTTTTATACTCCATGTACCATTGACTTAGGATAAAAATTGAAAATTTTGAAAATCAGCTCCATATTTGATAATTAAAAGTGTACGAAAGTCTCAGTTTGAAACTAAACTTCATTCGACCAAAAAAAGACGTCTAAATCTCTTTTTTTACCCACTATTTTTCTATGTTTCTTTTTGAAATTATAATAGCCATTGGTGAATGAACTATGTCTAGCTAGAGCTCATAAAGAAAGAGTAAAACTCGAAAAACGGCTTTGAAAATAATGATTCATTTCAATTAATTAACTTGAACTTATCAACGCCTCCACTCAAATTAATTACCTTATGAGTTTACCCATTACTCATTATTATTCTCAGGAAAGGTTTTTTTGCGCCTTCTCTATGATTTTTTTGGGAAGCTTAAGTTTTTTGAAAATTGATCAGAGCTAAAAAGTTCGAAAGCCTAATTTTTTTGAACTTTGGCTTTTTTCCAAATGTTTTTGGCAGCGCCTAAAAACGAAAAAAAAAAATTTGGCAGCGCCTAAAAACGAAAAAAAAATTTGGCAGCGCCTAAAAACGAAAAAAAAATTTGGCAGCGCCTAAAAAAACGAAAAAAAAATTTGGCAGCGCCTAAAAACGAAAAAAAGAAAATTTTGGCAGCGCCCTAAAAACGAAAAAAAAAATTTGGCAGCGCCCAAAAAAGAAAAAAGAAATTTTGGCAGCGCCCAAAAACGAAAAAAAAAATTTTGGCAGCGCCCAAAAAACGAAAAAAAATTTTGGCAGCGCCCAAAAACGAAAAAAAGAAAATTTTGGCAGCGCCCAAAAAAACGAAAAAAAAGAAATTTTGGCAGCGCCTAAAAACGAAAAAAAAATTTGGCAGCGCCCAAAAAACGAAAAAGAAAAATTTTGGCAGCGCCCAAAAAAACGAAAAAAAAGAAAATTTTGGCAGCGCCTAAAAACGAAAAAAAAATTTGGCAGCGCCCAAAAACGAAAAAAGAAATTTTGGCAGCGCCTAAAAAACGAAAAAAAAAATTTGGCAGCGCCCAAAAACGAAAAAAGAAATTTTGGCAGCGCCCAAAAAAACGAAAAAAAGAAATTTTGGCAGCGCCTAAAAACGAAAAAAAATTGGCAGCGCCTAAAAAAGAAAAAAGAAATTTCGGCAGCGCCCAAAAACGAAAAAGAAATTTTGGCAGCGCCTAAAAACGAAAAAAAATTTGGCAGCGCCCAAAAACGAAAAAAAAAATTTGGCAGCGCCTAAAAAAACGAAAAAAAAATTTTGGCAGCGCCTAAAAACGAAAAAAAAATTTGGCAGCGCCCAAAAAAGAAAAAAGAAATTTCGGCAGCGCCCAAAAACGAAAAAAGAAATTTTGGCAGCGCCTAAAAAACGAAAAAAAAAATTTGGCAGCGCCCAAAAACGAAAAAAAAATTTTTGGCAGCGCCCAAAAACGAAAAAAAATTGGCAGCGCCCAAAAACGAAAAAAAGTTTGGCAGCGCCTAAAAATGGAAAAAATATTTAGCAGCGTCTAAAAAACGAATCAGTCGTGAATTAATGAACTAATAATCTAAAAATTAATCACTTTTCTTCAATTACTAACCTTTCGAGTCATACTATGAATTACTCACCTTATTCTCAAGAAAGCTTTTTTTTCATACCATTTTCAACCTTTTTTTGCAGCCGATTTTTGCTCACTTCCTTCTAAATTTAAATATCAGATGGCCATTCGAACCTTTCTTTCCACAAAAGAATTCCTTCCAGGCCTCAGATTTCTTGGCGTTTTGTTATTATGTGCGACTGACACCTTGTGTACACCACCCAAAAAAAATCGTTTCCAACGGAGAAAATTTTCGAAATGAATTATTCCACACATGTATATCCCTGCCTTGTTTTTCGGCTCCTCTAGTTTGCTCAAGCTAGAAAACAATACGGGAAATATGCTATTTTTAATTAGCTTCTGCATTTTTCATGTATAAATTTAACCGAGACAGCTGGAAAAGTTTAGTTTTTTAATAGAGAATATTGCTCACCTTAACTCATAATAGCTTAATTCCGTCTGCAAAAAAATATTTAGATCTTTCGAGCCTCTCTGATTCAAATTTACTGTTAGAGACTGAAATTTCAAAGCTCCGATTTTTTTTTTCCGATAACATCGTGTTGCTCATCTTAACTCACTATTCCTCGTCCTCACTGGAAAAATTTATTTTTCATTGTTTTTAACGCCCTCCGAATATTTTTGCAGTTAAAAAATTAACATCGTATTGCTCAGATTAACTCATTTTTGTCGACAAAATTATCTATTTTGTCAAGTCTCTTCTGATTCAAATTTCCTGTTGTTGGGTCCCTTTTTCGAAAGCAGTTCTAACAAATTTCTTATATGTCTATATATTGCTCATCTTAGCTCATCTTTGCTCGTCATATTAGTCATTTTTTTTTACAGAAAAAGCTCCTTACATCAGCTTATGAAACGTTAATAAGTTGATGACTTGAAAAAAAAGCCAACTCATCTAAGCTCCGCCCACATGTTGCAAAACGGGAAGTCATCATTTTGACATGCGATTTATCACTGAGATCTTCTCGGATCCCATTTTTTTTTTAGATAAATTTTCGAATTTTGATAAAAGAGTTGTTTGTACTCAATCTTCTACGGCTTATATTGCATTGGTTTCACTTAAAATGGCAAAAATAGTGCCAATTTATGATTAAAGCTATTTTTAATACCAGAGTGCGCAAGTCGTTTTTGGGTCGGGCGCAGCCTTGAACTGACTGCGACGCGTAGAGCCATTTCAAGTGCGACCTTTAACTTTGAAGTAGTAGAAAATGAAGTATTTTCTCGAAACAAAAGAATTAAAATGATTTTTACGCGTTTATAGCAATTTATTGCTCATTTTAGCTAATAAAATTTTGTTCCGTAAGATCTTGTTGCTCATGTTAGCTCATCCTTTGTTTCAGACAAGAAAACCACGTTTTTTTAACTTTTCAAAACCTTGTTCTCCAGGATATCGTGCTCATTTTTCTTCGTTTTAATTACAGGCTTCTCATCCACTTGCTTCTATTCGTATGATTCATAATTATTGGTTTCAAACCAACAATTTCATTTTTTATTTCATTTTTCTTGTTTTCAGAATCTCACAGCTTCATTGAACCCATCCGAAAATGCTGAAACAGAAAGCGGCCAGCGTCAAATTGCCACGGAACAGCAAGAAGTGTGAGTTTTTTGCATTTGAGGAATTTCAAGCTAACATGAGCAATATTTGACGGCTTGTCGGTCAAAAAATGACATCTTTTCGTGTCCCGGAGGAGACTCAATCCGACTCCTCACAGAAAAAATCAAAAAATTTTTTTAAAGGAATTTGACGAAATTTGTAGCTCAGGCTGGTGTTTAGAAGGTCACAGGTTCGGCCCACCTTGGCGATTTACTATTTTTTGCAGTTTTTATTGATGCCTCTACTTGTTTTTTGCAAGTCAGGTCTTATCAAGAAACACTTCGAAAGATTTTTCAAGCTCGGCGCATCCGGTAGTAGTCTTAACTGGTGTTCAGAAGGTCACAGGTTCGACCTCCCTTAGCGGTTTTTTTTTTTGCAAATTTTATTCAAACCTTTAGTTGGTTTTTATTAGTTGGATCTTTATTAGCAAACACTTCAAAACCTTTCTTAAGCTTGGCGCATTCGGTAGTAGTCTTAACTGGTCTTCAGAAGGTCACAGGTTCGATCCCTCTTATCGGCATATTTTTTTGCGAATTGTATTGATGCTTCTACATGCTTTTTATGATTCGGGTCATGTTAAGAAACACTTCAAAAAATTTTCCAAGCGTGGCACATCCGGTAGTTGTCTTAACTGGCATCTAGAAAGTCACAGGTTCGACCCCCCTTCTGAGCGGTAATTTTTTTGCTGGATTTGTAAGTTTTCTGAAACTGAAAACTAATCTTTTCCGTGCAATTTTTCTATCTTGTGCCTTATTTAGACAAAATTTTCGAGTTTGACGCAAACGGTAGTGACCCTAACAGCTGCCCAAGGAGTCACAGGTTCAACCCCCATCCAGAGCGGAAAATTTTTTGCCGAAAAGTTTTGAAGTCTCTGAGCTAGATTATAGTTTTCCCATTAAATTTATGTGCAAGAAAGATTAAGAAAAAAATTCAATGTTTAGCTTTTTTTGGCTAGTAATAATGAAAGTCAGAAGTTCAGTTCCATTCCAGAAAAACATATATTTCTGCTTCTTTTTTTAAAAAAATATATGACTATAAACAGAGAAAATATGAGCTTCAGACATGAATAAATCTAAAAAAAAATTGGAAAAAGCTGTACCTTTGTCATTGCCAAGGCAATCTCCAAGCTTCATCTCATTTTTAGTCCTTTTCTGAGCAGATGTTGTTGATTTTTTCCTTTGAAAAACACGCCCGAAAATGACCTTTTACGGCTGCAAATCCTATTTTCGAACCTTTTCTCATTTTCCGACTGGATTTTTATTTTTCTAGGCGGTTTTGAAGTCTAGCGTGCTTCAGTTTTTGCTGTGAATCGTGAAAAATTAATCAGAACTTGGGGCCAAAAACGTTTCAGCGAGTTTCATGACGATATTATGTGCGTGACTCGAATATTTTAATATTCATGGTATCAGTTCCAAGTATGGAAATAGTCGAGCGGAGATCTCGGTTTTGAAAAAATGAGCAAAAATCATATTGGCAAAAAAAAAAGTAGAGACTAGGGATCGAACCTGGGACCTTTTGAGCTTTGGCAAGGCTCTTACCAGTTGAGCCAAGCTGCAGGATCTCATGCAATAGATGAAAACCATGGGTTTTGATGCATTTCAAGCTTTATTATAACTAAAGAAGACCCCTTGGATTATTTTTGAAAGCGAAAAAAACTCATTGGCCTTTAATACTGAAACAAAAAAATAATTGAAATGGCAAAAACGCAGCCGGGAATCGAACCTGTGACCTTCTGAGCCAAGGGAAAGTTCTTATCCATTGAGCTATTCTCACCGAGTCTTTGCAGTAGACAAAAACTAACGGAAATTTGCTCCAAAGGATTTTATCACTAAAGCAGCATCTTACAGATTTTAAAGGCGCAGGGCGGAGCCCCAAAACCACTTGCGCCTTTAAAACTGTTATGAATGGACTATTCCTCATTTTTTCCATTGTTTGTCCTATTTTCCATTCTACATCGAAGTCGAGGCTTTTAGGTTACCAAAAACTTTAAAAAAATGATCATAACTATAGCTCAGCCGGTTAGAACCTTGCCTACACTCCCGACGTCATTGGTTCGAATCTTCAAGATGCTAAAAAATTTTTTGCTATTTTTCAAAAAGGCAAAAAACACACACAAACCAGGGATAATAACTTCCTCAAGACGTATAATCGTTCGGAGAAAAAATGATGAAAAAAAAATTTTTGTGCACGTCATTTGCATGGAGTAAAGATATTTTTTTCTTTTTTTAATGAAGAAATTTTTCGAATACTACCACCAAAAAGGTCACTGGTTCGAGTCCTCTCGGCGGACAAAATTTTTGCCTTTTTAGGAGCTTTTCTCTTTGAAGCTTTTCTATGACCAGAATCCGCTGATTTTTCTACTTGACTGAGAATATTTTCACTGCTAGCTTAAAGGTCACAGGTTCGAGTCCTCTCCTCGTTTTTGCCATTTTTGCAAGTCAAACAATAGTATTTTCCCCGTTTTACCTTTGCAAAATACCCACCAAATGCAAATAGAAATTTCTCACAATTGGTCCAATTTCATTCGATAGCCCGTTTTTTTCAAGAAAACTAGTCCTTTTTTCGTTTTTATCCACAATAAATGGATTAATCCCGTTGAGAAATCACCCAAAAAAGTCAATTTAATATAGAAACCAACTCACCACTCTTCGTAAATCATTCCAATTCATTTCAAACTACAAACGGAAGTTTTTACGATTCATAAAATCCTTCAGTTGAGCGGAAGAATTGCCCTTTTTGCATTGAAATTTCCGGTTCCCTCTATGATTTTTCAGGCTCGTTAGCTATATTTTATCCGGGTTTTGTTCAAAAAACGTCATTTTCCTTCCTTTTCAAAGCAGTTTAGCATGAGGAAGTCAGATAAACGTTTGAAAAGCCTTCAGTTTCATATTTTACAACTAATTTTTTGAATCTTCTGACTTTTTCCTATTGAAAAAGGGGATACTTCATTCGCTAGAACTTGAGAGAGTATTTAGTGTCTGCGCTCTCTCTTCTCTAATCAAACGAGAGAGTGAGAGAGCGCAGACATGTCAGAAAGATGATTCGTCGTTTTTTTTAATCAAAAAGTCAGGAAAATTCCAAAACAGGACCCTGAACGGTTGACAGTAACCCTTGCTTTCTTGCTAGGCGCGCTGAATTTAGACCCTTACTCTTTATTGCAAAATATTGCTCATTTTATAGAAAATCCCGGAGTCGTAAACACCTTCAAAGTTTAACTTTGCTCATGTTACCTCATTCTACCCATTCCTTTTGAACCATTTCATTATTTTTCAGGCGGTTAATTTGGTCCTTTACTCTTTATTGCAGAATATTGCTCATTCTATAGTAAGCCCCGATTTTCAGTCTAAAAACACTTCAAAAATTTTAGTTTTGTAGTTTATGTTAGCTCACATCATTCTTACTTTCAAAAATTCTTCTTCTGGAAACTGCGCCAGACCAAAAACGACTTGCGCTTGTGACATCAAACCGCGACCCTTCGAGCCATTCCGCGTGCGACCACGACGTTTCTCTTTCTTTATGAATCAAAAGCCTTTATCAAAAACTTATCAGATATCAAAAACCAGGCGATTGACGCACCGCCGGGCTCACAAGTCAGATTAGAAGAAGCCCTTGTTTTAAGAAAAGCGTTCCGCCCCGTTTCGTCTCATTTTCATGTCTCATTCATGTTTTGAAACAAGTGTATAATAAAAAAAAAACGGATCGATTTCATTTGTTGCGCCGGCTGAAAAAGTCACACCGGAAATGTTTGTTCCGCCTGGACTTTTTCTGCTCTGATTGTCCCTTTTTCGAAAAAGAAAAGTTTCCTTTCTATTCAACAATTTCAGCTTCATTTCACCGTGAATTTCGAATTTTCGGGTTGATATTTCAAGCTTCAAACTTTTCATTTATTGTAAAATCCATTATGGCCTTTAGTTTTGAATAGGATTTGAGAAAAAATAGCCGCGTGGTTATTTATTTCTGCGCTCTATTGCTAAATTTGAAAAAATAATATTCTTCCTGCGTTTCAGCTTGATTAATATGTAGCAAACTTGAATTTTTCCCCAGAACTCCCATATTTTCCTGAAAATTAGCGATAGAGCACACAATGACATGATAAAATGGCTGTATTATGTCAGCACGGGCTCTTTTTCGTGTTTTTTTTTTCATGGATAAATTTTCAGCGGCAATGATGTCCCTCTCGGTGCCACGGACATCCAGATCGCTGAGCCCAGCACTTGCTAGAAGTGCTCCGACGTCGCCTACAGTTCGTCATCCGCCTGCCGAGGCTTACGGTAAGCCATTTTCGAATGCGGATCTTGTGTAGGAGTTCAAAAGCCATTCTATGGCCTCCCTGTGAGCTTTTGAAAGACTTTCTAAACTGAAAAAGAGCTGAAAAGCTCACGAATCGTCCTCAAAGCGTGCCTAGAAAGGTAAAGCGCCTTTTTTTCAACCGCGACGCGACCGCGAACGCTTCTAAAGCCATTCCGATCCTTGATGGGATCGTAAGGAATCAAAACGACGAAGGCAAGCTTCTGAAGCCATTCCAAACATGGTGATGACCTTTTTTAATGCATTCAAACCTGAATAAGTGACTCTGAAGATGTCTTGAAACGCGACCGTAGACGCTTTTGAAGCCATTTCCATCTTTTACGTTACTATATGAGATTCGAAAAACCGTTACGAACCGCGACGAGACCGCAAACGCCTTCAGAGCCATTCCAAAAGCGATCTCGGACATTTGTAAATCAGTAAAAACTTTCTAAAGATGTCTCGCAACACGCAGACGCTTTTGGAGTCATTTAAAACTTGAGGTGACTATATAAAATTCGAAAAGCCATTCTGAACCGCGACGCGACCGCGAACGCTTTCAGAGCCATTCCAAACGTCCTACGAATTTTTTTGAGTCTTTCCAAGCTGCAAGATGGCTGGAAAATGCGTTTCCTAAAACAATACCGCTTACGCTATTGAATCCAAATGGATTACATAAGATTCTGAAAACCATTCCAAACCGCGACGCGACCGCAAACGCTCTTAGCGCTTCTAGAGCCATTCCGAACTGCGGCTCGTAAGTTGTAGCTCAAAATAAATTTAAATTTTTGATGTAAGATCAAGAACGCGTTCTCAACCCCGCGGCTCAAAATTCAAGCCGATTCTAGCCGCGACGCGTTAACTCAAAAGCCACTCGGAACCGCGACGCGACCGCAAACGCTTCTGAAGTCGTTCAAACCTGCGACCCTAGAAGCTCAGAAGCCGTTCCAAGCCGCGAAGTGCCACCAAACACTTCTAAAGCCGTTCCAAACCTCTAAATAATCCATTCCCAATGACTAAAAAATCTCCAAATTTTCGAAACAGGAAGTTCCGCATTAGTTTTGCGAAAAAGTCCAGACGTGACTCATTAACAAATCATATGCTTGAGAAGTTGTCGGCCCAAATTAGGTGTGATATTTTTGGTGACCTTTTTGGGGCAGCTGAAATTTTAGGTTAGAAAAAACAAGCTTTGAGGATTTATTTTTGAATTTTCAGACGATTAACTTCCTCCTAGTTATAGCTAAGCTACTAGAAAAATATTAATTTAGACTTTTTCGATTTCTTGGCCGCATTTGGAATGGCTCTGGAAAATTTTTTTTTTCTTGATTATTTTTTTGGTAGTTTTCTCTGTACTAGAGTTCTACTAGTAGGAGTAGCTAACTTGGAAAGTTTTCCAGTTTGATTTAGACTTGATAATTTTTTGGCCGCATTTGGAATGGCTCTAGAAATTTTTTTTCTTGATTTTTTTGGTAGATTTTTCTGTACTAGAGTTCTACTAGTAGAAGTAGCCAACTTGGGAGATTTTTCCGTTTTATTTGGGCCGCATTTGGAATGGCTCTAGGAACTATTTAAGCTTCTTCACGCACCTGAAATGAACAAAATGAGATCGAAAAACACGGCGTCATTTTTCCCAATTTCGTATCAATTTCATTCCTTGTGCTCATTGGAAAAGAGCACATTAGGTGTCGTCTTGCAAAAAAATATTTTTTCGAGCAAGGAAACAAGTTTTTTTATCTACTGAACATTTTGAGGAAAAAATAGCTATTTCTGTCGAAATTTTCGAAAAATTGTTATACCAACTTATATTTCCAAGCTTCATCATGAGGTCTAGACACCAAGTTTCTCAATAAATGGAAAAAAAATGAAGGAATTTTGATCAAGCCACTTAGTCAGTAATGGGATAGCCGTCGTGTCGTCACATCATATGACACTAATCTCCTCCTCATTCGTTGCAAAAAGAAGACGGAAAAAATGTCCTTTTCAAGCTTGTTTCACGCATTTTTCCTTAAGAACTCTTGAGAGAAATTTGTGAAATCCAGATTTATCCTTGATAGCTTTTAAGCCGCATTTGGAATGGCTCCATGATTTATTTGATCTTCCAAAACATTCTTAAATCTTTCAAAAAAAATTTTTAAAACTTTTTCCGACCGATTTTCATTTTTTTTTTTCCTTTTCCTAATGATATATTTGTTCTGATAAATCAGAGAGATCTCAGAAAATTATTAATAGTAATAAAAGGCCTCTCAGAAGGCTCAAAAATCAATCCAGATTTTTTTTTGAACTCGTTTATTTTGAACTATGGAAGTTTAAACTTATCAAATCCTTATACACAGATAAAAAATCGCCCTTTTAGTGTTAAAATTTGAATTCTCTGAGATATTTTAATTTTTTCAAGCTGCTGGTTTCATATTGTGGCGATTGAGGTGTTTTTAATAGTTCTAACAAAAATTTGGGAGCCCGGGAAATTTTAAACTTGTTACTTACTGCAAGGTTTTGCATGTGGAAGGGCTGCGAAACGGCATTTCTAAAAGTGCCCCCGACCCAAAACGACTTTCGCGCGTTGACATTGAACAGATCCCCAGATGCACCTGGAAGCCAACCACAACCACTGAACCAGAAAATTCCAAAATTCAGCAAAGAAAAATTCCTTTTTCGGGTATTTTCAGACCTGAAACTTGCAAAATACAGCCTTAAAACAGAGATCTTAGCAACTTTTTTTGATGTTTTAGGAGAAAGTTGTGTACTTCAAAGGTTGACTTCCATTTCAGTTCATTTTGGGCCCAGCGTAAACAAAAGTGATGTGACTTTTCGTAAATCGACACAAGGAGAACGGCTCCTGGAAGCCACGCCCATTTTTGAAAAATTAAGGGAATTTTTAAGTTTTGAGAAGTTTCAAGTGGTTTCAAAGCCGTTTTTTTCGATTTTTTGAAATAAGGTGCTCGTAAATCCATAGGAGCCGATCTATTCCTGTAGATAAAACTTCGAAAAAAATGCTAAAAAAAAATTTTTTTGATTTCATAAATATGATTTTTTTCGGCTCTACAAGCATATCCCAAGGAGGCTCAAACAATTTTTTTCGATCTTTGAATTTATTTGAGCGATATTTTTTTAGACCGAAAAATTGCCCGTTTCAGTGCAAAGAAGTAAATATAAACAAGGCCCTGCAGAAGCTGGAAAAAAATATTATGAATTTTTCTATTTCCTTCGGCATGACTAATCAGTCGCCACGTGCCTTGAAGCCTTAGAAATAATAAAAAACAAGCGCTTTTTTTTTCTTGTTAAAAACTTCAAAACGTTCCTTAATCCTCACGTGTTTTCTCTCGCCAAACCCTTCAAATAGGAGTTCCCGAGAAAATTGCGTATTTTCTTTTTTCAGAACAAATTCCATCCGCTCTTTCTGGATGTGTTTTCCCTTTGAAAGTTTTCGCGTTTTTAGATGGATTTTTAGAGTTCGATCCTGCTCATTTTTCAAAATTTTAAGTTCAAAAAACATTTCATGGATCTGAAAAATCGAAAAAAATAATTAAAAAATAATCCTGAATATCAAAAAATAGCCGCGACGCCTCTAAAGCCATTCCAAATGCGACCATTAAGCTTCAAATCTCAAATGAGCCTCACGACACGGTAAAAAGGATCTTTTTCAAAATGGCAAAAAAAAAATTGTCGTCAGCGGGGATTGAACCTAGGACCCCTGTAGTCGAACCTAGGAGCACAAATGTTGCGCCAAGTCTAATATTTTTTTCCTCTTCGCAGTTTTTTTACCTTCAATTTAATTTTTACCCTTTTTCAAAAAAATTAAAAAAACAGTTCAAAATTGAGTTTTATAGTTTTTTTATGATGATCCCTAGTACTACCGCAACGCGACATCGACGCTCAGAGCCATTCCAAATGCGACCTCAATGTCTTAAACCAGTATATTAGCATTCCATTATGGTAGAAAGTCGTTCTGGAAATCAGCAAAAGGGAATGACCGCCCTTGGGATTGAACTTACGACCTCTATAGTTGTGTTCAAGCGCACTGGCACTGCGCCACTAACACTCGAAAGCAGCCTCAATGGTTAGCAGCGCCCAAATACTCCATTTTTTTTCAACTTATAACCAAGAAAGTGGAAAAAAATGTACAGAAAAATTATTTTCCTTCCACCAACCTTGCATATGAAAAAATTCCCATGCAGCAAAATTAATTCCAATTTCATAGCTTCTGCTCTTTGCCTCCATTCATTCACTTATTAAAGTTTTTTTTAGACTCTAGTGAAGATCACGAGGAAGCGAAATAATGAGCTTAATAAGTGTAATAAGGTCCAAAGTATTGGGGGAAGAAAATTCGACGCGACCTCGTGCGAAATGAATTTTCGAAAAATTTCTACGCCAAAACAAATAAATGTCGAGCTAATTTTAGACGTGAGCGTGTTATTTTTGAGTGCGTGGGAAGCGTTTTGAAGACATTTTGACCCTATAAACCGGACGGAAAGCTCATTTTTCGTTTTAAATGCATCGAAACAGATTTAGATGCCTATGTGCGCAAGTCGTTTCAGGTCGGGCGCTCCTTGAAATCACAATTTAGTTCGAATTCTAGATTTCTCGCTTATTCTCATCTTCCTTGATTTAAAAAAAAGTTTCAAATAATCCTCTTTCCTTAATTTTTAACTTCATGGCCGCATTTGGAATGGCTCAAACTCGTCCATTTTTTAATGTTAGCCATTCTCTTTTTTATCCTGCGAATCTAAGCCCCAACTCTTGGCCTCTCAACTACAAAACCCATCATTTTCCGAGAACCCCCAGAAATATCTGAACTATACGATTTTCTCATGTCAGCTTCGAAAAAAAGCAGAAAAAAGTGGGCGGAGCTTGGACTTTTGGAATTCGATTCTCATCTGATTTCCACTGGTTCCTTGGCCCCTTTTTTCGGTTGTTTCTGCAAATTTCTTTCGATTTTTGAGAAAAGTTTGCGAAAACTCTATTTTTAGTCTGGATTATAGGAAAAAATAAGGCAGGTGTAATTTTTCATTTGAAATTTATGTAATTCACCTGCTTTCTAATCTCGAATCGCTGTATTTTTCTCATTTTTCCTGTTTTTTTCTGGTTAGCATGATTTTTTTTCAGTTTGAAAAAATATAGTTGAATCATGATAGCTTGCTGTTAATTTAAAGGCGCATGAAGAAAGTTAAAAAAATTAACTTTGACTGGAAATTGAAGATTTTCTTGTCCTGCGTCTTTGAAATGCTTTTTGTAGATGAATTTTTGAATAAAATAATTTTTTTGAGTCTACAAAAAAACAGAAAAATATGACGTCATCAATCAACGACATTCCACTTGACGCTGTATCCGATTTTTCCTCTTGAGATAGAATAATTTAAATTTTTTTATGAAGTTACTCCAAGCTTGAAAAAAATCAGTTTTTTTCAGAATTTTAAAAAAATAAAAAAATTAAGGTAACTTTAAAAAAAACCTCCTTTCACTCAAAAACGGCAAAAAGAACTTGTCTTCTGAAGTTAGAAAAAAAGAGATGACGTCATCAATTAACGAGGTTCCACTTTACGCTGTGTTTGATTTTTTTCTTTCGATATAATTTTTCCGCCTCTAGATTCAGATAACTTCATGAAGTTACAAGCTAAAAATCTGCTTTTTCAAAAAAATAAAGTTAAGGTGAACTAAAAAAACGTCCTTTCACTCAAAAAGACAAAAATAACTCGTCTCATCAAGTTGGAAAATAAATGACGTCATCAATTAACGACACTCCACTTGACGCTGTATCCGATTTTCCACTAGATATAAAATTTTTTTTCCAGCTCTAAAAAATTCATGAAGTTACTACAAGCTGAAAAATCTGCTTTTCAAAAATAAAGTTAAGGTAAACTAAAAAAAACGTCCTTTCACTCAAAAAAGACAAAAAGAACACCTTTCCTTAGTCAAAAGGATTACCAAAGTTCATTTTGGCAATAATCCAGCTGCATGACGAAAATAGCCCGACGTCACAGGGGCTATTTACACTCAACAAAAAATGTGTACATTCCGGGTTCTTTGCCCCTTTTTCGTTCTTGCCTACAAATCTACCCATCGTCGGCTTTGAAATCGTCACCTCTTTGCCAAAAGCTCATATTATCCGCTTGCAAGACGTTTTTTAGGCTAGAATTAGAAAAAAGAGAAGTGACGTTTTTTCAGACCCATATTTATAGCGAGAAGAAGCGCCTGTTGCTATGGGTTTTTTTTCGCTTTCCAAATTTTATAGTCTATTCACCACTACTTTAGATATTTTCAACTGCACCCGACCTCTCATGACTTTTCCAGAGGCGAGAGACAACAGATAGCGGCGAGAGTGCTAGAGAATTTGTGGTTTCTCAATCCCAGGCGATAGATAGTGAGAGTCCAGACATTTAGAGAAAGAAAAACCATTTTTCTGTTTTTTTCTTCACATACTCCTCAGAAATCATTTTTTTCTTTTTCTCTAGCTGTCTGTTCCCTCTGTCATTCTCTTGTTCTTGTCTCCTCGGTGAAAGTGGAAGAGAGTCCAGACGGTTAGAGAAAGAAAAAAAAACCATTTTCTGTTTTTTTTTCTTCACATACTCCTCAGAAATCATTTTTCTTTTCTCTAGCTGTCTGTTCCCTCTGTCATTCTCTTGTTCTTGTCTCCTCGGTGAAAGTGGAAGAGAGTCCAGACGGTTAGAGAAAAAAAACGACTTTCTTGATTTGTATCTTCACAAACTGTTCAGGCCAGATTAAGGCAACATTTTTCCATTCTCTAGCTGTCTGCTCCCTCTTTCATTTCTCTTGTTCTTGTCTCTTCGATGAGAGTGGAAGAGAGTCCAGACGGTTAGAGAAAAAAGACGACTTTCTTGGTTTTTTTTTCAAATCTTGTTCAGGCTTGATCAAGACATGATTTTTCATTTCTCTAGCTGTCTGTTCCCTCTCTCATTCTCTTGTCCTTGTCTCTTCGGTGAGAAAGAAAGAGAGTCCAGACGGTTAGAGGAAAAATATGACGTCATTTCCTATGCTAAATATCTTAAAGAAAGATGCATATTTTCAATACCGTACTTTAAAATTTTTCAAAATCGACTTTAACTGTCTATACTCTCTTCTCCTCACATTATATCTCATTTTAGAGTTTGAGAGAGCCCAGGTAGTTAGACAAAAAAGAAGATGACGTCACATTAAATGCTAAATTTATGAAGAAAAGCGTCAACCGTAGTTTGGTTTTAAATTGTTCATAATGACTTTAACTGTCTAAACTCTCTTTTTTCCATGTCACATCTCATTTTTAGATGTTGCTATACTCTCTTCTCTCGATTTTATGTCTCATTTTAGAGATTGAGAGAGCACAGGTAGTTAGACAAAAAGGATGATGACGTCTTAATCAATGTTAAACTTACGAAGAGAAGCGTCAACCGTAGTTTGATTCAAACTTTTTAAAAAATTGACCAGTCGAACTGTCTAACTGTCTATGCTCTTTCGCTCCCATGTTATATCTCATTTTGAGAGATTAAGAGAGCCCAGGCCGTTAGATAAAAAAAAATGATGATGTCTCGTCAAAGGCTAAAATTACGAAGAAAAGCGTCAACCGTAGTTCGATTTAAAATTGATCATAATAACTCTAACTGTCTATAATCTCTACTCTCGATTTTATATCTTATTTTTAGAGATTGAGAGAGCCCAGGTCGTTAGACAAAAAGAATGACGTCACATTCAATGCTAAATTTACGAAGAAAAGCGCCAACCGTAGTTCGATTTAAAATTGATCATAATGACTCTAACTGTCTATACTCTCTACTCTCGATGTTATATCTTATGTTTAGAGATTGAGAGAGCCCAGACGGTTAAACAAAAAAGATGACGTAAATTTGCGAAGGAAAATGACAATCCCTGATCACTAGAGTTCTCAAAACCGAACGTTCAAAAAAATGACCGTTTGAAAAAAATGAACTTTTTTTCATTTTTTTCGATAGTTTAGGATATATCATTTTTCAAACGTTCAACCAAAAAGTTCGAAAATCGTTTTTCTTATAATAATGAACGTTTGCTTTTTCACATAAAAACGGACGTTCGTTTTTTTGAACGAACTGTTTTTGAAATGGAAAAATGAACGTTCACTTTTTTTGAACGAACTTTTTCACGAGCGAAAAAAATGAACGTTCATTTTTTTAAACGAACTTTTTGGAAAATGGAAAAATGAACGTTCATTTTTTTGAAACGAACTTTTTGAAATGGAAAAAAATGAACGTTCATTTTTTTGAACGAACTTTTTGAAAATGGAAAAATGAACGTTCATTTTTTTAAACGAACTTTTTGGAAAATGAAAAAAATGAACGTTCATTTTTTTGAACGAACTTTTTTGAAAATGGAAAAATGAACGTTCATTTTTTTGAACGAACTTTTTAAAATGAAAAAAATGAACGTTCATTTTTTTGAAACGAACTTTTTGAAAATGGAAAAATGAACGTTCATTTTTTGAACGAACTTTTTGAAATGAAAAATGAACGTTCATTTTTTAAACGAACTTTTTGAAAATGAAAAATGAACGTTCATTTTTTAAACGAACTTTTTGGAAATGAAAAATGAACGTTCATTTTTTGAACGAACTTTTTGAAAAATGAAAAATGAACGTTCATTTTTTAAACGAACTTTTTGGAAATGAAAAATGAACGTTCATTTTTTGAACGAACTTTTTGAAAATGGAAAAATGAACGTTCATTTTTTGAACGAACTTTTTGAAAATGAAAAATGAACGTTCATTTTTTGAACGAACTTTTTGAAAATGGAAAAATGAACGTTCATTTTTTAAACGAACTTTTTGGAAATGAAAAATGAACGTTCATTTTTTGAACGAACTTTTTGAAAATGGAAAAATGAACGTTCATTTTTTGAACGAACTTTTTGAAAATGGAAAATGAACGTTCATTTTTTTGAAACGAACTTTTTGAAAATGAAAAAAATGAACGTTCATTTTTTTGAACGAACTTTTTGGAAAATGAAAAAAATGAACGTTCATTTTTGAACGAACTTTTTGAAAATGAAAAAAATGAACGTTCATTTTTTTGAACGAACTTTTTGGAAATGAAAAAAATGAACGTTCATTTTTTTGAACGAACTTTTTGAAAATGGAAAAATGAACGTTCATTTTTTTAAACGAACTTTTTGGAAATGAAAAAAATGAACGTTCATTTTTTTGAACGAACTTTTTTGAGAAATGAAAAATGAACGTTCATTTTTTTAAACGAACTTTTTGGAAATGAAAAAAATGAACGTTCATTTTTTTGAACGAACTTTTTTGAAAATGGAAAAAATGAACGTTCATTTTTTGAACGAACTTTTTGGAAAATGAAAAAAATGAACGTTCATTTTTTTGAACGAACTTTTTGAAAATGGAAAAAAATGAACGTTCATTTTTTTGAACGAACTTTTTGGAAAATGAAAAAAATGAACGTTCATTTTTTTGAACGAACTTTTTGAAAATGAAAAAAATGAACGTTCATTTTTTTGAACGAACTTTTTGAAAATGAAAAAAATGAACGTTCATTTTTTTGAACGAACTTTTTACGAAATGAAAAATGAACGTTCATTTTTTTGAACGAACTTTTTTTAAAATGAAAAAAATGAACGTTCATTTTTTTGAACGAACTTTTTTGAAAATGAAAAATGAACGTTCATTTTTTGAACGAACTTTTTGAAAATGAAAAATGAACGTTCATTTTTTGAACGAACTTTTTTACGAACGGAAAATGAACGTTCATTTTGGTTGAACGTTCAAAAGCAAACTTGAACCAAAAGTTTGGTTTCAACATTTGTTCGAAAATGTTTGGTCGAACGTTCGTTCGAACGTTTGGTTTTGAGAACTCTACTGATCACCCGTTGCTATGGTCATTTTTCAATTTCTATTTTCAACTCCACATTTTTCTGCTCGCTGAGCTTTAATCCTTGACAATTTTCAAATGTTTTCGTCCGTTTTTTTTTTCCTCGATGCAATTATGAGGCATTCTGTTGTTTTGGCGGAAATATGGCGAGATAATAGACGTGGAAAAAAAGAACTTGGCAATATTCTTTTGTCTATTTTTGAATGTGAATTGGCTGACTCAAAGTGAAAAAAATTCCCAGCCAGACATTTTAAGGCTTCTTCCTTGTACGTAATCAAGGTGTTGAGAAAAACACCTTGTCACCAGGTTTTCAGTAAGATTTTGGGTTATTAAAGAGATTTTTTCGCACTTCTTCTTCTTCTTAGAAAGGGCGTTATGAATCATCTTTTAGCCTTCTCATTCTCATTTTTCAGCTTTTTCCCTTGCCAAATCTTTTCCTACTGAACGAAAGTTTGAGGCCTTCAATCCTCTCGCAAAAAACGTCAATCCAGCTTAAAAAGGGGGTCATAATCCGAAAATACTTGCTTTCTTCTTAGATTGAGAAGTATATTTAGTTTCATTTTTGACGAATAGAGTCTTTTCTGTCACTTTTTGAAGGCCCAAGAGCGGAAGTCGTTATTGGTCGGGCGCAAAGGAGCTGCTTTTTTGAGTCATCTGGATCGTAATTGAGTTCCGAACTGTATTTTTGATGCCTCCGAGCGTAAACCGTTTCTGGTCTGGCGCAAAAAAAAAATTAGGAAAGCTGTTATTTCTTAAACCTGTCCTCGTTACAAAAAGTAATCTTACTGTATTTTTTCAACTTGATCCTTTTTGGTCGCATTTGGAATGACTGGAGGCCTTGTGGCTTAAAATTGCCCTTCGAAATCCTCTTTTTCCTACTTCTTTCTCACTCTTTTAAGCAAACATGTTGTACATCAACTTCATTAACCTGGATCGGATATAGCTTGGTCGCATTTGGAATGGCTTGCGGCTTAAAATCGCCTTTTTCCTACTCGTTTTAAACTTCTTTCTCACTTTTCCAAGCAAAAATGTTGTACATCAACTTCATTAACCTGGATTGGATATAATTTGGCCGCATTTGGAATGCCTCGACGCTTCGTGGCTGAACAGCTCGATTTTTCTCGTATTTCTTCCGAAATTTCTCTACAAGTTGAAAAAAAAATGTGTTTCAGGCTCGCCAAATTTAATGGTTCGAGATCGCTCCGGCAGCATTTCCTTGAGCCCAAGGAATGTGATCCCGGTCTGCCCCCAATTGACGCCTTCACAGGTACTTTTATAACTTTTTCAACTCACCTGATCACTGAAAAACTTCACTATTTTTCAGGTAACTGTCGTGAAAAAATCCTGGCGCCATATCAACACAAAAGGACTCGTTATCGTGTTGACTAGATGCTTCAGCAGGGTTTGTTGATTTTTTATTTCTTTGAAAATATGTTTTGAAAATAACTTATGGGATAACAAAGAACAGTCAAGAAAACTTACTTCCTGATTAAAAAATTCAGCGATTTTTGGCTGTTTTTTTAACTTCTGAAAAATGACAAAAACGTGTAGAGGAGTTGATCCAGCGACCTTTGGAGCAACATCTCATGTTTCTTGGTTCTGAACATTTTAGACGATTGTTGAATGCAATAAAAATTTATCAAAGCCGGAACTACGGAGTGAATAAAACGGCAAAAACGCCTCCTGGACCCGAACCAAAGACCCTTGTTTAACCGAAAAACGCTCCTAGGAATGGAACCCAGAACCTTTTGACAGCTAAAATTTGAAAAATGGCAAAAACGCCTCCTGGACTCGAACCAAAGACCTCTTTGCTACTCAAAAGCTCTAACGAATCGAACTAAAGACCTCTTGGCAGTAAAAATCTGAAATAATGGCAAAAACGCCTCCTGGACTCGAACCAAAGACCCTTTTTAACCCAAAAATGCTCCCAGGAATCGAACTCAGAACCCCTAGGCGCAAAAGTTTGAAAAATGGCAAAAACGCCTCCTGGACTCGAACCAAAGACCCTTTTTAACCCAAAAATGCTCCCAGGAATCGAACTCAGAACCCCTAGGCGCAAAAGTTTGAAAAATGGCAAAAACGCCTCCTGGACTCGAACCAAAGACCCTTTTTAACCCAAAAATGCTCCCAGGAATCGAACTCAGAACCCCTAGGCGCAAAAAGTTTGAAAAAAATGGCAAAAAAACGCCTCCTGGACTCGAACCAAAGACCCTTTTTTTAACCCAAAAAAATGCTCCCAGGAATCGAACTCAGAACCCCTAGGCGCAAAAGTTTGAAAAATGGCAAAAACGCCTCCTGGACTCGAACCAAAGACCCTTTTTAACCCAAAAATGCTCCCAGGAATCGAACTCAGAACCCCTAGGCGCAAAAGTTTGAAAAATGGCAAAAACGCCTCCTGGACTCGAACCAAAGACCCTTTTTAACCCAAAAATGCTCCCAGGAATCGAACTCAGAACCTCTAGGCGCAAAAGTTTGAAAAATGGCAAAAACGCCTCCTGGACTCGAACCAAAGACCTCTTTTCAACTCAAAAACGCTCCCAGGAATCAAGCTCAGAGCCTCTTGGCGGCAAAAATTTGAAAAATGGCAGAAACGCCTTTTGGACTCGAACCAAAGACCCCTTTTCAGCTCCAGTCAAACAGTCCCATCGCCACGCAATGCTTCCAATCGGCCACGTATTCCCTTTCGACCAATCCAAACCAAGTCAGAAGTGTCGCCGACCACGCCCAGTACCTCCTCCAGCTCCTCGACAAAATCGTCGAAGGCGATATTGTGAGTTTGAGAGGAATGTTGAGCTTGGAATGAAAATTTTGATACTTTAGGATTCTGAGGCTCTCCGAGAGATCGGCGCTAACCATGTGAGCCTGAAGAATGACTTCGGGTTCAGCAACCAGGAGTGGGACCGATTCCAGGAGATCATGGTCGACGTGATCTTGAAGCAGGACGGCGTCAAGCAGAGCAAAGAAACCAGGTTTGGGATTGAACCAGAGAGCTTTTTAGTGATGGTGTAGCTTCTTAGCCACTTGGCCAAGGAGCTAGGAAGAGATGAAGGAAAACTGAGAAAACCCTTGGGAGGACCTGAACTCGGAACCTTGTTTTTGATGTCATTCATTTAACCCGCTGAGCTATTCAAAGGCAAAAAATTCATGATAATGGATTCTGGATACATTCTGAAGATGGTTGGTAAACCGTTAAAATCTTTCAAACGGAAGCTTGAAAACAGCAAAAACCTTGAGAGGAGTCGAACCTGCGAGTATTATTCATTTAACGGGTTGAGCCATAGCGTTATATTTTCCCCAGTAGATGTAACTGCAGTTAAAGATAGATATAGTTTTGAAAAAATTAAAAAAATTAATCATTGAAATGGCAAAACCTGGTGTGGACTTGAACTCGGGACCCCATGTTCGGTGCTTTTTCTCTACCCCGTTGAGCCATGAGAATGTAATTTTATCCGTCAATCATTTGATTTATAACCACTAATGAAGACTTCTCTGAAGTAGTTGAGAAAAACTTAAGGGTACTGGGAAAATTTTAAGGGGTCTCTTTAGGGTTTTTGAAGATAATAGCCAGATTAGTGGCCCCTTAAGGGTTTTTGACGATAATAGTCAGATTAGTGGCCCCTCAAGTGACTTCTATATGAGTGACCTCTTTAAGTAGTCCTTAAGGGATCTCTTAAGTGGCCCCTAGAGTTGCTCTCCGCAAGTTGTAGCAAAAGACCTTGACCTTCTAGGGATTTGAACCAGGAACCTCATTTTCTTCCATCTTTTTCTTACCAACTAAGCCATAAATGTATTCTTTTCCAGCCGAGCTTGGCGGCTGCTCATCTGCTCCCTAGTGGAATTGATGCGTGACGGATTCGACGCCACCCTTCGTCAGTACCGAAGAAAACACTCCTTCAACGCCCACACCCAGTATTTTGAGGATATTGAAAGGTTAGTTTTTGAATTTCTATAGAGAGAAAAGAACTTTTGGTTGTGATTCTAATGATAGATATTGTACATGGAAGTTGTAGTTTTGAGCTGGATTTTTCTATCTCAACCTAATCTTTTTGATTCTAAACAAAAATAAACGTTTCAGACGAGTCTCATTATGCCCGAGCAGCCGGAAAATCTCCCTGACCTCAGATCCCCGTCTGACGCCCAACTCCCATCGGAAATTCTCCAACTTTTCATAATATCTTGTAAATCTTCTTGATGAACTTCTGTGATCTCTTCCATATAACCTATTCTATCGACGATTTTGTTCATATCTGAATTTTTTGAATATAATAAAAGATTTTTTTTGAACGGTTCAAATCACAGAAAAAAGTGATCAACGGCTACATTATAGGGACCGCAAAGCCACGGAAAGCGGTCGAACGCAAGTTTTTTTGAACGGTTATATACATTTATTAGTGAGAAATCTTTCAATTAAAAAGAATAAAATAAAAAAATTCGTCTTTGCCAAAAAAATTTACGGGGCCGTTTTTAATGCAGCGATCGTTAAAAGAGGCAAAAAAACACTAAAAAACAGTTTTCTCGAAGTGAATTTCCACCGAAAGTTTGAGTAAAGATTTGCAAACACATTCTGATGAAAATAGCAAAATTAATTCAACTTTCTATTTTTGAAATAGGCAATCTGTGCTATTCAAGCGGCTCAAGGGTATGGGGGATGGAAGTTCCCCGCGCTGGACCTAACTGCTTGGCGCAGCGCGTGGGCTGCGAATTGTCTTTTTGAGGTCGCGAGTTCGATGCCCGCATGCGTCCGTTTTTTGTTTTCTGGAAAATACCGACTTTTTCGGCAAACTAGCAAATTTTTATCATTTTAGCACTCTATTATGATTTTTTACATCATAATAGACCAGTATCAAAACTTGTTCTAGAAGAAAAATCGAGAAAAATGTCAAAATGGATAATACCAAAATTTCAGTACTAAAAAAATGGTGCGCGGCGCGCCACATTTTTCGTCATAACTTTTTTCATCCTCAATCTTTTTCGAAAAACTAAACGGTTCTGAGTTTTGAATCGAAACAGCTATCAAACCATACAAAACTCAATGCTGAAAAAAAATTTTTGAAAATTCGTCTGCGCTCCCTAGCTACATTGTAGTCTAGCGTATGGTTGATAAAACCTCCAGTAAAACACCTTGATTTTTGTCATTTCCTTTTTCTTTCAAAACGTTCGCACTTTCCAGATCGATGGCACATTGTGAGAATCCACAGAAATATTTCCCGATCCGTAAAGATGCCGCTCTACGGCCAGGATCCTTGAAGGTACTTGATTTTTTGCCATTTTCTTATGAGGATTTGAACCAGAGACCCTTGGAGTCACAGTAAAGCCCTTTATCCGTTCGACTATGATGTCTTTAAGGGAAAGGTAGCTTTGATAACCGGTGGAGGAACTGGTTTGGGCCGGGGAATGGCGGAAATGTTCGCCGAGCTTGGAGCCAAGGTCGCTATCGCTGCCAGGTTATTTTTTTCATTTTTTATTTGTTTTTATATTCAAATAGTTCAATAATCAGCCTATAAAAATTGAAAATTTGGTTCCGAAAAATGGCAAAAAAGTTTCGCCGCCGAGAGGGGTTGAACCTGAGTACTATTTATCAAGTTAAAAAACTTTTTGGAAGCTTCCTGATGCCGTGTTCAAAGTGATTCCGCTAAATTCAAAGCACCTATCAGAAAATGAGAAAGATAGAGGATTTCTGGAGATTCAGAGATAAATTTTAAATTTCGCGGGAATTATTTTAAAAACGACATTATAGAGGCTCTGCAAAATTTCGAATAGCATTCATTGAAGAAAAATCAATTACACCTTGGAAAATTGGCAAAAACGCTGACAGGAACTGAACCTGAAACCCATTGAGCATTTCCAGAATCTCCAATTTTTTTTCAATGTGAGAAGCTTGCAGAAGACTAGACATTCTCGAAAAAACCGCCGAAGAGATCAAAAAATCAACCGGCGAAACTTGTGAAGCCTTCCAAATGGACATCAAAGATCGGGCCAAGGTGGCCCAATCTTTCGATGATATCGTAAAAAAGTAGGCTTTTTTGAAAACTTTTTTTGAAAAATGATCGCATTTTAAAGATTCGGTGAGATACCCAATATTCTGGTGAACTGTGCGGCCGGGAATTTCATCATGGCGACGGAAAGATTGTCACAAAATGCTTATGGGACGGTTATCGACATTGTTATGAAAGGTTTTTAAGCATAGTTAATTTATGATCGAGCTAAAAAAAAATAAAAATAAAAAAAGTTTCTTTGAAAAATATAATCATTTCGGTCGAAAAACTAGCCACTTCTTGTTTTTTTTTTTCGCGAAAAAGGATTGAACTTTTGACCTTCAGGACATCAGCGACTATTTCTATTAGCCACTAGGCCATGTCAATTTTTGAATAATTACGATTTTTCCTAGGCACTCTAAACGTGACTACTGAATTCGGGCGCCGATGTATTGATGCCAAAAAAGGAGGCGTCGTTCTGAGCATCACTACACCGTATGCTCGGTAAGTTAAGCGGGATTACTGTAACTAACTACCGTAACCAAGAAAAAAATCTTAAAAGATTATTGTAAAAGGTCCGTATCCTCAGTAAAACTCACCGTTTTTTTTAAAGCAAAAAATATGGACTTTATTCTTTTACCGTACCCTGGACCTGATTAAAAAAAATTTACAATTGTAAAATCAAAACTTTTTATTTTTTTATTATCTAACAAAAACTAAAAATTTAAAAATAAAAATAAAATAACCCACTCAAGAGACCACTCAAATTGTGCAAACACGTGACACGCCGAATGCGGACTTTCACGTACAGTACTGGTCGGAAAATAAAACTCGCTTTCTAATCAAAATATACTCATTTTTCTCGTCAACTTCGAAAGTTTTTTTAACTTCTTGTATTAAAAAAACCAACCCCTGCTTTTTTTAAACCAATTTTTAATAAATATTGTAACTCGGATCTTTTTTTTATGACGTCACAAAATCCTACCGTAAACTTTGAGTGCCGGAGCACCTTTTGTCGTCCCATCGGCCGTGTCAAAAGCCGGCGTGGAAACAATGACCAAATCTTTGGCCGTTGAATGGGCGAAATATGGCTTGAGATTCAATGTTATCGCTCCGGGACCCATTCCGACTGAGGTTCTTGGAAATATTAAAATTTTAAACTGATTAACGGATTGAATAATTTTTAGGGAGCCTTCGGACGGTTAAATTCGGTCCCGATGGAAGTTGCGGTGGAAGCAACGAAATATAAGGTTATTATCAGGAAATTTCCATTGAAAATTAAAAACACTCAAGGTGCCACTTGGAAGGTGCGGAGAAATCGAAGAATTGGCGAATTTGGCGGCTTTCATGTGCTCCGATCACATGTCCTGGCTCAATGGAGCGGTAATGATTCGATTTTTCGAATTAAAAAATTATTTTCTGGTTCAGATTATCGATTTCGACGGGGGACAGCAATTTATGCACCATGGAAGTTCATTCGGCGATTTTCTGCACGAAAATACGGAGGAGGATTGGGCGAAGACCGAAAATATCATTAGAAATCGGACGGGCAAAGCGAAAACGAGCAAAATTTAAATTTCGAGCAATCCTTGTGTTCGTCAAATGTATAAATGCTATTTTTTTATGTTCGCATGTGAAAAAAAGCAAATTTGCTTTTTTTCATATTTTTTTATTCCTCTTCACGCTATCAACACAAAATACCAAAGAAAAGGTAAAAAAATTTCTTGAGAAAAAAATAAAATATTTTTCAAAGTTTTTAGCCGTGGAGCGCAGACGCTGCAAGTTCACGTCGAAAAATTTTTTTCAGTTCAAAAATTCTTTTTAAAAAAACCTTTTTTTATTTCTGTTTTTCATAAAAAGCATTGGCTACATTGTGCCCCAATATTCTTCGAACCCTCTAGTGTACTTTCCTTCGCATCGGGTGTAAACAACTGCCGCGAAAAAAACAACTTTTTCTTTTCCTGCGCGTTCTCTCTTTAAATCTTGGTGTTTTTTCTAGTTTTTGAATGGATATAATCGTTCCTTTTTTTAAAGTATTATATTTATAAGTTACTGAATTAACTCTTCTGGGTTTTCGCGGAAAAAGTAGAAAAATGTTCTCTTTTGTCGTTTTTTTTTTCAAAGTCTTTTGAACTTTTTATTTTCGTCAAATAGGTCATCTTCATTGTTCTTTGGTTAATGCTTCATTAAAGAGTTTCAGAATGGCATTTTTGCAAAAAAATGTGGAAAAGTTTTTTTCCCCGTGATTAAAACTCCAGCGCTTCCGGCAGGCGCTTTGAAGGTATTTTTGAGTTCAAATTTGAAAAAAAGAATGTTTTTCAAGATTTTTCACTATTTTAGTTATTTTTTTATAAGTTCAAAAGCTTTTTAAAACCTTAAAAATACATTCTAATTTTTTTCCAAACCGTTTTTTTAAACTTTTCTGTATTTTTCAAGGATCTTTCGACAAAAAAATATAATCATACCGTTTTCAAAAATTCTTTACTTGTTGAAATAAAAACGCAATTGAAAAATAAAAATGCTTTTGAATTTTTTCATGACAAAATCTAGGTCTACCGTAACCTACAGTATCTAGGGAAAAGTCGCTTTGATCACCGGTGGCGGCACTGGGCTAGGTAAGGCGATGGCCACCACGTTTTCACGTCTTGGAGCTTCAGTGGCGATCGCCGCCCGGTTAGTGGTCACTTGAGTAACTCCTTAAGTGGCCATTTACAGGAGGTTTGATGTTCTGGAAAAGACGGCCGCAGAAATTCATGCGGAAACTGGCGGCAAAGTAGAGCCGTTCAAATTGGACGTGAGGAACGCCGAATTGGTCAAAGGGACCTTTGATCAAATCAGTGAAAAGTTATTGATTATTCCGATCAATCAATAAAATCGATAATTTCAAGGTTTGGCGAGATTCCAAACATTTTGGTGAACAACGCGGCTGGCAACTTCATCGGAGCCACTCAGAGACTTTCCCCGAACGCCATTTCGGCCGTCATTGACATTGTTCTGAAAGGTTTTTTGGATACTGTAAGGGTTACTGTGGAGGTTACAGTATGCCTTTAGGGTCCCTCAATGTCACTACCGAGTTAGGCCGACGTGCCATTAAGCAGGGTCGTGGTGCGGCCGTTTTGAGCATCAGTACGCCATTTGCACGGTGAGTTTTGTAGGTTACTGTAGGTTTGAGAGGGTTACGGTAGTTCTTTCAGAAATGATAGGTTTCTTCAAGCAAAAAGCCGAGAAAAGATCTGAAATTAGCTTGGAGATTACTGTAGCTCTGAAAGGATACTGTAGTTTCACGTAAATGGAAAATGAGGCCAAAAAACTTGAAAGCTTACTGTAAATGTAGAAAGATAAGGTTACGGTGTTTGCAGAAAATTTAATGCTGATCGGTTTTTTTTTCGAGCAAAAAGCCGGAAAAGTTCTAGAATTAGATTGGAGATTACTGTAGCTCTGAAATAGGATACGGTAGTTTCACGTAGACGGAACGCCAAAAGTTTTGAAAACTTACTGTAGATTTAGAAAGATACTGTGACAAAAATGCCTTATTCGGATAAAGAGCTCAATTTTTTTTTTCTCACTCCCACTATGAACAATAACGTCACTAATATCTACAGTAACCCAGGGAATCGAAAGCTTACTGTATTTATGGTATAGGTTACGGTCGTTTTGAGTTTTGAATCGAAAATCAGCTCATTTTTTGAACAAGCTTTGTAACCTGTTCATTCACTGACGTCATTAAATCCTACCGTAGTATCTTACTGTATTTTAGCGCTGGAGCACCCTTTGTCGTCCCATCGGCTGTGTCAAAAGCCGGCGTGGAAACCATGACCAGAAGTTTGGCAAATGAATGGGCCAAATATGGCCTCAGATTCAATGTTATCGCTCCGGGACCCATTCCCACCGAAGTTTAAAAATTTCAGAATTTTCCTGGGAAATTTTTGATTTTTAGGGAGCCTACGGTAGGTTGAGCACCTCTTCATTGGAAGACACTGAGAAAACTTTGAATCAGTCGGTAAAAAATGATTTTTCGAAAATATATTGATTTTCCGATTTGAGGTCCCAGTGGGAAGGTGCGGAAGACCCGAAGAATTGGCCAATTTGGCCGCATTCATCGTCTCGGATTACATGTCCTGGATGAATGGATCGGTACATTCTCAGCGATTTTTGATTTATTTCAAAAAAAAAGGGATTTCCTTAAAAAGAAAAAATTCAGATCGTCGACTTCGACGGCGGCCAGCAGTTCATGCACCATGGCAGTTCTTTCGGCGAATTTTTGCACGATTGGGACGAGAAAAAATGGGAAGAAGCTGAGAATCTGATCCGTGGCCGGAGCGGAAAGAGTAAATAATGTATATTTTTTGTTTTTCCGATGTGAACAGGTATTGTTTTGTATAAATATATGTTTTATGATCGCATTTTTTTCTTAAAAAAACTTTTAATTTTTCTTAGACTTAATATTGGAGGTCTTATGAAAGAAAGATTTTTTTCTGATATAGCCCATTCCTCATCAGCTTTTTCACGTTTTTTTCTTGATACCGTATACCAGATCAAAATGGAGCAAATTCGCTTCAAGACCTTTATTGTCTGATGTCTTTTCAGCTTTTTCTTTTTTGTTCTTTTAAAACGTGACCATTTTGCGCGGAACGCACTATACCATCCATATCAGAACTATCAAAAAATATTTTCGTTATTATAGAAATTTCTTGGAAGTTGAAAATGTTGAGGTCCGAGGTCCAAGGTCTCTCAAAAATTACTAGATTTTTCGCCGATTACAAAAATACTCTATATGTCAGGTATTCTTATCATTTTTGGCCTAAGCGATCGATTTGAAAACTCGATACCCTCAAATTACGTTTGAAGGTGATAAATGAATGTTGAAAAGTCTTAAAATATTCTTAAAAATACTAAAAACTGTAAAATGTTAAGGCCCTTAAAAAAATGCTAGATTTTTTTGCTGATTACGAAAAATATCCGATATGCCAGGCATTCTCATCATTTTGACCCCAAAAAAATCGGTTCCGAAAAAAACTCGAAACCCTCAGATGATGTACGTCAGAAGGTCGAGAAATGCATTTCAAAAAAATTTTTTTAATTCAAAAAAATTGAAGGTCTTACAGAATACTAGATTTTTTTGCTGATTACAAAAAGTATCCGATATGCCAGGCATTCTCATCATTTTGGCCCTAAAAATCGCTTCCAAAAACTCGAAACCCTTATGATTATATACGGTCGAAGGTCGAGGAATGCATCTCAAAATTTTTTTAATTAAAAAAAATGTTTAGATCTCAAAAATTGCTGGACTTTTCGCTGATTACAAAAATGCCCTATATGTCAAATACCCTCTCATCATTTTGACCCTAAAAGGAAGGTTCGACGAAAAACTAGGTACCTTCAGATTATGTACGACCGAAGGCCGAAAAATGAATTTTGAAATTTTTTTCTAAAATATACAATGTTAAGGTCTTAATCATACGTGGGCTAACAGGCTGTTTTTCACTTTCGGGCCCCCCTATTCATTCAGATGGCTTTCTAAGCCGCGGAAAATGCATCCATATTATTTATCGAGCTTTTTAAAGTACATTTAGTGAGAAATTCGTTGCCTATCTTTTTGCCTAGCTCCAAACGGTAGAAAAAATCGAGAGGAATCGTAGAAATAGCCATATAAAAAATTCCAGAGCTGATTAATCGACCTGAATTCTAGTTTAAATGGTACCAATGGATGATATATACATGCTCATCAAATTTTAAGCCGTTTGGAAAATTGAAAAAAATAATCAACTTCTGACCCCATAAGAAAATGATTTCTGGAAATCTACAATTTTTTGGCTCAAAATCATTATCAACTTTGAGTTAACCCTAAATGAGGTATATGCTTCAAGTTTCCAGGCTTCCGGACGTTTTTTGACCAAGTTACAGTGTTTCAAAGTGTTATCACTTGACGGTTTGCGTACCCCCCGTACTCCCCCAAAATCGGAAAATCGATCTGTTTTCAATGTTATTCCACATTATAAAGGGAGTTTTATGATCTGGTCAAGTTTCAAGCCGCTTGGATGAGTTTTAAGAAAAATAGATTTTGGGCCAAAAAATTCAAAATTTCAAAATATCAATTTCCGGTGACCCAAAAAATTATTTTTCTTAAAACTCATCCCAACGGCTTGAAACTCTGCCAAATCATAAAACTCACTTGACAATGTAAAATAACATTGAAAACAGATCGATTTTCGGATTTTGGGGGGTACGGGGGTACGCAAACCGTCAAGTGATAACACTTTGAAACACTGTAATGTAATGGTTCTCCTTTTAACATCGCAACATTTCATCATGCTTTGTGAACATGTGCCAAGAGAGGCGGCGCCTGAGGCACTCGCCCTCTCTATTGATTACAACATCACTCTGGCATGGCGCACTGCTAGCGTGCGCCACGAAATAAAGATTCAAGCCGAGTTCGCATTAAAATCCGCTACACATTTAACCGGGAAATGAGGGGAACATTTTCCCGCGTTACATGGAGGTCCCGGATACTTCTGCTATATTCCATCTAGCAGAAGGTGAACTTCTGTCTTCCCCTATTCGACCTACGACAGATAATCCGGCCACACTGATTGCTACCAGTTATTCTATTCTACTTCAAAGACTCTATCTGGCACTCGCACGTTTTTTGGTTGGCGTACGAGACATCTACGAAGTCGCACCTGAACAGAAGAAGAACACCCGGCGACTTGCGGTTTGGTCGGTTACGCAAGTACACTTAGTCTGTTCATTTCCTTTATCTCTGATGTGTTTTTCTCAAAAAAATTTTTTGGAAGTGATAATTTAAAAAAACCAATTTCTGATTCAAACTCTGTCTACATATGGGATGAATGTAACAGTTGTTAATTGTACAGTTTGAGCGTGGCTGTCCTCATAGAAATTGTATCACTGAATATCTTTAAAAATCTGCCATCAGAGACCTTATTCATTTCAAATGTAAACTCTCTTTTCTCAAAATTGAAGTAGCATCAGTTGTTAAGCGAACTTGGCAAGCCAAAGTCCGGCACATACCATCCGATTTTTATTTCACATGTTCACTTGAGAACCATTCTTTTAAGATCCTGAAGCCTCGACGACGAGACTTTCGTCGACGCCCGGGATGTGGTGCTTTTCTCTTAAATTGCTCTAGTAATTTACTATGTTAAGTATCATCCATCGTTCTTTGTAAAGCCTCGGGACGAGTCTTTTGTCCAGGGGTTGGATGTAATGGTTCTCCTTTTAACATCGCAACATTTCATCATGCTTTGTGAACATGTGCCAAGAGAGGCGGCGCCTGAGGCACTCGCCCTCTCTATTGATTACAACATCACTTTCTGGCATGGCGCACTGCTAGCGTGCGCCACGAAATAAAGATTCAAGCCGAGTTCGCATTAAAATCCGCTACACATTTAACCGGGAAATGAGGGGAACATTTTCCCGCGTTACAGTAACTTGGTCAAAAAACGTCCGGAAGGTTGGAAATTTGGAGGATATACCTTATTTAGAGTTAACTCAAGATTAATATTGATTTTGAGCCAAAAAATTCAAAATTTCAAAATATCCCTTCCCGGTGGTCCAAAAATCTATTTTCCTTAAAACTCATCCAGAAGGTCTGAAACTCTGCCAGATCATAAAACTCGATTCATAATGTAGGATAACATTGAAAACAGATCGATTTTCGGATTTCGGGGGTCTACGCTAAAAGTTGAAATATTTCTGTTTTGCAGTGTTGACACCTAGCTGAATATACTTCCAAAAGCCCGCGAAATAAGATAATAGTCTCATTCAATTCTTATATTAACTTTAATAATCATTTCACATTGATAGTCATCCGCGGGGGGGTACGTACTTTTTCGAGGGGAGTACGTACTTTTTCAAGGGGGGTACGTGATGACGTCACAAAAAGTAGTTGGTTAGCCCATGTATGGTCTTAATGTAGGGACCGCAAAGCCACGCCCCTTTTCGCGATAGAAAAAGTGGCTTTTTTTTGGTTTTCAACTTTCATTTTGTTGTAGTTGCAAAATATGTGGAACTGGCGAATAAAATTTGACACACATGTACAGAAAAGCTTCCTCTTTCGTTTAAAAAATATTTCACGCTTTTTTTGATGCGTTCTCGCGGAATGTCGTACAAAAAAACGTGAATGGAACTAAAAAAATTTTGTCATTTTTTTGCTTTTTTTCATGTGTTTTTCAGGTCGAACGCACTCTTTCTTTTTTTAAATAATGATTTTTGATTCAAGTAACGAAAATTTTTAAAACAATAAAATAAAAAAATTCGTCTTTGCCAAAAAAATTTTTAGGGAGCGCCGAAAGTCATAATTCAAAATATCGTTAATAAGCGAATATAATCAAGTTTTTTTGTTTTTTAAAAAAATTTAGATCATGGCCTTACTTAAATTTTTTTCTTCACAGTATCTGTGCTTGAAATAGTTGTTTAATACGCAAAAAAATGCTCTTGAAACTAGAGAATAAAATTAGCGGCGTTTATCACACAGAAAGCGGCCGAACGCAGGTTTTTTTAAACGATTATATACATTTATTAGTGAAAAAAATCTTTCAATTAAAAAGAATAAAATAAAAAAATTCGTCTTTGCCAAAAAAATTTACGGGGCCGTTTTAAGGCAGCGATCGTTAAACGAGGAAAAAAAAGCACTAAAAAAAACAGTTTTTTTCGAAGTGAATTTTTCACGGAAAGTTTGAGTAAAGATTTGCGAACATATTCTGATAAAAAAATAGCTGAATTACTTCAAGTTTTTTTATTTTTTTGAAATAGGCAATCTGTGCTATCTAAACGGCTCAAGGGTAAGGCGGATGGAAGCTCCCCTTGCTAGACCTAGCAGCTTGGCGCAGCGCGTGCGCTGCGATTTTTTTCATTTTGAGGTCGCGAGTTCGATGCCCGCAAGCGTCAGTTTTTTTGTTTTTCTGGAAAATACCGACTTTTTTTCGGCAAACTAGCTGATGAGCATCATTTTAGCACTCTATTATGATTTGTTACATCATAATAGACCAGTATCAAAAACTTGTTCTAGAAGAAAAAAATCGAGAAAAAAATGTCAAAATGGATAATACCAAAATTTCAGTACTAAAAAAATGGTGCGCGGCGCGCCACATTTTTCGTCATAACTTTTTCATCCTCAATCTTTTTTTCGAAAAAAACTAAACGGTTCTGAGTTTTGAATCGAAACAGCTATCAAACCATACAAAGCTCAATGCTGAAAAAAAAATTTTTTTGAAAAATTGGTCTGCGGTCCCTATCTTAATGATTAGATTTTTAAGCTGAATAAAAAAACCCTATATGTCCGGCATATTATCATTTTTGGCCCTAAAAATCGGTTTGAAAAAAACTCGAAACCCTCAGATTACGTCTGAAGTTTCAGAAATACTTGTTGAAAATTCTTCCAAAATATAAAATGTTAAGGTCCTTAAAAAAATACTGGATTTTTTGCCAATATCGGAATCGCCCCCAGTGCTATAGCTGATTCACGGCTGGCTTGAGCCATCGAGAAAAGGGTCCTGCAACGAAAAGAGACGAGACAGTGCCCTGGTTGATGGAGAGTGCAGACAGACCACGCCTTTTTGCTTCCCAAGCTAGCCGTGAATTGTCTATAATTGGGGTATAGTCCGCCCGACTTGTCATTTTTCGCGTGTCTGCGTCTCTCTGTTCCCTCACCGGCGAGGTCCGATAGACATGAAAATATCACGTAAACATGAGAGAGTTGCCGAGAGACGTGGAGGGCGCAGAGAAATCCCGCCCTTTCAACTAGCGAAAAATGGTCTATAAATTTTCCGTAAGCCCACGTTTCTAGTTCGAAAAAAAAAGAAGAGCCAATCCTTGCTCATTTCTCAACCCACCCGTAGTCGGTTCGCGTGTCATGTTTCAACCGTCTACACAGGTGGATTTTGCGGCTTTTTATATGAAGCTTTTCGATCGGGATTATGACGATACCAAACTGCAGAAATATCGAAATGTGAGGCCGAAAATTGACCATCCGGCCAAGGAGCAGGTGCGTTTTGGAAGGATTTATTATAAATGTCGGGGTTTTGGTACGAAAATTTTTTGGATTTTTCCGGCAAGGGTGATAATTCCATGCGCCCGACTTTAAACTACTTACGCACCGCTGGATTCTTTAGTATAGGAATAAAGGAACTCGTTTGAGATACTTAAGAACTCCAGAGTGGTCTGTTTAGGGGTATCCTTGGGGACCCTTGGAGGGTTTAGCAACCCCTATAGAAGCCACTAAAACTTGCAAAAGTGGTCCCTATAGGGGAACATGTTAAACGATAATTCTTATGTACTCTATGCGAAAAATTAAATAAAAAAGCGTTTTTAAATGAATTTGAAAGATCCCGATAGGGACCACTTAAGCTTTAGGGGTTAAGGGGTCAGACCTTAAACCTAGGGACCGCAGACCAATTTTCAAAAAATTTTTTTCAGCATTGAGCTTTGTATGGTTTGATAGCTGTTTCGATTCAAAACTCAGAACCGTTTAGTTTTTCGAAAAAGATTGAGGATGAAAAAAGTTATGACGAAAAATGTGGCGCGCCGCGCACCATTTTTTTAGTACTGAAATTTTGGTATTATCCATTTTTGACATTTTTCTCGATTTTTCTTCTAGAACAAGTTTTGATACTGGTCTATTATGATGTAACAAATCATAATAGAGTGCTAAAATGATGCTAATCAGCTAGTTTGCCGAAAAAGTCGGTATTTTCCAGAAAACAAAAAACTGACGCTTGCGGGCATCGAACTCGCGACCTCAAAATGAAAAAAATCGCAGCGCACGCGCTGCGCCAAGCTGCTAGGTCTAGCAAGGGAGCTTCCATCCGCCTTACCCTTGAGCCGTTTAGATAGCACAGATTGCCTATTTCAAAAAAATAAAAAAACTTGAAGTAATTCAGCTATTTTTTTATCAGAATATGTTCGCAAATCTTTACTCAAACTTTCCGTGAAAATTCACTTCGAAAAAAACTGTTTTTTTAGTGCTTTTTTTCCTCGTTTAACGATCGCTGCCTTAAAACGGCCCCGTAAATTTTTTTGGCAAAGACGAATTTTTTTATTTTTATTCTTTTTAATTGAAAGATTTTTTTCACTAATAAATGTATATAATCGTTTAAAAAAACCTGCGTTCGGCCGCTTTCTGTGTGATAAACGCCGCTAATTTTTATTCTCTAGTTTCAAGAGCATTTTTTTGCGTATTAAACAACTATTTCAAGCACAGATACTGTGAAGAAAAAAATTTAAGTAAGGCCATGATCTAAATTTTTTTAAAAAAACAAAAAAACTTGATTATATTCGCTTATTAACGATATTTTTGAATTATGACTTTCGGCGCTCCCTAAAAATTTTTTTGGCAAAGACGAATTTTTTTATTTTTATTGTTTTAAAATTTTCGTTACTTGAATCAAAAATCATTATTTAAAAAAAGAAAGAGTGCGTTCGACCTGAAAACACATGAAAAAAAGCAAAAAAATGACAAAAATTTTTTTAGTTCCATTCACGTTTTTTTGTACGACATTCCGCGAGAACGCATCAAAAAAAGCGTGAAATATTTTTTAAACGAAAGAGGAAGCTTTTCTGTACATGTGTGTCAAATTTTATTCGCCAGTTCCACATATTTTGCAACTACAACAAAATGAAAGTTGAAAACCAAAAAAAAGCCACTTTTTCTATCGCGAAAAGGGGCGTGGCTTTGCGGTCCCTACTTAAACCGCTACCGCCTTCAAACCACTATAGTGACCGCTTTTCGGCCTGTAACCCCTGTAGGGACCACTCAGAAATTCCTAAGTAGGACCATAAAATTTAAAATTTTCTGAAACGCCTTTTCAATCATTTTCAAATGTTAGAAGATCGCCTTATTTAAAATATCCGTTAAAATTCACTCAAAGCGCTCCAAAGCTATTTCCCTGCACCCGACGTAAAACTACTCACGCACAACGGCATTTTTCAGTATAAGATAGTGGGATATCGCTCGGGTACACATGTAGTATCAAAACATAACAATTCGAGCTATTATATCTGAATTTTCGACCGGATTTTCAGCCCCGCGGTAAGGCGGCTGCACCGTATATGCAGGAAGGTACAATGTTGGGCCGTTCCAAGACGTTTCTCATCGAAAAACTCATCGCCGGCGGCGGATTCGGACAGATTTATCGGGCCGTCGATGTGGTGAATTTTGCCAGAAACAATTTATCAAGTACATTAAAAAAAATGTGCTCTGAAAACGCTTGGAAGGTCTTAGGAAAAAAAATTAAGCTAACAGTATTCAAAAAAAAAAATTTTAAATTGGAAGAAACGAAGAAAAAAGCGAAAATCCGGAAGTTGGCGAAGCCTGCTGTCCATAGAGCAACTTTACTGCAAAGCGCCCTTTTTGGCGGCAACTCAAACTTTCTTCTCTCCGACTTTGAATAATTTTTTCTCCAAAACTAGGAACTTCTGTACGTTTCCAAGTTCACCGTTCGATTCGCAATGAAAAACTGTACGAAGGACTGTTTTGAACTGAAACCCCGTTTTTTACTGCCCCTATGCCTTTAAAAAAAAGATAGGCTCGCCTTATTCCGAAGTTTCATCATGCGCTAAAATCCGTCTGCGATCAATTTATCCTTTTCCAACCTAAAATTGATTTTTAAGTTCAAGCTTCCTGTTTCAGGACAGAAATGAGATCCTGGCGGTGAAAGTCGAACGGGAACGGCCACCAGAATCCGCCAGAATGGTGCTCGAAGCTCGTGTCCTCGGCGAGCTCCAGGGTGTTGCTCATTTCCCAAAAATTGTTGGTCTTTGAGTTTATTGAAACTTTCTAGTGGAGAAGCTCAAAGTGAATACAAATTCAAAAAAAAGCCTTACTTTTTTGAAATTTCTATCTAACGTTAACCAGAAAAAATCTTTTGTTTGGAAATTTTTTAAATGTTGGCTAAAAACTTCTAATATTCCAGTACTACATCGGCCACTACGGGGATTGCAATTATATCGTGATGCAAATGTTGGGCCGAAATCTGACCGATATTCGGAAAGCCCTGCCAGCCAAACGATTCACTGTTCACTCGGTTCGGTTTTACGATTGCGCTTTTGATTTTTATGTTTTTGGTGGACTCATACTTTTGACTTGAAACAGTCTATTTTCTTTGTCCCCTTTGTATCTCTGGGATACTCGTTTTTTTCTTATACTTGCTATTTTTCTATGACCACCCCCCCTCGGAACGCTATCTATAATCACTTCCCCCTTGGATCTTTTTCATATTGGCAGCGCCTAAAATTTTAGATATTACGTTTTTTTAATTTGGCAGCGCCTTGAACTGGAAAGAGACGCAGACGGTCAGATTTTTTAGTGGCCACTATTGGGTTTTGACGTTTTAGTGTGTTGAGAATTAGGGGCCACTGTAGAGGTCTAAGTGCTACTACTAGACCACTAAAAATTTTAGTGGCCACTTTAGGGGTCAATGGATCATCATAACTGGTCCAATATGTTTGTTTTAAAGTTATCAGAGTTATTGGAAGGAATACTGGATGAAAAACTACTGAAGTGGCCACTAAAACGGAAAATAGTGGCCACTATAGTGGTGGGCTTAGTGGCCACTTTAGTGTCATCTCCAAGTAGTCCTTGGCGAGCCTCTATAGTGAAATTTTCCCAGAAAACCAAAAAATGACACAATTTTAACAGAAATTGATCAAAAGAAGAGAAAAAGAAAAATTAATTTAAGACGATTCGCGTCGGAATTCAAATGGTGACCGCTTTAAAGTCTCTTCATGACAATGGATATCTGCATAGGTAATCAATTTCTTTCTAGAAGATGAAAAAAACTTTTTTTTTCAGGGACATGAAACCAACGAACATGTGCGCCGGAATCGATTCGCATCGTCGCCAGATTTATCTCGTTGATTTTGGTTAGTTGGAAAAATTCCTTTTTTTTCTACTGTGTTTCCCAGTTTTTACCTTGGACGCTTCAAATTGTGAATTGAACTGAGATAGTTACAAAACTGAGCTTGATTTTCTCTGAAAGCTTTTTTTTCTGATTCAAGTGCGCTCTAATGAATAAAAAGTGCCTTAATTCATCAAAAATGATATAATTCTTCAATGGAGCACACTTGCCATCGTGGCTATTTCTTCCCAACTTCCAGGGATGGTCCGGAACTTCAAGGCGGACGATGGAAGTACTCGGCAACCGAGGGCCTACGCCGGCTTCCGCGGTACTCAGCGCTACGCCTCGATCAACGTCCACGATCGTTTCGATCAGGTCACGTCATGACCGCGACGCGACCGCAATGCCTGACTTTTAGGGGCCTGTAGATGATCTTTGGAGTCTGTACTATTCGTTGATTGAACTGGCCGAAGGAAACCTGCCTTGGAAAATGTTTGAAACCCCTGATGAGGTGGCGCAAATCAAGAAGAATCTTCGATTTGAGGATCTTTCCAGGTTTTTTTTTACTTGAGCGTTTTGGAGTTCAAGGGGCCACTTGAGTAAATATTTGCTTCTCTTTCTGGTTAGAAGGCTTTAAGTGACCACTTGAAGAGTTTTTCAAATTTTTAGTAAATTTTAAAGAGAAAATGAAGACCCAATAATGGGCATCACTCGAAATTTTTGTGGTGCTTTTCCGTATTTTTCTCATTTTTACCCTAAAGTGGTCACTTGAAAAGTTTTTCAAATGTTTAGGGTATATTCAAGATGTAATGAAGTCCCAATAATACGCATCACTCAGAATTTTTTTTGGTGCTTTTCCGTATTTTTCTCATGTTCTCCCTAAAATGATCCCTCCCAGAAACCTGCCAGTTCATTTCTCGAAATTCGAGCGAAGCCTCCGACGTGTTCCTCACATGGGACATCCCAATTATAGCGGCTTGATCGGCTATCTTGAGGTTCTTTTTCGAATTTTCGAATCAACAAATAATTTTCTGAATTCAGAATTGCTGTAGATTTGTCGACACCAACGCTGAATTCGAATGGGACGACGATTCATGAGATCAAATTTTTTTTTCGGCCAATAAAATGACAATTTTTCTCTTGCAAATTGCTTTTTTTTTGATGATAGAATGGAGTTTGTTCTTTTATACGTTTGTGCAGAGTTCAGAAACGTCAAAAGGTAAATATTAGAGGCGTCGTCAATGTTTACCCTGATAAGAATTTTTTCGAAGAACCGTTCTTTTTAAATTTCGCAACGTCGCGTTTTGAACTTCATTATCACTTATAATTTTTGGGCAATCTTGTTTTAAAACAGCTGGAACATTTTTAAAAAGTTTTTTTAAGCGACGAAAAAAATGTTAAGGTAAATTCGCGCCATCGCACTCGGCGCGCGCTATTTACGAGAATTTGAAAAATACCGCATTTTTTGTTGGTTATTTTGTTCAAAAAGTTCTAGTTGGGAGTTTAAATACGTTCAAGATATCACTGAAAATAGCTCTTGGCTTTGATAATGCTCGGAATCTTACTCTATTCTTTTTTTCAAATACACAAATTATTTTTTTATCATTGACTTTTTGAGAGGCGATGCCTGGAGCCACCAGTAAAACGGAAATTACGGCAGAAACTGTAAGTTTCACGTTTAGAGAATATTTCAATTTTAGAGAGTGGTCTGCAAGGATTCTTCCGGTTACATTTGCGATGTGAAACTGTCGAAGGTTTAAATAAAAAAATGTAAAATAAATTAATTTTTCTATGATTTTTGAGACGGATGTGTCGCGGAATATGAACAAATTTTTACAATATGGTCGTCTACGAGAATGGGACGCAATTTTGGTAATTTTCAGTCTTTTTTTTCATTTTTGGCATGGTTTTTTGAAGGCGCAGTCCAGAAAACTTATAAAATTAGATAATGCGCCTTCAAAAATCCGGTCAAGGTTTTTTTTAAAAATCGAAATTTTCAGCTGTGATCTGACAAATGGGAGGATTGGCTACAATGGAGTAACCCGAAAACATTCTTTTCCAACCCAAGAATCGGCTATAGCACTTTTTACAAAACAGTTTTTGGGTAAAACTGGCTTTGAATGGAAGGTTGGAAACTTGAAAAAAATGAAGAAAATTTTCTGAAATTTCCAGGGGCCTTCAGCGACCTACAAGTGGTCTACGAACACGTACAGAATTATCAAGGTTTTTTTGAATTGTCTTTTATGACTTTTTCAAAGGAGCATAGACGAAGTTTATTAAGGTCTTGAAACGAAAAAAAGATGACTTTTTAAATTTCGAAAAAAATGTGAAAAAAATTCGGTTTTTCAGCACGTTGAACCTGATGAAAAGCCACAGAGGGTTGCGAAAAAAAGAACTTTGAAAGTGGAAAAACCGATGGAAAATCTAGAAGAGGTTAGAAAAAAAAAATTTTAAAGTCGAAAAAAAATATTTTTCAGATGAGCGAGGTTTTCGGGTTTCTGAGCATCGTTTGCGATGAGAAGAAGATTAATCAAACTCTGCAAAGGCAAAATTTTGGGAAACCTATAAGTTAGTGGGAAATTAGAATCGTAGGCAAAGTCGGAAGAACCCTTTAGGGGCCCGTTAATTGTTCCTAAACGTGTGACAACGGTTTCCTTTGTATTGCCTTTTTTGACCTTCCATCGGCCTTTATCGGACCCTTTTGGGAAAAAAAAAATTTTTCAAATTGACCAGGGAATGGTCTCTGTTCACAGGGGAACTTCTGAATGGGATCATGTTTTCTAGATGTAGTTTTTTATGCTGATTCTAAATCCGGTCTCAAAAGCTGCCCAATATGTCTGTGAAAAAGTTGTGGACCCTCAAAAGTCGAAAAGCTCATAGTTTCCGATCGAGCTCATTTTTCGAAGGTATGTAGATCCTGTCCCTCTGATCACGAAAATCCATTTAACTCTTTCCAAAATTATTTTGAAGCTTTGATATGATTCTTCAAAGCTCGGCGCGTGATAAGAGCTTGCGAACGCGGTGTCCTTGAAAAATCATATCAAAGCTCCAAAATTTTTTTTGGAAAAGTCAAATCGATTTTCGTGATCAGAGGACAGGATCTACATACCCTCAAGAAATGAGCTCGATCGGAGACTATGAGATTTTTGACTTTTGAGGGTCCATAAATTTTTTCACAGACGTATTGGGCAGCTTTTGAGTTTGGATATGGGATCAGCATAAAAAACTTCACCTAGAAAACATGGTCTCATTCAGAAGTCCCACTGTGAGCTGAGACCATTCCCTGGTGAGAATAATCTTCACCAGTGACTGTGTAGGAACCAAAATGGGCTACAGTAATAAAATTGGAAATTATTAATGGCCGAGACTTTTTGCACCCTTTTTTGAGGCTTTTTAGCCCGCCAAGGAAGAAAGGCTCAATAAAGGTCGCAAAACGGAACCCTTTTAGCGGCCATTTTGCAGCCACTTCCTTTTTTCCGCACTTCCCAATTTGGCAGTGATAAGATAAAGCCCGAAAAATTAACTCGGAATGGTTTTTTGGATGGGGTTTTATTAAGATTTGGATTCACATTTTTTTCACAGATTTGCCAATTGTGATATATTTCAGTGAAAAAAATTTCACATGGTAGATAGAACCTGAAAAAAAGAAATTTTTTTCTATTTTTTTCAACAATTTTCTTCAAACCCATGTATTTTAGCCATTTTTCTCTACTAAAATTCTCTCAAACTCCTTTTTTAGGAACCCTCTCCGTCAAGCAAATCAACGGCGGTTCATAAACTTTGAAATCCGCATTTTTCACTGATTTTCCATAGTTCTTTGAGGTTTTTTTCAGAAATTTCAGTTGAAAAAAGGTTCAAATGATAGATATAACCTGAAAAAACGAATTTTTTCTTCAAACCCATGTATTTTTAGCCATTTTTCTCTACAAAAATTCTCTCAAACTCCTTCTTTAGGAACCCTTTCCGTCAAGCAAATCAACGGCGGGTTCCGGACTTTGAGAAAAATCGAGACGGCCTTGAAGAAAAAGACGAGCGTCGCCGAGCTCACCAACGAGTATTACTCGAATATTCCCCACTGTTTCGGGTTTACTTCACCAAAAAATAAAAAAATTCATGGGATTTTTCAGAATGAGTGTCCCTCCGAAAATTGACAATTTGGAAAAGGTGAAGGCAGAGTTCAACCTGTTGAATTCCCTCTCCGGAGCCATGGAATTGGTCGGCGATATGGAGAATGTGAAGGTAAAAATGAAAAATTTGTGTTTATGTATTGAACATTTCTATTAGGTTCAAATTTTTCTAAAATTTGAGTAGAAAATTGGTATTTTCTATGTTTCAATGTCATTTTTTTTTGATCGGGGATATGAAGAGTTTAAAGGTAATTATAGAAAAATAATTTTTTTCGGTAGGATTTTTAAAAGTTTCACTTCCCTTTTTTTAAAAATTAAAAATAGGAAGATTTCGGATTTTTCAAGGTTTCAATGCCTTTTTTTGGTCATTGATATAAAGAATTTGAACGTAATGGTGGAAAAAAATTACGTTTAAAAAAATTTTAGAAGTTCATTTTCTAAACTTAAAATAGAAAATTGGCATTTTTCATGTTTTTCAATGCCTTTTTTTATGTTGGAGAATGGAAAATGTGACTCTAAAAACGTGGAAAAAAAATTTTTTTCGATTGAAATTTTTAAAAGTTTCACTTCATTTTTCTAAAAACTAAAATAGGAAGATTTCGGATTTTTCAAATTTTTTTGGTCGTTGATATGGAGATTTTTGATTGTAACCTTGAAAAAAAATTTACGATTTTAGTTAGAATTTGAGAATATTCGCTTGATTTCCCAGAAGTAATAGAGGGATTTTTTTGGTTTTTTTAAGTTTTTCATAACCCTGTTTTTTTGTTCGAATATATAAAGAATGTCAGAATAATTTTTGGAAAGCTTTTTGTTTCATAAATTAAATTTTTCAAAATTTTTCAATTCCGTCGTCTAGATTTTTTTATGGAAATATTCTGATATTCGTTTTTCGAGGTAAAAAAATTTCATTCTTACTCTAGATATGGAATGTGAAGATAAAATGGAAAAGTTCTGTTTTTCCGGTTAGAATTTCAGAAGGTTCACTTCCTTTTCTCAAAAAAATATATTTTTCAAATTTTTTTGAAAGCTCTGTTTTTTTATATGGAGAATTTGCAGGTAACCATGAAACAATAATTTTTTTATTCGGTTTTGGATTTTTAAAATTTTTCACTCAACTGTCACATTTAGATAGAGAGACTTCTGATTTTTCAATGTTTTGAAGCCTTTTTTTGGGTCGGAGATATGGAGAATGTAACGATAAAAAAATAGAAAAAAATAATATTCATTTGATTGGAATTTTAAAATTTTTCACTTAACTTTCAAATTAAAAAAATTTTTGGAGTTGCTAGGTTTCTAAGTTTTTTTGGTCTTTGATATGGAGAATTTGAAGGTAATTTTTGGAAAAAAATTATGATTTTTTTAGATAGAATTTCAGAAGATTTACTTTTTTTCAAAAAAAGTATATGGAAATATTTCAGATTTTTCAAGACCTTTTTTTGATTGTAGAAATGAATAAATTTGAAAATAGTTTTTTTGAAAAAAAATTATGTTTTTTTGATCAGAATTTCAAAAACTTTCTATCACTTCTCAATAATTTCTTTACAAAATGTCCGAATTCACGGCTTTTTGAGGAACGATCGTGTTTTTCTCAATTAAAAAAAATTGATTTATTTCCGGATTTTTAAAATTTTTTTGATGGCCTTTTTGTCTTGGATATGGAGATTTCGATGATAATAATAAAAAAATTGTGTTTATTAGTTCGAATTTCGTAAAGATTCCATCAATTTTCCATTATTCCTGTGCAAAATGACCGAATTTACGACTTTTTTAAGGAACGATTTTTGTGTATTTTTCATTCAAAAAAATTAACATTTTTTTAGAGTTTCAAAGCTTTTTTTCTGATATTTTCATTTTTATTAAACAATTTTTCTTTTAAGTCCGACGACAAAGGGGTCCGTATATCGTTACATGTACGATAAGCTTCCATCTCAAATCGTTCACGTTGAAGACGAGGAACTTTTTGATGGTATTTTTTTATAAAAAAAACAACATTATTTAATTAAATTCTATTTGGCAGCTCCTCAAGCAAGCGGCGACCTACAACGCGCCGACCCATCATTTCGAAAATATGAAGTTTTCGCGCGCTTTCCGTTTCGGCGAAAAGTTGCAGCCGACCAAAAGGAGGCGCGCGCCGGCACCCGCGGTCAACACGTGGGGATTTTTTTATATCAACGATTTTTTCAAGGCTTTTCCAAAATCAAATTCCCAAACACCTCTATTTGAGGAACAGAAAGGATAGGAAAATTTTTCAAATTCTAGAGTTACGGTCCGTTTTTCGTGACTCAAATGAAGCTTTTTTAGCTTTTCTTAGAAACTCCAGAGTGGTCCCTATAGAGGCGACCCTAGGGACCACTTTACCAATCCCTATAGGGGTCACTAAAGCTTGCAAAAGTAGTCCCTATGGGGGACATGCTAGTCGATTATTGTTATAACTCCTTGGGAATTCCAGAGGGGTCCCTATAGGGGTGAAGTTAAGGTGGCACCTATAGAGGTTTAGAGTCTGACCCCCTAGCCTTTAGAGCTCAAGTGGACCCTATAGGGCTCTTATTTACTCAGGTTACCTCATCAAATTTCTTCTTCGCTCAGAGTTCATAACAACTTGTCGACTAAAATGTCCCCTATAGTGGTCACTTTTTCAAGATTTAGTGGTTTTTATCGGAGTTGGTAAAGTGGTCCCTCGAGGGTTGCTTAAGGTTTAGCCCCGATAGGAACCACTCTGGAGTCCCTAAGTCTATGCGAAAAATCGATAAATCAGCATTTTTTGATAAAAAGTATCACAGAAGGTCAATTTTGTCTTTTTAAGGTTCAAATTGAACCAAAAAATGGAAATACCTCTATAGGGACCACTTGCTCTCTAGGGGCTTATGAATCGGACCCTAAACTCCTATAGGGACCACATAAAGTTTACCCCTATAGGGACCACTTTTTTGGCCCCTATAAAGGCTGCTTTTTCCCCGAACCCCTATAGGGACCATTCAGGACGATTTTAGCCGCAAAAAACTGTATTTTTTTAGGTTTTTGTTCAAATTTTCAATGACAAGGCTTTAGTAGAAAACTTGGCGTTTTTCTTTTATTTTTCAATTTTTTTCAGCCTCCTTCTTTGGCACGGCTCCCCGGTGACGAATATCTATTCAATTATGCTCAACGGACTTTCTCGGCCCGAGTTCCCGCGCGGCAATTTGATGTTTGGGCCTGGGATTTATTTCGCTACCCTTGTGAGTTTAGAAAAAAAAAATCAAAGTTTCAGAAGAAAATTTTCGTTTTTCTCGAAAAGGATTTGAATCATTCTTTTTTGGTTCATTTATCAATAAAAGTTATTTTTTTTTTCGAATTTAATCAGGTTTTCAATAATATTTGCCTTTTCAGGCCTCAAAATCGCTGTTATACTGCAATGTGGCGCCCGGGGAGAAGGTCTATCTGTTCCTCTGTAAGGTGGGTTTAATTAACAAATCACCTGAATTTTTTAAAATTTTATTTTTCAGGTGAACTTGGGCGATTCATTGGTTCTGACCGAGTGTGACTATGACCCGGCGACTGTCTTGAAAAAGAAGAAGAAAAATTCAGTTCTCGGCAAAGGCCTTCACTCTTCAACGTCTTTCGTTGAAATGTTAGTGAAAATATTTTTTTTTAGACTTTAGGGGATTTTATATTGATGCATTTCGAAACAAAGGCGCGGGGAGTAGGCTCACAAAAATTTCGAAAATTTATGAGTAAAATCAATTTTTCAGCCCCAAGAATAGTTTTGGCCACAATGAATTATTTATTTTCAATAATGCAAGTTTTAGCCTCAGGGAGGTAGTATTACCTTTAATTTCAGAAAAAAAACTTGGGAGGAGGGGTCGGCGACCTTTGAAAATCGTATATGATGGACACTAATGACCTCGAAAATTTTCCTCCGAAAAAAATTGGGGTAACTTTGAAAAATTATGCTCTTGTGGAACTAGAAGCTTCAGAAGGACGAATTTTGATTTGAAACAAATTTTTAGGAGCGCTTTTTTGGGCATGAAATCAATCGAAATTGCAAAAAAGGGAGGAAGTTGCCATTTTTGGGAGTAAGAAAAGGTGGAAAATCAAATTTAGTTGGTCAAGAAGGTTTTTTTTTTTTTTAGGCGATTTGTAATAGATTGATCTGGAAACAAAAGTCTTTAGAGCGCTTTCAATAGACACTGGTGGCCTCGAAAATTTTCTTACAAGAAAAAATTAGGATAACTTTGAAAAATTATGCTCTTGTGGAACTAGAAGCTTCAGAAGGACGAATTTTGATTTGAAACAAATTTTTAGGAGCGCTTTTTTGGGCATGAAATCAATCGAAATTGCAAAAAAGGGAGGAAGTTGCCATTTTTGGGAGTAAGAAAAGGTGGAAAATCAAATTTAGTTGGTCAAGAAGGTTTTTTTTTGTTTTTAGGCGATTTGTAATAGATTGATCTGGAAACAAAAGTCTTTAGAGCGCTTTCAATAGACACTGGTGGCCTCGAAAATTTTCTTACAAGAAAAAATTAGGATAACTTTGAAAAATTATGCTCTTGTGGAACTAGAAGCTTCAGAAGGACGAATTTTGATTTGAAACAAATTTTTAGGAGCGCTTTTTTGGGCATGAAATCAATCGAAATTGCAAAAAAGGGAGGAAGTTGCCATTTTTGGGAGTAAGAAAAGGTGGAAAAATCAAATTTAGTTGGTCAAGAAGGTTTTTGTTTTTTTAGGCGATTTGTAATAGATTGATCTGGAAACAAAAGTCTTTAGAGCGCTTTCAATAGACACTGGTGGCCTCGAAAATTTTTCTTACAAGAAAAAAATTAGGATAACTTTGAAAAATTATGCTCTTGTGGAACTAGAAGCTTCAGAAGGACGAATTTTTGATTTGAAACAAGTTTTTAGGAGCGCTTTTTTGGGCATAAAATCAATCGAAAGTCGAATTTACAAAAACGGAGGAAGTTGCCAATTTTGGGGGGCGAAAAGTCGAAAAACCAAGATTTTTTTGGTTTTGGTGAACTGATCTTTCATTAGAACTTGATTTAGATATATCTTAGTACTTTTTGAATTGAAATTAAGACACTTTGTGCAGTAGATCTCAGGACGATATGAAAGCTTTGAAAATAACTTTTTTCGTATTAATTATGTGTCTTTTGCGAAATTTGAAGAATAGTTACTGAAAAGAGTTCTTTTGGGAGAAATCATTCCTTTTTCTGAATTCAGGAGGTCCTAGAGTGCCCTACAGTGAAGTTTTATCAAAAAAAAATTTTTCGGGGCTGAATGAAAAAAAAATTTCATGCTCTCTTATCTTCTTGTCAAGAAATTAGAACAAGAATTTATAACATGCAGGTTTTTTTCAGAAGATTTATTTTTATGTTTTCATGCTTCAGAATATTCAGAAGTGTATTTGAAGAAAAAAAAATTTCATGCTCAATTATCTTTTTGTCAAAAACTGTGAACTGGTTTCTTATGAAAAATGTTGTAAAATCATGATTTTTCACTCCTTTAGCGGGCCTTATAACCAAAGAATTTTATGCCTTCATTCTTGATTCATTTTAAGCGATGGAATCCAAGTGACGACGTGCGTCGAGAACCGCGGCGACGTCAAGTCGGCGCTTCTCTACGACGAATACGTCGTCTACGATGAGTCTGCTGTTTCAATCGCCTACGTCGTCGAATTGGTCTGCACCGAGCCTGAATGACCTGCTGTTCCACGGGAAATTATACTTTTTCTTTTTTTGCAAGGAGGTATTTTTTACGGTTTAGTTTTTATGAAAGCTTCTCGGGCCTTTAGAGAAGAATTACTTGGTTAAACAATTTTTTTGACTTTCTGAAGCCACCCTTTCCTTCTTAGACACTTTAGTGATTACTTCAACTTTTTATGACGTCATTGGGAACTTTATAAGCGCATTTTATTGTACCTATCAACTTTTTCTTCAAAAAAAGTTTTTCTTCCTAGGTTTTTTTGTCAAACTGTTATCTTTTAAAATGACGTCATTCTCGCTTCAATGGTTCCATGACGTCATTTGATTGTGAAATTCCCATAATTTGTACCCTCACTTTTTTTTAACAGTTCCTGAAAATTACGGCTTCATAACGTCATTAAGTTTCTGAATTTTTCTAAAATTCCTCCCCCTTCTTTATTCCCGGCTTAGCTCTTTTTATCATGTCATCAATCAGACCTGCGAACTTCCATGACGTCATCAAAAAAAAAAAATCTAAGAAGACTTTTGCCTGATTTTCCTCTTTCTTGAAACATGGTTTCACGTCGAATGGCTCAGCGCCCGACCAAAAACGACTTGCGCGTAAAGGAATATGAAATTATTAGAGAGCTGCCTGCTGGATGAAGTTTTGTACGTGAGCCTGAAACCACCGGCGACGCTCTGAGCCATTCCAGATGCGCACTTTTTTCCTTTCTGTAAGTATAGTCAGTGTTCCACGACTTGAAATTTCACGGAACGACATTCCGCTGTTCCGCTGCGTACGTTCGCGAAGCGTCTTTCGAATCTAGGTCACGCTTTCGATTGATTGTTGTTGCTGTGGGAGCACATGAAAGTAGAGTATCTTAATAAAAGAAAAAAAAAATTAGAAGCGTGACCAAGGTTTGCAGAGGCGCGCAGCGGCACAGCGGAATGTCGTTCCGTGAAATTCCAAGTCGCGGTACACAGGCTATACCTTTGGAAAGATCGGAAAGTTGTATATATTTATGTTTTGCTTACCAAATCTAGGCTTTATTCTCACTTCTCCACGCTTTTTCAAATCATTTTGACTCGAAATTAATGAATTTATATCATTCTCCCCCAGCTACTCACAATTTACTTCAAATAATTGCTCCTGAAATATCACTTTTTTGAACTGAAAATTACTGGTAACCCTACACTGACCTCACTTTTTGTGCCTGTATTTTTTTTGCTCTTTTTTTGCAAGTTTTGAATAAATTATCCAGCGATAGAAAGAAAATTATCACTGTGTTATGGTCATCAAGAAGTTTTTTGCTCTGAAGGAAGAAAAAAAAATGGTCGCTATCTAATATGCTATTCAGCGCTACAATAATTTCCAAATTTTGTTGGGGATACTGTAGTCTTCGGTAATTGACATGTTTTCTGACCTTTTATTAATTTTGACAAGTCTATGTTGTAATGTATGTGAAAAATGTACAGATGAATTATCAAATAATAAATAAAAAGGAATAGCTCAGAGGTTAGATTGGATTTACAATATATCGCGCAGCCGTTTCGAGTTCGTTTCAAAGGCCGTTTATAGAACTGGGTTTTTTTTTCTAATTATTTTTTCTCGTTTTTGTTAGCCTCACTCGTTTTTTTTTTAAAGTTCTCCTACATCGCCATGGGATAATGGAGATTTGAAAAAGCAGTGAAAAAACAAAAGACCAAAAGCCAGAAAATAGCCTTTTTATTGGCTTCCAATCGCATTTTGAAAGGACGGAGCATTTTCATATTCAAAAAATGGTGTTACAAGCGAAAAACGTGTTATGACACAACATGGCTCCAATTTTTGACAAAGGTCTGTGTAATTATGTTTGATGCCATTGTGCGCAAGGCGGCTCAAGGTCGGATTTGAAGGTTTACGAGCCCTTTGTCTGAGTGTCGGAGTTATTCAAACGGCTCCTCTTTACTCGGAGATCTTAATCTTGGTTAGAGCCTTTTCGACTCCGTTTCAAAAAATTGTTTTTCGAAAACACTACTAAATTATCATTACGGGACTAACTCAGTTCGAAGTTCAAAATATTTGAAAAAGACCATTCTACAGTTTCTCACTTGCCTTAAATATCTCACAAAAGAAGCCTGTTTTCGTTAGGCTTTTGTATTGGTATGCTGGAGAAGTCGGTCGGTCGGTCGATTTGGAAAACTAGGCCACGCCGTATTTTTGCTCCATGGAAAATCGACTTTCAGACTTTTTCTCTTTTTCTATATTTTTCCTTCTTTTTTTATCAGTTTTCTTGGATATAGGATACATGCTCTTCACTTCAAACTAAACTGTTCCTTATTTATCATTGATTCCCTAGGTGATTTTTCACCTTTTTTAAGGGTAGTTTTATTTCTTGCCTCTTTTGTGTGTAATTTACACATCATTTCATTTTTCGAATATTTATAATTTTTAATTTTGCTCATTTGGTTATATGTAGTTCTTTGGATCCAAAAAATAAATAAGAGTTTTAAAAATTGAATCAGTTTATAATTCGGAATGTAGTAACCATCGTATTTTTCTCGTGAGAACGATACAGTTGAATGAAAAAAAAAAAGTGAAAACCTTCTCAGTAAAGTTTAAAAAAAAAAGAAAAATTGAGAAAAGAAAAAAACAGTTTGAAATTCTGAGTGTTCCATGGAGCGAAATTGCAGCGTGGCCTAGTTTTCCAAACTGACCGACCGACTTTTCCAGCATGCCCTTCCGCATTTTTTAACTTTGAGCGGACACAATTTTTTCACAGACCTCCTTGGGAGATTCAGCACAGATTGGAGCTTTTATTGGGATCAAGGCAACTTTTTTTTGAAGTTATATTTATTTGAGATTCGGTTCTGTCATAGGCGAATCGAGAACAGTGCCTGCGCTCTCCACGAGCCAGGCACTGTCTCGTGCATTATCGTGTCAGGACCATTTTTTCGATGGCTCAAGCCAGCCGTGAATCAGATATACCTTGCTTGAGGTCTCACGATGGACACATTATGGGGCCTTCACGATCCATTTTGAGAGGTACCTTTGTGGACACATTACGGTACCTTCTCGATTCGCCTGTGTTGCTAAACTTGAGAATTTCGAAAATTTTGGTCGCTGCCAATTTTAGAATTTTCAAACTATGTTCTACTCACCCAGATGCAGTTTGGAAAACTAGTTTCAAAAAAACTGTTTTTTCTAATCCCTTTGGTATATATTTTTTTGACAAAATTTCCCAATTGGCATGAAAAACTGCTCCTAGTGAACCTAGGCTCGCTTAAAAGTCTAATTTCGAGTCAAATCAAGGTTAGTGTAACCGAAGGTTGTTGTCTAAAAAGCAAGTCTTCCAACCCAGCCAGTCCAAAAAGTTAATTATACCCATCATCGATTTTGATGGATCCAGGTCAACCTCACAAAGTTCTCGGGGGGCCTCAAATTATGGACGCCCCGCGAGGTCGCCCGCCTCCTCACGAGTTGTATTTGCTGTAAAATCTACACACAGATGGTCTCGATCACGTCCTTCAGAATAGTTTTTCGGCGCCAAAAAAGGTTCCATTTCTTGGACTTTGTTGAAACATTTTTGTTCTTTCTTTGCGTAAGATCTTCCTTTTTCCAAGAATTTTAGTTTTTCGTCTCCCCTGAAAAGTTGATTATAGTCAGATTTTCAATGTCAAGTGCAATGACGTCATTGAAAAACACTGTGTGGATGGCTCGCTCTCTGATTGGTTTACCGCACCATTAGGGGCGGAGCTTGAGCGACGTGAACAGACTATAGATCTGTTTCAGTCTCCTTTTCCTCTGTATTCCTTTTTTTTGTCACCAACCTTTTTTTTCAAATTTGAGGCCTCAAAAATTTTTTTTCACTCAATCTTTCACATGCAAGAAAAGTCGCAGTTTCAAGCTGAAAGTTGAATTCTCATTTTCCAATCCAATTTCAATCCATTTTTCTATTTATTTTCTCTCGGTTTTCTTTGTACAACCCTTGAAAAAAGCTCTCAGATCGATGGGAATGCACTACAGTAGCCAAATTTTACAGTAACCCAAAAATGAACTTGTTGAATATTGTATGATAAACGGAGAAAGTTGACCGCTGTTCAAAACACTTGAACGCTGGTTCGTCTCCAAGCCTATTTGCAATTTATTTCGAGAATTGTTTTGGGTATTACTGTAGCTTTATCTGCGTACTGTAAGCAATGGAAAAAAATTGACCTGATGAGATTTTTTTGAATTGTTTTCTTATAAAAAGAAAAATACAAAGGAACAAGAGAAAAATTATTTTTTTTGAGATTTCGATTGGGTATTGGAAGTTTGCTGTTTCAAACCAACTATTTCAGCTTGACACTAGCGTGAAACTTTTGTTAAAAGTCTTTGGTACCTTTAAAATAAAAGTAATTGGCTTGATTAATGACCTTTTTTTTATTGTTTTTTAGATTTTTTTCAAGCTTGGGAGAATCTTTTTCAGGAGAACCTTTTTTTTACAACTAATCATCAGCTCCATTAATGAGTTTTTTTATTTACGTTTGTTTCATTTTTAAATTTGCTTGGCCGAGAATTTGAAAAAAGAATTGATTTTTTCTTTCGATGGAAAAAAAACCCTTATTAGACTTACCGAAAAAGAGCAACGGGTAGTTAAAATGTGAAAAGTCATGTTAAAAAAACTGAAAAAACTGAGTTCTATAATAAATTGCGTGCTCCTGCTGCAGGAAAAAGAGAACGTATAAAGTTTGTTTTTTTGCAAATTAGAATTATTTTTAAAAAAATATTTTTTTGAAGTGGCCCCATTGATTAAAAACAAGTTTTTCATACTGTAAACATTTTTTTGTTAAACGGGACCGTGAAATATATGACAGGAACTGCGAAATTCGCCTACAAGTCAAATTCCCTACCTACTAATTTTTTTCAAATATTTCAAAAATGTAATAAATGTGAAAAATAATTTTTTTCACACTACATATTAGCCATTGGCGACTGTTAAGAAGTATACATTTTACTCAATTTTACAACAACAAATAAAAAAATCAATTACCAGTTCCATAAACGAGCTTTTTATTTTTCATTTTTATTGCTAAAAAACCTGGGAAAAAGACAAACATTGCTCTTTTTTCTGGACGAACTCAAACCGTCTGGAAAGCTTTCAAAGCACCAGGTATCAGATTATTGTTATTATTTTGTAGTGGCGACACTCTTTCGGTCTGATGATAGGACATTAAGAACACTCTTTCGGTCATATATGTTCCCTTTTCAAACGCGGAAAAAAACGCCCGTATATGCCATTCATTCTATGAGGCCACTACTTATATTTTTGATAAATTTTTCTGAACGATTCTGGACATGGAGATTGGAATCTTGGGGACGCCGCTCGTTAAATCTTAATTGGCATGACCGCGCCTAGAAAAATCGTTCTGCGCTCCGATGATGTCGGCTACCATTTGGAACATCAAGCATTTCAGGTAATTATTTTGTCTCTCCAGTATGAATATTTGCGCCCCGTCGATGGACTACGTGCCTGAAAGAATCAACGTCAAACGCTTGATTGATGTTGTTTTAGAGCACAAAAAAAATTTATACCGGGTGGTAATTGACAAACTTATCGACTATTATCGTAAAAACTATCGTGCTTGTAAACGATCCTGTCACTTCCTTTAACGATATCCCTACTCGTTTCTTGGTCATTTTTTTTTTGAGAGAAAGGTCCCTTCCTCTAATGACGTTATGTTTCCTCTTTTGAAATTTTTTAGAACATGAGAAAGTTCGAATCCTGGTGCTTTGATGCACCTTTGTTAAAAAAGTGTGGAAGTGTCGTGCCTCTGAGACATCGGCGAGGCGCTCCAAATGAACGGACGTCCGATCGACTGGCGTTAAATGGAGAAACAGCCCAAGCAAACGCTTCTCAAATTTCGGTCACCGGTAAATTTTTCAATTTCCGGGCGCGTGTAAACTCGGCCGTGTACGTCTACGGTCGAATGACCGGACATCGTTATGCCGTTCACCGATGGAATCCTGAGAGACGTTTTCCTCTTTATGCCCGGGATGTCAGATTCGCAGGCTGTTCACTTCTAGAGGATTATCGATATCGTCATGGAGTAGTCTTGAACGATAATGAGCGTATAACATGGTTCGGGTCAGAGGCGGTTCCTGTTAGATTTCTCGTCGAAAATACATATTAGGCTTGATTTCAATTAAATTAGAGTCGAAATTATCCAAAAAAAAAAGTTTATAAAAAGAGTGTTCTGCACTCAAAACCAAATCGCACCGAACATATTTTTCGGCCTTTTCATTTTAATTTTCCAATAATCTGGGTAAGAAGAACAGTTTTTCGTTCAACTTTGTTGGCTATCAAGCCACCAGATGTCAAATTTGTTTGTTAATAGTTTGTGTAAAAAAAGTGCGCACGTCATTTTTGAAATTTCAAAAGTGGTGAATTCCGATCATTTATAAACACAAAATGAGCGATATTTCTGAAGAAGAATTTTTTTTTTTTATTTTAAAATTTTATCTATCATTCTTTTAGTGGTTTATATCGGGGCGGTAACTACGCAAACGGCGAAAAAAATATCAGATGGTCAAGGTTTTTTTTTTCTTTTTTCATCAATATTTTCTTCAGGTCTTTTAGTGCATGAGACAGATGACGGCTTCGAGCTGGTCAACCCGTGCCTATTCAATCTCTCAGATTTCGAATTTCTTTATTCGGCTTATCAACTTTTCTCAGTTTTCGATCAAGATTTATTACTTTCGCCGGGGGCGACGCCGGTCAAGTGTGAAAAAAATAGGCGAAACCATGCAGCACGACGTTTATGATGGTTTGATGGAGTTTACTGGTTCAGAACTGAAGAGAAAATTTCGGATGCCGATGGTCAACGGATACGGCAGGTGGATTCACACATCTCTGGGTGCAATGACAAAGAAATAGTTCCCTCATTTTTTTTCTATTAAAAAGTGTCTTTCAGACCTGTCGTTACTAATGGAAACCCCAGCCAACATGCGTACTCCCGAGCAGGCAGCCGATCCGCCGGTTCAGGAGCAAACGCAGCATTGATTGTCTAGAAATTGAGTTTTTATTGTCAGGCGTGACTGGCAAGCGTTATCCGAGAATATGCCCGCCTTTATCGGTGAATCTATATCAACGGCATATTCCGTGTACCATATGGTACTAGAGAGAGTGGCATTACGCTCAGGGAAACCCTAAAGAAAAGATCGGACGATCCTAGAGGAGAACCCACCTACATACGGTTCCCTCTCAGTCCATCTGAGTTCAAATAAGACATTTTTCTCGATTCTTTTGTTTAGATGAGGATATGGACTTTTTGGAACGGCATACTGTAGTCTTGGAACGGCATACTGTAGTTTTTGGAATGGCATACTGTAGTAGACGTCGCGCATCAATAAAGGCCGCACCTATTACCGTATCCACAGCGTTCGGTTCGGGGACTTCAACACCCTAAGTGTACCGCTGCGATTGCCGTCAGCCGTGTCTGGGACCGCGTAGCGTAACCGACTGTGACCCGAAAACGACAAGATTCACCGTCCAGTATGCACTCAAAAACAATGAAAACACAGTGATTTAGTTTGACACATCCGGGTTTCCGTGAAAACGTCGGATTCTTCATCACGCACAGGACTTACGAAATGTGCGATGGTCGTTTCCTGATGAACCAGATGGCGCTTTTCATGCAGTCGGATAAAGCCCTCGCACTGGATCAGGATTCACGCTGGATATCCACATAGAAACAGCGAAACCGTCTGCAGACGAACTAGAAGAACTCGATAACCTGAATGGCGGATGTGGCGCAAAAGTGAATTTTTAGACGAACCAATTTTTCCGAATAAATTATTTCTCTATGCCTGGCCCGTAGTTTCGTTATCGGAAAAATGGACGTGTTAAAAGATCATCATATTACCTTCAGCACAACAAGTGAAACAACGCTCCACAATTTTCATCAAAAATTTCCATTTGATGAGAAGCAAAGTAGACTTATTTCACATCAAATCAAGTAAATAAGACGTTTGACGTAAAACGTGACACTTTAAAACAATGCACGTGATTGGAGAAAATTTTCATATTATAGTCCGATACTTCACTTCCCGTTAAATCGCAAACCGCTACTCCCTGACGTCATCCCTATGACATCATCTTCATTTGCAAAACTTGCGCACGCAGCCATATCATTTTATTCATTTTTTACGTTCCAATTTATAAAATTAGATTCGACGTGAAAACTTTTCCGGTCACATGAGAAACAGAAAGATAACACACTTGAAAATCCCCTTTTGATTGGAAACTTTTTTTTATTCTTCTATTTTCTTACTTTTTTTTAGAAACCTTTTAAAGGTTTGGAATAATCCGAGGCGTCGAGGCCCACGCCTACGCACAGTGTGCTCCTTTAATTTTTTTCTGGGAAATACATTTCGCAGATTTTTTTCGCTACGCGTATCAAGTTTGCAAATCGTTTAGAGCGACCTGATAGTGTTATTAGTGTCCACTTTTTTGAAACTAAATGCCTTTTTATGTCAAGTATTTCATTTATTTGACGAATTTTTTTACTGTGGCTGAGTTTTTTTCGAAGCGAGCCACAGTCGGCTTCGCGCTATGCGCGCTCCGCCTCCGTGTGAAGCCTTAAAACTAAGCCTATTTTTCTTAAGTAATGCATGAACCTGTAGGCGCAGTTTTTAATGCAAAGTCGCAATTCAGGCTCCTCCCATTCTTCAATTTTTTCAATCTCAATTTCAATTCATATCAATTTATTCAGTCTTCAGAGTAAGTTGAAGAAAATCTCTGCTGAATCATGGTATAATCGAAGAGGTAGTCGTCGGCGCGGGTGACGGTCCACAATCGTTGTCCAATACGTCCCGGAGTGACAGCTAGCGTTGGGAAATAATGTGGGCCCGTTGGTAGTACCAGCGAATAAACTGCTTCACCATGTTGGAACAGTACAGCGCCCAGCTTGTCCAGGGCTGACGGGCGTCGGAATATTATCCCATGAGAGAGCGGCAAAGAGACCGACCAGTCGACGTGATGAAATGAGATAATAATAATCTTCTGAATCATGTTCACGTGAATAAAATAAATATTTCGATTACGCTTATTTCTGTGTTACGAATGGTGTCATGAAATGACGTCAGGGAGTAGCGGTTTGCGATTTAACGAAAACACGATACTTCATCTTCACCAGAATGCACTTAAACACAAAAAAAAATGAATAAAAGTAGTGTAGTTCCCCCATGGCCGCAACTGACGAACAAATAAAATGCCTCGTCGAAATTATCTACAATTTGATTCATACGCAGGGTATGAAGCTCACGAAAAAAGAGTTTGAAAATCTGAAGCTTGTTCGAGACATTCTTAAAGAGATTTCCAAAAAACCAGACACCGAGCAGGCGGGAAAACTTCTTTTTCTTCTTGACAAAATCCACCACAAGTCATATATTACTCCAGCACTACTCCTGAACGGTCTGAAATGAAACCAGTCCGTAAATATAAAAAACTTTTACCCTATGATGATGCTAATAAAACTCTTTCTATAAAAAATGCGTTGAATATTATTCTCAACGACGGAGATCTCCAAGAATATGAGAAAGCCGCGATTTATCAAGATGTTCTATCAAGGTTTAAAAGCTTCAAGGGATGTCACGATGCCGATTATTCGAAAGTAGAAGACGCTACGGAGAACCCGAATCTGTTGAACCAGACATCTGAACAACAAACGAATATTTCTGAACCCGTCGATAAAAACTTTGATTCAATGGAAACGAATCCGTCAAAAATAGTTAATATAACGAAAATCGAAGAACCGCCTATTCAAAAAGTTGAACAACCGCAAACCTACGAAGATGAAAGCTTTGAACCCTCTGAAAATCGAAAAGAAACTAAGATTCGAGCCAGACGTGAAAACCAAAAAAATGCAAAAAGAACCCCAAATAAAAGCCAGAGCCGTAATGAAAAAGAAGATGACGATGAAGTTCCTGCGAAATATTTTTTGCTCAATCCGGATATAAAACGCCAAATAAAACAAGATTCTGTTGTTAATCGCGCTCAAAAAAGACAATAAATGAAATGATGGAATCCGGAAAGACGCTTTCCGATTTTCGCACGCGACGTTCGGTTTGCCGGCTGCTCTCTTGGCGATTATTATCGTAATCGACATGGCGTCGTCTTGAGCGACAACGATCGAGTCGCTTGGTTCGGAACCGAAGCCGTTCCTGTTCGATTCCTCGTTGTGGTGGTGGGAAAAATCTCGACTTTAAAAGTTTGTAAAATTTTTAATTTGCAGCTACCCGATGAAGATTAAGTGAAAAATGTCATAAACCGCGGTTGGACCGAATTTTTTTTTTCTTACCTAAATAAAAACTTTGATGTGTGCACTTGTTTGTTGAAAAACAGAAAAACAGGTACTTCACCTGCTACGTTATCTTTAAAAAATAGCAAAACTTTCCGTTACCTGTTTTCAAGATGAGTTGGTTAATTGCGAAGCCCGACGATGACGCGTGCTCGTGTGATAGTGACTCTAGCGATGAAACGCGCTTCGCTTTAGCTTACGACACGTGCAGATTGTTATACCGAGGAGAGGGGCAAGCTGAGTTATTAAAGTTTCGAAAAAAATTTTCTTTCGTGACAGATTTGGAAGCTTCATCCGCACAGCTCGGCGTGTTTGGCACGCAATAACAGGCCAAGTTTTCGACCCTAGCCAGATGACCCTCACCCTAGTACCAGCGTACTGCGTTCTTCATGAGAGTTTATCACTCGATGAGTATTATGCATCGATGTACGGTGTGAAAATAGAAGAAACTGATAGTGTAGTGTTTTGCGGCTCCCTACCTGTACCAGCGCGCGTGATAATGGCCGAGCTTGAATAAACGTTTCTTGTGAACTTGTTTTACATGAGAAAAGAAGCTATTGTGACATTCTGAGAAGATGGTTGTGGCGGGGTTGAACTACACTACTAATAAAATTTCAAGGACATAAATTTCTTGAATGTTTCAAAACTTTCCCGAGAAATAACAAATGCTGGAGAATTTCTGCCGAAAATCCTCATTTCCACTTTTAATTTTTTCAGCTTTTCTTTGTATTCAACGTAGTCCACTGAAAAGCTTTCATAAAAGTGTGAATAAAAAGTTGAAGTTATAGAAACCTTGTGTTTTTATTCGCAGAAGGGTTAAACTCACCGCAAAAATTAGTTATGAAACCTGAAATAGCATTGAGAAGGAGTTTATTATCTGGTATTCATTTTATTTCTGAAAATACCAAATTTCTTTGAGAAAAAAAAGTTAATACTTGTTACAGTAGTCCCAAAGTCCGCATACACCGCGATGCGATCTCTAAAACGTTTCGAAGTTTTTTTTTCATTAGTTTTGAGACGCTTTTTTCCGTTTTCACGGTGAATCCTCGCAGTGGAGTGGAGCGTTATATTTTTGAAAATGGCCTTAGAGCGCGCTAGCTGTACTTCCCTGCGAAATCCAAATTTTTTCACTTTTTTTTCGCCGTTTTTGGTCATTTTTTCGAGGTTTTTTCGTTTCTTTATTTCAATAAATGTTTCTGTTTTTTTTTCTGACCCATCAAATCGTGAAATAGAGAATAGTAAGGGTGTTTTTGGGTGGTTCTCTCTGATTTAACATGTTAGTTCCGAAGTTATAAGCCTCGGAAATTAATGAAAGCTTTGAATTACAAAATTTTTGGCTTTTTACTCATTTTTTTTTGTAAATATCTTTTTATATGGACAAAAAACAATAATCAGATGTTTTAATACGTATTCTATGCAAGGAAATGCTGTGAAAAAATTTTTTAACCTAATTTTCAAAAAAATAAATTCTGTCAAAACAATGGTAAATGCAGTTTTTTTGTGCAAAACTGTTTTATTTTATTTTTCTGACTGGTTTTCCTACTTTATCAGTGTTTATAGCAGTAATAAAGACACTTAAAAACATTTGAAGTTTATTTCAATGAAAATTTTATTTCTTTAGTATTTTCTGCCTTGATATTGAAGATAAATGAAATAATATTTGTTGTTTCACTATTTTTTACTTCAAAAAATTTTTTTCGTTTATTTAAAAATTATAAAAATTTCGGCAGTATGTCAAATTTCGTCGGGGGGTGCATGCACAAGTAACATCATATTTGACGACAATTTTTTTTTGAGTAGGGCGTATCTCTGAAAACGCCATGTTTAACTAAATGTCATGTTCATTTTTCTTTACTATATAACCGCGCAAGGCTTCACCGGGCCTTGACGTGTTATTTAGATGTGTGTAGAACCGACATTGCTCTTGGATCTTTATTAGAGCAACTCAGCACCGCCAGTTGGTATGCGTGCTGAGCGCAAGAGTGACAATACAGGTAGGCGGCGTGCCATTGGCACGCCTACATGATAGTACATATGGCATTGAGGTCAGGTCAACTAGCGTCCTGTCACATCCCTCCGCTCCAAGAAAGCTTCGTCCCGAAGCGTGAATTAGTGAAACTAAGACAACTTTTAAGGACTAGGCAATCAAGGACGGTCTAACAAAAATACAGATATTAACGCAAGAGGACAATTGCGCTCTAAATCAGTTCTACAACACAATTCTAAGCACTAGCAGACTCTTATACAACGATTCCTACGTCACTTATTTATCTAGGAACCCAATCAAAAGACAAGGTAAAGGACGTATCCGGTCAAAGATTGAATGAGAAAAGGAAATCGAAGAAAAGAGTTTTGTAAACTACATCGGGGGGCTTACAACAAAATTAAACG